TACATCTGATCAATTGTAGGATTTGATCAAAAAAGAATTATATAAATTATATAAATTAATAAATTAATTGAGAATATAAATTTTGATTAATTAATATATATAATTCATGAATTTTGATATAGTGTTCTTATTGGTGTCAATTTTAGTGATGGGAGGAAGTTATTATTTGTTATTTGTAAAGAAAAAAGGTAAAACATAAGTAGTGGGTTAATAAGGTTAACAATAAGCACAAGGATAGTAGTAATAATAATAATAAGGATTATAACAATAATAATAAAATTAACAAAGAAGATAGATAAATAGAGTTGAAGTAGAATCAGATGATGAATCTGATCGAGAATTAGATATTTAAAATGCAGAATAATAAGCTAAAAGAGAAGCCAGAAAGTAAAGGAAATAATAACAATAATAATATGTTCGATAATAAATAGAAATGTTAGAAAAGAAAAATGAAAAAAGAAGCAAAGAATATGAAGAAAAAGAAAGATTAAGAGAATAATAAGAATAAGAAGAAGAAGAATGGAGAAAAAAGATTGAAGCAGATCAAAAATAGAAAGAATAGGAAGAATTTGATAAATGGAGTGTATATAATATTAATTTTTATAATAGAGTATGTTTTAAGTAGAATAGAGTGGAACAATGAAATTATCAGCGGAAGAAGAAGAATAAAAAAACAAAGAATTTAATGAAAGATTAGGAAATTATATAAAATTAAGAAAAGTAGTTTAATTAGAAGAGGTAAGTGCAGAGTTGGGTATAAATACAAGTGAAGTTGTTGAAAAGATAAAACAATTAGAAATTTTGGGATAATTGAATGGTTTAATAGATGAAAGAGGTAAATATATTCATATTAGATAAAATGAAATTGAGGTATATTATACGTTTTAAAAAATAGAGTTTAATAAATTATATAAATGCAAGAGGGAGAATGACTAGGAGTGAATTACTAAATGAGAGTAATCGAATAATCAAATTAGAACCTTCAAAATAGGATTTACAAAAGATTTAAGAGGAAGAACAAAAATTGTTAAACGATTTATAATAGGAATTATAACAATGAATTATAATTAATATAATTATATATTAAAATGAAATGCGAAGTTAAAACTGTTAAGCTAAAAATATTAGGATTGACAGATTTAAGTAAAATAATAAGAAATTCTTCCTATGAGATAAAAGTATATTTTGGAGGAGCAAGATAATAATCTAAAATATTAAATTACTATGTTGGTATGACTTAATGAGTATACTAGCATCGGAACAGATTGAAATAAATTAAAATTTAGAGTTAAGCAGTATTCATGGAAAGTAATTACAATTTTGGTTATTTGATAAATTGAAAAATAAATTTATTGGAGCAGGATAATATGAATTGAATGAGAATCAAAAAGAGGGATTCTAATTATTAGATTTAAAAATTGACACTGTTATAACATGTGTTTTGATGTTTGAATTGATGGTTGAAGTGAAAGATATATATTAAGCTGTAATATTAGAAGATGATAATATAATATTAAAGAAGGATGACTCAGAAGAGAGAAGAAAAGAATAGGAGAGATTAGAATAAGAAGAGAAACTTAAGAAACAATAGGAAGAGGAACGAAGACTATTATAATAATAGAATAAAGTTTCTATTGTTACATTAACAAATAGATATGTTGAAGATCAATCTTATTATTGAATAATAAATAGATATATATATATATATTATTATAATTGAATAATAAATAGATTTATATGTATTTTATAATAATTGAATAAATAAATAGATTTTTATATATAAATAATAATAATAATTATAGATTTATAATATCAATATGAATTGAGTTCTACCTTGATAGGTTTAAAGAACTTGTTGATTATTCTTTTAACTTTAAATTTAAATGTATATTTAGATGGTATAAATTTAGATAGTCTCCATTTTAAAAATGAGTTTAATCTATTTATAACATTTTAGTAGTTATCAATAGGATAATATAAATTGTATTAGTACATTCTTTCAAACTCCTCATATTATGGATCTGGTCTTTTGTACATACTTAAATCAACCATACCTACTCCTGTTGGAATATGAATATTAGATCTTATTAGTGGACTAACTGTAGATTTTAATTAAGTTATTGTACCTTATCTAATAGGAATTGTTGATAATTTTGATGAAAATCTTTTCATTGATTATCTAACTTATGTAGAACTTTAACTTTACCTACCTAATTATCTTCCATATGGTGAACTAGTTTATTCTTCAGATTATTGCCTATTAGATAAATTTAAAGTATCAGAGTCTTCTTCCCTTATTCTTGATAGATTTTTCTTCATTTTATCTACAACACTATTTTAAACTTTCATTTTGGAATTATTTCTTAATCTTTGTGATTATTGTTGACTTTATTAACTATCAGTATCTCCTTTAAATGTAATATGAGGAGTATTCTTAATACGTTTAACAGATGGAATTGGTACTTCATTTGCAATTAATTAAGAAGATGTTACTGTTTATATAAACTATTATGGTTGTTATGGATCTTATGGTGTTGAAGTTCTTTTTATTTTTTATGGCTCTTAAGGTACTAACGAAAACTTATATAATTATTATTGCTGTTATTAGAAATCTGTTTGATATTAAAATTAAGCAGTGCTTAATGTTCCTTTTTGATTATTTGGTCTAATGATAAACATTTAATCATTTTCATCATCTATTTCTTATAAAACCTTAGAGTTTTCTTTAATTTAATCTTATTATTTTAGAATACTAACAATAGTTCTATAAATAAAATATAAATAAATTACCCATCTTATTTATCAATAATTCTATTATCAGAAAACCCTTCATCACTTTAATAATCATCAGTAAGTTCAGAACAAGATTCAAGTTCATCATCATGAATTTCAGCAGTATCATCATCATCTTCATCGTCATAAATAATATCATATTTTAATCTAAATATTTTAAGGGCATCATAATTTTACTATTGAAAATATTAAAATAATAATTTTACAATTAACCTTGAGAATATTCTATTAAATTCCTTTCTATCTTTTTTGAGAGATCTAGAGAAATTAGCTCTATATTATTAATTATAATTATCTTATTTGTATACTTTTTCAAGATCAGGTGTATATTTCCAAATAGGACATTTAGAAATTAGATGATCAGTACTTCTACAAGAGTAACAAAACATGTTAATTATACTAAATTATTAATTTAAAAGTGAATGTCTAATATAAACATACCTTTCATGATCAATTTTATTTTTTTAAATTAATGAAACAAACTTAGATTATTCAATCTTATATAATTGAACAAAACCTTTTGCTATAGCCGATGCCTATCTTTAATCACCTGAAAAGAATGAATATTCACCAAAAGAATCTCCATTGCTCAATGATTATAAAATTTTATTTTAATCCATAATCGAAATATCTCCTGAATCTATTATATACAAAGAACAATCATCTGGTTTATGTTTTTATATTATTAATTCATTTGGATTAAATTTAACATACTCCATTATTTGAGTAAGATGTTCTAATGTATCTTTTGAGAAATTGAACAAAGGTTTACAAGTAAATAATGCTTTTATTCTCATTTAAAGTAGAATTTCTTCTTTTAAAGTAGGTGATAGTTATTACATAAGAATTTACATCTAATTATCTAAATGTATATAATAATATTACCTAATCATCTTTATTATCCTATTATTAGATGAATCTAATATAATTTCTAATTCTAGCAGACATTTAAAATGATATTCCTCTTTTAGATAAAAAGTTATTAATTAATTCAATCTATAAAATACTCCTACTATAATTTTAGTATTATTGTTTCATCATAAAACCAATATGTTTTATAATAAATGCAATTAACCAACAAGATATAAACATCATTATTGTTGAATATATTAATTCTATATTTGTTTTTATATGTATAAATCCAGATCCCATATGTAATAATAAACTTGTATTTAAATAGATTGCATAACAATATTTTGTCCATTAATCTTCTTCTTCAATATTTAATGCCATCATCCAAGAATCCTATTCATCAACTCCTATGAAATGCCACAAGCATGAAAATACATGAATCACATATAATACTATCATGAATATCTTATAATAACCAATTTCAAATGGTATAAAATCATTTATACGACACATCAAAAAATTTAATTTCTATACTCCACAACCAATTTCAAACAGTAACATTACCCATACTAATATTGAATTCTTAAAAATAAACAGTAATAAAATCGAAGAAATCAAATAAAATATATCAATTATAATTTAACGTTTTATCAATTATAATTTATATTTTATATGAAATCTTACAAAACTACCTTCAGATATATAAGGCTTAAAATAATTTAATCCTAAATCTAATACGATTATTAAGTTTGCTATTATTTCTAAACCAATATTGGTTTTCTAATTAAAACTTATCTTAATTGGTAACCAAATACTTAACATCAAAATACAAATTATTACAATCATGTCCCAAAATAAATAATATATTGGATCAAATTATTCTCTATTCTTCTCATCTTAAATTGTATAATGAATATTATTTTCTAAATAATTTTCTATCAATATTTATTTTTAATATCCATTAAAATAATTATCACGATATATATAAGCTTTTTAAAGAAGAGTTTTACCAAATTGTTTTACAAACTTTTTATCAAATAAATTTCTACTTACAGATTCTGTTTAATTTAATTCAGAATAAAGTGGCTATTTACGTTAAGGTCGCATTCCTTAATTAAATTAACTTTTCTTTAATCTTCTAGTACCAGATTCATCAATATTTCTACTATCACCTCCTTCAGAATTCACATTCAATGTCTTTGCTTTTCTACTCTAATCAAAATGATTTAATCCACTTTCTTTATAAGAAATAAATGATCTTAATGGTTCTGTGAAAGGAGAAGGGCAGTTAATAAATGATGAATTTATTGTTGGCGGTTTCAAATCTGATGGCGTTTACATTAATTTTGGCAATTAAGATTATGAAATCTACTGCCGTTTCACTAATTCTAAATTATTGGATTCATTATCAAAAGAAGAACTGTAAGAATTGTGCATTACTATTTTAATAATTATTTTATATTTCAAATATATTATTTTTAATATGTTAATATTATTATATTGCAACCAAATTTAATAATAAAAATTATGTCCAAACTATTTCCTCTATTTATTACAATCACTATTACTGTAGCATCTACAATCAAACTTAATAATCCTATACTAGTTGATTATTTTAGTGACAAATTAAATCGGATTTTCTTAGATCAAAATTATTAACTATGGTTTGAATTTGTTAAATCTATTGAAATTCTTAATCCAAAACAAACTATTTGCAAATCAATTCCATATTAATTTCAATCAAAAGATCCAATTACTATTCCATTTCAAAATATCACCACAACTTTATTTGATAATAAATTAAAAACTCTATTTGTTTTAGATCAACAAAAACTAACACTCATCTAATTTGTATTTACCAACTTTTCAATAAGTACCTATCACTTTAGAAATGGCTAAATTAATTAAATTAATCAAATTGAAACAAAATCTTATAAAATTTAAGATGGAATTGCCTTAGCATAAATTGAACGACAATTTTTGATTCTCCTCAATAATAAATATTAATTAATCCTTTTTGATATAATTAATCAAATCTTTGATGATCTTTTGTAATTTTCATCTCAACCAATTTGGATTGCAAGCGCAAATTCTTTTTTATTTGTTGGATTTGAAAATAAAATTATTTAATACACTCTAAAAGACAAAAAGCTGATAGAAATCAATCATATTGATCTATTTTTGAAAGATAGTTCAATTTTAATGGTACAATAAAGTTCTATTTATATAAAATTTCCTTTATATAAGGTTATTAAAATAATATTTAGTTAAAATGTATTATAGCTTGAAGATTACTTACAAGAAAATATTGAAATTAAGAGTTTAGCAATATCAGGTGAAAAAATATCATATTTGACGAACGATTATGTGTTTTTAAATTCTAAACACAAATAGTTTGAATAATATAATAAAATTCTATAATTCAATGACCTTTTTATTTTATTATAAAGTGAAGGAGTTCATAAAGTTTAATCTGAATTAAGTGATGATTTATGTATCTATAAGTGATAATAAAAGCATTTCCGTTATACATTAAACATTAAAATGTCAGTGATGTACATTTCATGAATAATTATGGAATCAATTATCACTTAATAACTATATCGCAAGAACTCATTTAAATTAATGAGATTTAATTTATAGAATCGTTTATTGAGTGTGATGATAGAATAGAAGATAATAAAGAAGATGTATTTTTTATAGCTGAGGCAGATGGTTGCAAAGATAAATAGACAAAATTTCATTCTAATAATTGTAAATTCGAAGGGAAAATTAAATGTATATTTTAAACAAAATTTTTAGTTAATAGAATTTCTATTTTTTATTCAAAGTTCTCTGATCTTACTTATTTGATAATTGTAGTTCTAATTTTAGCTACTATCTTGATTTTATTAGCCATTTACTACTCTCAAAAGTATTAAAGACAGGCAGAATAATATAAAATAATTTAAAAACCTATTGGTAATATAGATTAATCAGAAGAATAAACGAATTAAGAAAAAGAATCATGATTTGAAATAGAAAATTAAATTTAATCGTTCAAATTTGATTGCTTTATAATCTACCTCTTATTCTATACCAATCCATTCATATTTCTTTTTTAATTCATTTATTCCTTACAGTAGTTAAAGATTTAGTCTAGCAGTTTAAGGAATAATTTGCTCTCTTGTAATAGGATCAGCACCACCATTTGAAGTAAATTACTAAAAAATGCCATTTTTTTCATAAGTTTAACCTGTGTTAAATAAAATAGGTTCATTCATTATTTCATAAGATATTACACAAGTAAAAGGTTAAGGTATTGGTATATCTTAAAGTATTTTTATTTACGTTTGCTTTTCCAGATAATTCCAATCTAATTTAACATTTCTACGTTATGCAATATCAGCAAGTACACTTCTTAATGATTAGACATCTATCAGGACATATCAAAGTTTTAATACTTCTTCTATCCATTTCTTATGCAATTAAGAAAACCATTTTTTTTCCTTTTCCTAAATTTTGATGTATTAGAATTTTCAATTTATCTTTTGATTTATCATTGTTATCTTTGATAAACTCATAAGTTTAAAGATGATAAACACATAAAACCTTATCCTAAACATTGTAAACCATTATGAGCTAAAATGTGCCCTTGCATTTGTTTTATCAATTTTAATAGCTTTTTCTGCATCTAATTTAGCCTCCTAAAATTTATTTATTAATCTCAATGCAACTGCTCTATTGGAATAGTAAATGGAATCTGTACCATGCAAATTCTAAATATTTATTTTTTATACAATCTAAAGACTTTTACACATTATCTGTGGATTTAAGAGTAGAAGTTTAATTATTATTTTTTTAATTAGTTTATTAATCAGTAGGTTTTTAAGCAGCTTTGAAAACTTTTCTTTATTACTATGGTTATTTTTATGTGAATATTTGTTCTGGTTGATAATTATCAAATTGATAGATTGTATTTGAGTTTGCTTATCCCATAAATGATTAATAAATTATTATATAGACATCATTAAATACAAAATTAATATAATGATTAAATCAAAAAGAGCTTTTACGTTTATTTGTTTCTTTTCCGCCATCATAGGCGTGGAAAAATTTCATTAGATCATCAACTTTCATTTAATCAATTTAATCATTTTCATCATATTCACTAGTGTAAATAGAACTTGCTTTTAAGTCTTTTTATTTTAATGCTGACCTATTTTTGGGATCAATAGTGGTTTCTGAATTATCACACAATATGTGATTAATTATATATTTAAATAATCTAATTACTGAAGTATCCTAAAGTAAAATTAAATTAATAGATATACTTAAGAGCTAATTTTAATTTCTTCTAAAGATGTTTTTGAGTTATCTTTTAGAAATTATTTGATAGCAAATAACATAATAGCAGCAATTTTAGATTTAGAAATATGTCCATTAAATGGTTCCAACAAAGGAAATGCAATAGATTTGACTCCTAAATTAGTTGCTAATTAAAGACAATTAATCATGCATTCATAAATATTTTGTCTTTCATGAGTCTATTATGAATCATTCATTTTATCAGTATATATATGAACTCCATCTATTTATTATCTTAAACCTTCTTATAAAGATTCTGTTGGCTAAAAATCAGTCGAACCATCAGTAGTATATGAACTTTTCGGCATCATCATTGTAGTCTCACAACCACTTGATAATACAGTATATATAATGTAATCATAGTCCATCTATAATTATTGTCTTTATTTATACATCTCCTGCATGAGTATACACTACTTAACCTAATTCAAGTTTTCCACCTTCATTTAAACGAACTTATTTTAGTTCATTCAATACAGACTATCCTCCATATTTTCTAATTTATAAACAATAGTTATACTTTAGAAGATCATCCATATTTTATCCCATTTTTAATCTTGTACTTACAATTAAAACTATTGTGTCGACATCTTCATTAAACAATAATTTGCTATAACTTAACTTTATTTGACAACCAGCGAATGAAGCATGAGCTGCAACATTAGGTTATAGACTCATTTTTGAATTACTCCCAAAATGATCAGAGCCAGAACAACATAATGCTTTATTACCCATATTAATATTATTTATTAAAATAAATTTATCCATTACTAAGTGAAAATCTCATTCAATTATAAGAAATCGCAAACTATAATCAAAATTAACTCTGTTGAATTAACTATTTATTGATATATTTATAATTATATATAGTCTTATTCAATAATTAAAGAATATTATTATTGATTTTTATTGTAAATGAAAATATTTTTCAACAAAACTCATTCTTATTTATATTCTGAAAGCATCATTAGACTATCATAAAGATTTTAATTCATATATTATTCTAAAAGTTTATATATTCTAGTTTATATTTAGATATTTATACCTTTATGCTCTTATTCTATCAATTCTTGTATTCAAATCTGATATTAATCTTTATTAGTCTTAGATATATTAATCTTTAGAATTATTAGTCTCGTCATTAGTAGCTTAATCTCTTAATTTACTATTTTCTTCAATTAATTCATTCATTCTTTTGAGCAAATCTGGGTCAGTTTTCTAAAATTAAAATAAAATTATACATTAGCCATAGAATTGAAAAATACTAATTCTTTTAATTAGACATTTCTTTCAATTATGCCAATCAATTTTTCAGTTGCCATTTTTTTATGAATGAATTTATATTGAGTTGGTTAAATAGTACTCTTCAACATTTATTCGCCTAATCTTTATGATTGGGAAGCAATCAAAATTAATTCAGTGAATCTTAATTTCAAATGTCTTTTGAATACTCTTTATAAAGTATTAAGTGCCACCTATTAACTATTCTTTAATATAATTGATTCCATTTATGACTTACTCTAAGAATCTCTAACAGGTGTTTATTATAAGAAACTTGAATGTGATGGTTAGAATGAACTTGCATCAGTTATTCCTCTTCCAAAATGTTCAATATTTGTAAATGCTCTTTATCTGACTCTGTCATATGCTTTTAACAAATTGTTTATCAACTTTTTGCATTTAACTATTTATAAAGTATTTAAACTAACAGCCTTCTATGTAGTTGCATTATCTCTCATCCTCCAAAAGGCAATTTATGGAGTAATTCTTGAATTCTTTGCTATCATCTCAGCCACTCTTTAGAACCATTAATTTTATAGTTTAGGTCCTCTCCAAATATCCAATGCTTCTTTCATTAACTCTTTATCTTATTTCATATTAAACAACAGTAATTTTTATATTGCATTAAATACTGAGATCATATTCTTTTTAACAGTTCTAATATTCCATCTTTAGAAATATATTCTTAATTTTATCTATGCAAAGCTTTAGAATAACAGAATTGCTTCTCTCTTTAATCTAGTCTCTCTATCTTAAGCAGATTCCTTTTTATTTGTTAAACTAGATGATAAACGTTTCCATTCAACAAAGGCAACATTCATTTAATTCATTTTGTGTTGATAGAATAATTATATTGCCAGTTTCTTCTTATCAGAAATTGTGAAAGCTTCTGCCGCTCTGCTAAATTCAACAACCTTGTACCATTTCAAAAATGCTTTCTTTTAAGCACTCATACAGTTATATAACATTTTATTGATTGCATATTTTTATTTTGCTTATCCATCTAAATAAATATTTTAAAATTAATTAAAAGCTGTCTTTCTAACCATATGAATTTTGAATCGATTAAGCGATTTTTCAAATACGCTTGCTTTCATTTAATCTAATTCTTTAGTATCAGGAAGTGCTTTCCACTTTTAGAAGGAAACACCAATCTACCCTACCAATGTATGTAATAACTAAATTTATATCTTTTTAATTAATTCTTTATTCTTTCTTTCTTATTAGAACTTTCTTAAAATATCTCTTAATTTCCCTTAATCATTTGTTCTTAAATTTCTATGGAGAGCAAATAATAGCAACCTTTTCTTTTCATCATCAAGTTAAGATTATATCTTTGCTTACTTGGTATAATTATTCCATCTGATGAAGGCCCATCTAAAAGAATTGTTATAATTCATAATCATTCTATTCAAGACACTTTCTTATAATTTATTTGGTTTAAATATTGTCTACACATGGCCAGCTAATGTAATAGAAAGAACTTAAAACAAATTTGTGGTATGTTTGCAAGTTTCAATTTACTTATGTAATTTATTTATGTCTCTCCAATATAAGAATAATCTTTTATTTTAACCCATAGCAAGGGTCAATAATTTTCTTAAACAATACAACTTTTTGCTATTTCCATCTTAAAAGATATCTTTTAAAGGTTCAAAAGAGAGTTTTACACGACCTCTAAAAAGTTGATCTAAAGTTCTTTCAAATTTTCTTGCATTCTTTAATTATTCTGTATTAATGGGTTCTGGTAAATTCTTCCATTTTTGGAATGCCATAATAGCACCTCCAAATTGAGTAGCAAACAACTTAGCAAAGAATCTATCTTAAACTGCAGTTATGCTTGAATTTCTTCTGAATTTAGCAAGAATTGCTCTTAATCTAGCAAAATCATTATTTTTAGAGAAATTAGATATAGCTTCCAATAATAATTTCTTTTTCTCATCTGTCATTGCTCCTTATAATTTTTCTAATTTTCCATCGTTGTACCATTTCATAAAGAAATATCTTAAATTACTATCAAAGTTTCCAATTAATCTTAGTAATGCTTTTTCTTTCTTTTGAGATTCTTCATCTGGTTTTAATGGGGCAACATTATTTTTAATATGTAAACCTATAAATCCAAACAATCCAATAACACATTTGCATCTTTCAACTTCTTTAATTAAACCAACATTTTTGTTCCATTAATCCAAAGCTCTTTATTATTCAGATTCTTAAGTTTTGATCATTAAGATGATTGCTCTCTTTTTAAGAGCTTATGCATCATCATAAACTTCCTAAAGAGGATTCCAAGTCTTCTTTCTCCAAATATGTAAGGCAAATTTGTTTAATTGTGCTTCAAATTTACTTGCTTTAATTAAATCTTCAGCATTAGCTTCAGGTAAAGTTTTCCATCTGTTAAATGAATCCCAAACTACTCCAATTTAAGTTCTTAAAATTCTTGCATTAATTTGAAGAACCAATTTCTCTTTTTTATGTGCCAAAGAGAACTTAGCCAAAATTGCTCTGTAGAGTGCAAATTTATTTCCACTTTCAAATTAAACTAATTATTCAGTTAATTTTTTCTTCTTCTCAATAGTTAAAGCATCTTCAAAGTTCTAATTCATTCTTTCCTATTAAGCTCTATTTCTCCATAAAAAGAATGCTCTGCTTAAGTTTTCAGTTTAACCTTAGAAAATTAAATGAAGAGCTTTTTCTTTTGCTTATGCTTCACGAGGATTTTACATTATAGGTTGAACATTAGCAGTTACAATTTAAGCTAAGCAAACAAACATATTTGTAGTCAACCTACAAACTTCAATTTATTTAGCTTATCTATTCTATTAAACCCAAAGTAAGAATAATCTTTTATGAGCACTCATACTCTTTTCAAATAATTTTCTTAGACACATTCTCTTTATATTTTAAGCATCCATGTAATCCTCTTTTAATGGATCAAATGAAACTTTTAAGTGACTATGGAATAAAATATCTAAAGTTCTTTCAAATTTTCTTGCATTCTTTAATTATTCAGTATTAATTGGTTCTGGTAAATTCTTCCATTTTTGGAATGCCATAATAGCACCTCCAAATTGAGTAGCAAACAACTTAGCAAAGAATCTATCTTAAACTGCAGTTATGCTTGAATTTCTTCTGAATTTAGCAAGAATTGCTCTTAATCTAGCAAAATCATTATTTTTAGAGAAATTAGATATAGCTTCCAATAATAATTTCTTTTTCTCATCTGTCATTGCTCCTTATAATTTTTCTAATTTTCCATCGTTGTACCATTTCATAAAGAAATATCTTAAATTACTATCAAAGTTTCCAATTAATCTTAGTAATGCTTTTTCTTTCTTTTGAGATTCTTCATCTGGTTTTAATGGGGCAACATTATTTTTAATATGTAAACCTATAAATCCAAACAATCCAATAACACATTTGCATCTTTCAACTTCTTTAATTAAACCAACATTTTTGTTCCATTAATCCAAAGCTCTTTATTATTCAGATTCTTAAGTTTTGATCATTAAGATGATTGCTCTCTTTTTAAGAGCTTATGCATCATCATAAACTTCCTAAAGAGGATTCCAAGTCTTCTTTCTCCAAATATGTAAGGCAAATTTGTTTAATTGTGCTTCAAATTTACTTGCTTTAATTAAATCTTCAGCATTAGCTTCAGGTAAAGTTTTCCATCTGTTAAATGAATCCCAAACTACTCCAATTTAAGTTCTTAAAATTCTTGCATTAATTTGAAGAACCAATTTCTCTTTTTTATGTGCCAAAGAGAACTTAGCCAAAATTGCTCTGTAGAGTGCAAATTTATTTCCACTTTCAAATTAAACTAATTATTCAGTTAATTTTTTCTTCTTCTCAATAGTTAAAGCATCTTCAAAGTTCTAATTCATTCTTTCCTATTAAGCTCTATTTCTCCATAAAAAGAATGCTCTGCTTAAGTTTTCAGTTTAACCTTAGAAAATTAAATGAAGAGCTTTTTCTTTTGCTTATGCTTCACGAGGATTTTACATTATAGGTTGAACATTAGCAGTTACAATTTAAGCTAAGCAAACAAACATATTTGTAGTCAACCTACAAACTTCAATTTATTTAGCTTATCTATTCTATTAAACCCAAAGTAAGAATAATCTTTTATGAGCACTCATACTCTTTTCAAATAATTTTCTTAGACACATTCTCTTTATATTTTAAGCATCCATGTAATCCTCTTTTAATGGATCAAATGAAACTTTTAAGTGACTATGGAATAAAATATCTAAAGTTCTTTCAAATTTTCTTGCATTCTTTAATTATTCAGTATTAATTGGTTCTGGTAAATTCTTCCATTTTTGGAATGCCATAATAGCACCTCCAAATTGAGTAGCAAACAACTTAGCAAAGAATCTATCTTAAACTGCAGTTATGCTTGAATTTCTTCTGAATTTAGCAAGAATTGCTCTTAATCTAGCAAAATCATTATTTTTAGAGAAATTAGATATAGCTTCCAATAATAATTTCTTTTTCTCATCTGTCATTGCTCCTTATAATTTTTCTAATTTTCCATCGTTGTACCATTTCATAAAGAAATATCTTAAATTACTATCAAAGTTTCCAATTAATCTTAGTAATGCTTTTTCTTTCTTTTGAGATTCTTCATCTGGTTTTAATGGGGCAACATTATTTTTAATATGTAAACCTATAAATCCAAACAATCCAATAACACATTTGCATCTTTCAACTTCTTTAATTAAACCAACATTTTTGTTCCATTAATCCAAAGCTCTTTATTATTCAGATTCTTAAGTTTTGATCATTAAGATGATTGCTCTCTTTTTAAGAGCTTATGCATCATCATAAACTTCCTAAAGAGGATTCCAAGTCTTCTTTCTCCAAATATGTAAGGCAAATTTGTTTAATTGTGCTTCAAATTTACTTGCTTTAATTAAATCTTCAGCATTAGCTTCAGGTAAAGTTTTCCATCTGTTAAATGAATCCCAAACTACTCCAATTTAAGTTCTTAAAATTCTTGCATTAATTTGAAGAACCAATTTCTCTTTTTTATGTGCCAAAGAGAACTTAGCCAAAATTGCTCTGTAGAGTGCAAATTTATTTCCACTTTCAAATTAAACTAATTATTCAGTTAATTTTTTCTTCTTCTCAATAGTTAAAGCATCTTCAAAGTTCTAATTCATTCTTTCCTATTAAGCTCTATTTCTCCATAAAAAGAATGCTCTGCTTAAGTTTTCAGTTTAACCTTAGAAAATTAAATGAAGAGCTTTTTCTTTTGCTTATGCTTCACGAGGATTTTACATTATAGGTTGAACATTAGCAGTTACAATTTAAGCTAAGCAAACAAACATATTTGTAGTCAACCTACAAACTTCAATTTATTTAGCTTATCTATTCTATTAAACCCAAAGTAAGAATAATCTTTTATGAGCACTCATACTCTTTTCAAATAATTTTCTTAGACACATTCTCTTTATATTTTAAGCATCCATGTAATCCTCTTTTAATGGATCAAATGAAACTTTTAAGTGACTATGGAATAAAATATCTAAAGTTCTTTCAAATTTTCTTGCATTCTTTAATTATTCAGTATTAATTGGTTCTGGTAAATTCTTCCATTTTTGGAATGCCATAATAGCACCTCCAAATTGAGTAGCAAACAACTTAGCAAAGAATCTATCTTAAACTGCAGTTATGCTTGAATTTCTTCTGAATTTAGCAAGAATTGCTCTTAATCTAGCAAAATCATTATTTTTAGAGAAATTAGATATAGCTTCCAATAATAATTTCTTTTTCTCATCTGTCATTGCTCCTTATAATTTTTCTAATTTTCCATCGTTGTACCATTTCATAAAGAAATATCTTAAATTACTATCAAAGTTTCCAATTAATCTTAGTAATGCTTTTTCTTTCTTTTGAGATTCTTCATCTGGTTTTAATGGGGCAACATTATTTTTAATATGTAAACCTATAAATCCAAACAATCCAATAACACATTTGCATCTTTCAACTTCTTTAATTAAACCAACATTTTTGTTCCATTAATCCAAAGCTCTTTATTATTCAGATTCTTAAGTTTTGATCATTAAGATGATTGCTCTCTTTTTAAGAGCTTATGCATCATCATAAACTTCCTAAAGAGGATTCCAAGTCTTCTTTCTCCAAATATGTAAGGCAAATTTGTTTAATTGTGCTTCAAATTTACTTGCTTTAATTAAATCTTCAGCATTAGCTTCAGGTAAAGTTTTCCATCTGTTAAATGAATCCCAAACTACTCCAATTTAAGTTCTTAAAATTCTTGCATTAATTTGAAGAACCAATTTCTCTTTTTTATGTGCCAAAGAGAACTTAGCCAAAATTGCTCTGTAGAGTGCAAATTTATTTCCACTTTCAAATTAAACTAATTATTCAGTTAATTTTTTCTTCTTCTCAATAGTTAAAGCATCTTCAAAGTTCTAATTCATTCTTTCCTATTAAGCTCTATTTCTCCATAAAAAGAATGCTCTGCTTAAGTTTTCAGTTTAACCTTAGAAAATTAAATGAAGAGCTTTTTCTTTTGCTTATGCTTCACGAGGATTTTACATTATAGGTTGAACATTAGCAGTTACAATTTAAGCTAAGCAAACAAACATATTTGTAGTCAACCTACAAACTTCAATTTATTTAGCTTATCTATTCTATTAAACCCAAAGTAAGAATAATCTTTTATGAGCACTCATACTCTTTTCAAATAATTTTCTTAGACACATTCTCTTTATATTTTAAGCATCCATGTAATCCTCTTTTAATGGATCAAATGAAACTTTTAAGTGACTATGGAATAAAATATCTAAAGTTCTTTCAAATTTTCTTGCATTCTTTAATTATTCAGTATTAATTGGTTCTGGTAAATTCTTCCATTTTTGGAATGCCATAATAGCACCTCCAAATTGAGTAGCAAACAATTTAGCAAAGAATCTATCTTAAACTGCAGTTATGCTTGAATTTCTTCTGAATTTAGCAAGAATTGCTCTTAATCTAGCAAAATCATTATTTTTAGAGAAATTAGATATAGCTTCCAATAATAATTTCTTTTTCTCATCTGTCATTGCTCCTTATAATTTTTCTAATTTTCCATCATTGTACCATTTCATAAAGAAATATCTTAAATTACTATCAAAGTTTCCAATAAGTCTTAGTAATGCTCTTTCTTTCTTTTAAGATTCTTCATCAGGTTTCAATGGTGCAATATTGCTTTTGATATGTTATCCTAAAAATCCGAATAAATTTATCACAATTTTGCATTTCTCAACTTCTCGGATTAATGAAACATTTTTATTCCACTAATCTAATGTTCTTTATTATTCAGATTCTTAAGTTTTAATCATCAATAAAACAGCCCTTTTCTTAATTGCCAAAGCATCATCATACACTTCTTATAAAGGATTCCATGTGTGTTTTTTCAAAATATGAATTGAAAATTTATTTAAAGATTATTCAAAAATACTTGCTTTAATTTTTAGATCATTATTATCTTCAGGTATTTATTTCCATTTATTGAATGATAACCAAACTTATGAAATGGTATTTCTATTTATTATTGCTAAAGCCTTTCTTTTGAGATTATTTTCAATAGCATTTTGATTGAATCTTCTTAATACTTCGGTTAAAGCATAAAACTTTACTTTAGATCCAGCATTAATCCATCCAATCAATTTCTACTTGACGATTTAATCATTTAATGTAACATTAAGTTAGGAAAATTTATCAAACATTTTCATTTCCCAAGCTTTTCGATGCCATAATAAGAATGCTTTTTTTAAGTCGCTTTAGGTGACAGCAATTATTTTGTTTATGCAAAATTTCTTTTTAGCTTATCCATCTAATAACTCATTCTCTAATTAATCCCAAGAATTTAATTTCACAAATCGAAAAGCAATTTTACCAAGAGAAATAGCGAATTTACTTACTTTAGCTTAATTTTTCAATGCTTCATCTCCAGGCAATTATTTCCATTTTAAAAATGATAATTCAACTTATCCTATTTAAGTTTGAAGAACTCTTAAATGAATTTTTTTGATTAATTAATTTACTTAGTTTTCATTATAAAAGAGCTTTAAAATTCTTCTTAATCGATTCAAGTTGTCATTTTTAATGAATCTTTGTAGATTGATTAACATAAACTTTCTTTTCTCATCTCCCATCTATTCTGAAATTTTTTATTGTTTATTGTAATTTTTCCATTTTAAAAACGCAATCATTAAATTATTAGTAAATGAAGACATTAATTTTACCAAGCACTTTTCCTTCATTTCAGCATCTTTTCTAGTGTATAAAAAGGCTCTTATATTATTTTTCATAATATCTTATAAAGAATCAAAAAAGTTATTAGTTTTTTAGCAAGCTATAACAGATTTATAGATTTTGTTCATTGATTGCCATTAGCGTAGAAATCTTTAAGGTGCACTTAATTATTTGACTAACATCTATTTGATACATAATTTTTTAGATTAGATGCCTTAATAATAAACTTCTTTTAGAGGATCGAAAGATTATTTTACTCTTTATTTAAAAAGGAATTGAAGTCTAAGTTAGAATTTTGAAACGTTTTGCAACATTTATTATTCAGATGGATCAGGCAACTATTTCCATTTACGAAAAGCTTCCATAGCCATCCCACTTGTTGTCAAAATAATTCTACCAAAATACTTATTTTTAATTTCTTGTTATTCTCTCAAGGCTGCAAATTTCCTTAAGACTTATCTAAGCAAACCTTTCTCTGTTTTATTAGCTGTATCCCCTAATCTTGAAATTATTTCCTGTTTATTTATATTATCTAATTTTTCTTGCATTTTTTTTTGCATAGAAACATTTTCTATTTATCTTAAAGCATCAATTTTTTGTCTTTATTGTATCTTTAAAATCAGCTTATTTAAAAATTAACATATTTCAGCTTTTTTACTCAATCCAAAAAATTTGAATGTTTCTTACTTGACTAATTATTAAGTCACATTAGCACTAGCTTAAAGAGCCTTAATTTTTTTTAGGTTTGTTTCTGTTAATTTAGCATATGTATTATAATTTGCCCATTTATAGAAAGCTGTATAGGATTGATTAAATGTAACTTCTATTAATTCTCTTATGACTTTAGTTTTCTTATTTTTAGCATCATCATCAATAGCCTTAAAAGAATTCCAAACTAATCGTTTATTTTAATCAGCTTTATTTGTTAATTTCGTAATTAATAACATTCCTTACTTTTTCATATCATTTTCTCTTTTATCAGGTAGATCAACCCATCTAGTATAACATCTCTATAATCTACCAAAAGTAGTTTTTAGTAATACACTGAAAAACTTTTTTTTAAGTCTAAAGTTCATTAAATCTCCCCTCCATTTTTCAAAATACTAAAGATAATTTAATATTTGATACTTCTTTAAGTCTTTATCTATCTAATCGATCGTTTCTCATGTTGTATTCTTCTCCTAACCTTTCAAGTGCTTTCAATTATTTTTGCAATTTATCTGATTTTATTTTTGAAAAAAGCCTCCACCAGTTAAATTTCTCTCTTAAGTATCTTTCTCTATGTTTAGAACTAATGCTCCAAAGTAGTAATCCAAGCATTTTATCAGAATCTTAATTTTTTGGTTTTAAAGCAGAGATAGCAGCAGTTTTTAATTAGAAATCTTTCTTTTATAGGAAAAGAGCCAAGTTCATTAAACACATATTTTTTCTTTTTTTTGCATTCATTTTTTTTAGAGGATCTTTTTGTCTAAAAATACATAAATAATATAATACCCTAAAAGATTTTTTAACTTGTGAAAAGCATTGAATTCATTTAGTCTTGAATTGAGAAGAATTTAATCAACAGCTTTCTTAACGATTTCAGGATCAGCTCGTACTTTCCATCTTACTTATAAATTTATTGTTTTACCTCAAAAATGCCTCATGAAGTGATGTATGACTTTCATATCTCAATAGCTAAGACACAATCTTTCCTTTAATTTTTGTGGAAATCTTAGAAACATCAATTTTTTTCTCGATCATTGCTGCTCTCATTCTATTAAGATTATAAAAGAAAAGTAATACCTAAGCATAGCCCTATGAAGATTGTGCTGCCCATGTAAATTTCCTAGATTGAATATGTGACTTAGCAGCTTACGATTCTCTTTTAATAATTCTAATTTTTAAGGTGTCAACACAGATTGTTATTATTATTTGTTCTTCTGTCTAAAATTTATCATATTAATGCTTACAATTAACCAGGTGGCATATTTACCAGAATGAAAATAAATTATATTAATAATAAAGATTTAAATAGATACATTTTCTCGTTTTATTTCAATACAAATAATAAATAAATAAAAATATTACATCAGAACAAATGTATTTGAAAAAATATCTCTTAGAACATACCATTCAATTTATATTTATTTAATAGACCCTTCCTAATCTGTAATTTATTATTTTCCCTATCTTTTAATGATATTTTTAACTTTCAAAATCAACTGATAAATATTTTCTATATATAATTCAAATATATATATATAAATTTACATATAAAATGATAAAAATATTATTACTAAAAATATAGTTCTAAGTATTCTAGAAAAATCTATAAACATTATTCTAACTCCTTCATCTTGAGTATTTTTAGTTCCAATGTCTGAATCAAATGATTTTTCAATTAATTAATTGAAAATAAGTATTTATCATTAATATTATTGTACAAATTGTCCTCTCTATAATAGCTATTATTGATATTATATTAATTTGTGTAATTGCATAATTGATAAATAGTTCTAATTCACTGAAATTTAAGTTGGAAAAAAATTATTTAAGTTAATCAAATGATATATCAATAATAGGAATTATATTTATAAAATCATAATCAAGAAGAGAAGTATTTTTCATTTTTTAATCAATAAAAACAGAATTTTTAATTCCCTTTTTTTTTCATAGTTTCTAATAATTGAATAATGAAGTATATTTCAAATATAAAAATAAAATTGTGTTTTATTAAATAAAAAATATTGATAAATTTATTAAAAACGTATAATAATAAGGTTGTTAAAAGGTTTAAGCTAAAAAATAGAAAGTATCAAGTTAACTCATGTTGGCAATTAATGAACCAGTTTATAATTGATAATCTAATATATTAAAATTTCTTTATTATTTATAATAAATATCTCAAGGATTAAATAAATCATTTCTCTAGAAGGTTCATTCCATCCATTTTCATTTGAATTTTAGCGGCAATTTATAGAATTTAATTGAAAAATTAAAATTGTAATTCTGAAAATTTTGGCTAATTTTTTGCTTTATATTACCTTAAATTTTTTATTGTCTTTGTTAAAACATTTAAATTTTAGAGAATTTTCATCTTTTATTGCTTTTCTTTTATTATTCACAAATAATTTTGAATTCTGAGATTATTTCTAATATTAAGCTTTTCAATATTTTTTATTATGAATTCATAATCTCACAAATTTAAATGATTTAGCCAATCAACTATATCAATATAAGTTATGATTAAAAGTATAATGACTTCAATCATTTAATAGTAGGCCTCAAAATAAATTATATATTAAAAGAAAACCATATATTAAATCAGTTGATTAAGAAAAAGGGCCAAAAAATAGATTTTAAAAGAGATAAAGTAAGCACAACTAAATCATATTTACAATTTTTGAAATCCCATGTGTTATTTTTTAGAAAATTATACCAAAGATGAAAGATGCTCTTTTTAACAAAAAGGCTGGATGTTTCTATTGTTAATGTGCAAAATGGATATGGGTAAAGAAAAATAGTTTAATTTAGAGAGGAAAAATTTATTGAAGTGTTATTAAAAATAAAAAATTATCAGGTCAAATTTAGTTGATTCAATAGAAGATAAAATTATTTATGATTTAAAGAAATAAAAAGAAAGTCTAATTATTCTGTTGCTGAATATTAAAGTAAATGATAGATTTTAATAATGGATACATTTCTAATATTCTTTTGATTCAAAAGTACAATTAATCTTTAACAATTAAAAAGATTCAAGATCAGAATGAATAAGAACTTAAAGATTCGATTTTAGATTTAGTAATTTTTGAATTCATATTATTAAAATCTATATTTTAAAATATGATCCGTACATTTATACTTTAAAATGATCTATTCTTTAAATCAGAAATACTATTGATTCTACACTATAGAGATTGTTTATTTTTGTATTATCTTTAACGAGCAATTCGAAGAAGAAAATTGTTAAGAATATAAAATAATATATATTTATAAATACCATAATTGTAAAATAAATGTTAAGGCAAAATTTAATATTTCTCTAAAAGAAATTATTTAATGATATATTTATTTTCTTTAATAAAAATATTTTAATTATTTTATCGTTTAAATGAATGAAATTTAAAATGAAAATGAGCAAATGGCTTCTTATCATGAAGGTTAAAATTCATATGAAAGCAAATTGCTTTAAATATTTGATTAATTTAATCAGAAAACATAATAATTTACAAATCTCCACGAATTCTTGATACATTATTTAGGATAATTTTCTTAAGAAGCTGAATATTAGGATCAATCTTTAAAATAAGTAAATATCAAATAATTATTTCCTAATCGTCTATGGGAATTTGATTTATCAAGTAAATTTATAAATTAAGATAGAAAATTTTATTTGTAAAATCATGTCTTACAATTTTATTTAAATACTTCGAATAATGATGTACTTATTAGAAGGTAGATTTAATTAAGAAAATAAAGAATCATTAAAGATATTAAATTTAAATTGTGGCAGTTTGAAATTGCCTTTTTAATTTGCTTTTATTGCAAATTTATATTCAGAATAATCTTTATCAATAATTATTTTAATTTTGCCATAAAAATAATATATAACGAATTCTTAAGGTGAATTAGAAGAGATTAAATTTATTCATAAAATGACTTTTATTGATATAATTTATGATGATTATGGAAATGATGATCATAAAATAAATATATGTTAATAAATATTAGATGAATATCTTCATAAATATTTAAAAACAAATAATATATTTTAGAGTATTAAATTGATCAAAGAAAAACAACAGAATAATCAAACAACTAAAATAAGAATAGGAATTAAAACAAAAAATAAAAATCTATTAATATAGCCAAGATTATTTGAAACAATAAAAACAAATGTTGATGATTATATTTTTGATAATCAATCAAAAACTTGGATAACTAGGAAATTATATGAATTAATTTAGAAAAAAATAATAAAAATTAATATTTAAACTGAAAATTATTATTTGATAAAAGAATACATTTGTTTACCTTCAGCTTTATAAATAAATAAATTAATATAAAAATTACCAAAATTTAAGAATTAAATAACACAGTAATAATTATAAGCAATTGTTTGGAAAGGCATTACATTTATATTAGGAAGAAGTGGAACAGGTAAAACAACTTGTGCTTTATTTAAATTATTTATTTTAGATGCTTTATTTAATTTAAGATAGTAATTAAAACTTTAAAATTATAATATTAAATCTTAAATCTTATAAGAAAGTGAAAGTTAATCTAATGATAGACTAATATTAAAAACACTTTTTGTAACAGCTAGTCCTCTATTGGCTTGGTAAATAAAATAAAACTATTTACAATTAACCGAAAACTTTTAAGAATTGATAAAAGAAAAATTTTAAAAAAAGTCAGAATCAAATGATATAGAAGAAGAAAGCTTTTATGAAATTATTAATGAACTTCAAGAATCATAAATTAAAGAGAATATTTTAGATTCAGATGAAGATGATATAGATAACTATGAAAAAATGATGGGTAAATTTTAAAAGTTGAGTGATATAATAGAATATCCAGCATTTTTAACTTTAAGGAAAGTTATTTTCTCTATTGATGCATCTCTAATTAATCCTTATTTTAAATTTTCTTAAAAATAGCATTGTTCTGCTTAATGGCATAATGAATAAATAGGAATAGTTTCATTAAATTAATAAAGTTAACAAAATAATGAAAAATTATAAAAGAAAATTAAAGATTATGATGATTAGGAATTTATAGTTTATAATAATACATAAGAAGTAACTTTTGATTTATTTTTAAATTGGTTATGGCCAAAAATAATTAAAAAATTAGTTCATTAAAATTAAAAAATAAAGTAATTAGATCCAGCTTTAGTTTGGTATGAAATTATGTCAAAAATTAAAGGACATGCTACTTCTTATGAATATCCAAATAAATATATGAATTATGATAATTATTCATATTATCATAAAGTATTATCAGATGATTATACAAAAATTTTATATAAGGCTTTTGAACATTATGAATAAATTAAATAAAATTTAGGATATTATGATATATTAGACATTGTTAATCATATAAATTATGAATTAAGATATGGACATGATGTACTAGAAAAAGTACATTATTTAATTTTGGATGAACTTTAAGATATTCCAAATGCAATTTTCATATTATTAAATTAAATTGCAGATTTTGGTTTAATATGTTGTGGAGATAATGCTTAAAATATTTAAAAAGGTACTGGATAATAGTTTATAGAATTTAGAAATCTTTTAAATGATTCTAATTTATAAAATAAATATAGAAATAATCATATATCCACATTTAAATTATCTTAAAATTTTAGATTTCATGATTAAATCTTGTAAATAACAAATTCTATTATAAGAATGATAGAATTATTATTTCCTTATTAGATTGATGTATTTGATAAAGAAGAAAGATCTTATCTATAAGGTCCAAAACCAATTATAATTTAAAGTGAAGATATATAAATGTTATTGAACTATTTAAAAAAGAATTTCAAAGTTGAATCAAATAATATTTTATTTGGAAGTAATTAAGTAATTATTGTCAGGGATTAAGAATCTAAATTAAAAATACCAAATTCACTTTAATAAACTTTGATTCTAACAATTTATGAAGCAAAAGGATTAGAATTTGATGATGTTATTTTATTTAATTTTTTTACTGATAGTGATTGTACTTCTGATGATTGGAATGTATTAAAAAACTTTTAAATTAAAGATGTTTTTTATAAAATGAAATAAAATTCCAGTTAATTTTTGTAACATGAATTTTATGAAACTATTGAAATGAAAAAACTATTTTTAATATAGAATACTTAATAATAAAATTTATCAGATACTATTAATAAATTTGTAAATAATTAAACACTTTGTTAAGAGCTAAAATTGTTATATGTTTCTTTAACAAGAGCAAAAAGATAAATAATTATTTATGATGATAATTATATAAAGAGAAAAACAATTTAAAAATTATGGGAGGATTTAAAATTAATCTAAATTATTTATACATAATAAAATGAAAATGTAGAAGAATTTGAAATTCTTTTTAATTAATAATTTGATAATAAAAATAATTGGAAAAATTAAGGATTAAACTTTTTTAGAGTAAATAATTATGAATAAGCCAAAAAATGCTTTAAATTTGCTAAAGATTATTAATTAGAAAAAAAAGCATAAGCTTATTAATTAGCTACTTAAGCAACTCTTACAGAAAATGGAGAAAATTTATTTTATGAAGCAGCCTTAATATTTGAAGAATTGAATATTTAGAATAGGGCAGCATAATGTTATTTTTCAGCAAAGAAGTATAAAGATGCTTATAGATTATACAAATAATTAAATTTTAAAATAGAATCTGCTGAAGCTGCTTATTTCTGTAGAGAATTCGAAGAAGCAGGATAATTGTTTCTAGAGGCTAAAGATTTTAAAAGATCAATAGATTCTTATAAATAACAGGGAAATTATAATAAAATAGTTGAATTAATTTTAAAAAATAAAGATGATATATCTAAAGAAGAATATTAAATACATCTAAATAAATACTTTCCAATAATTTTACAATAAATCTATAATGAAATTGAGTTATAAAATTAGATTGCTTTTAATGATATAGATGAATAATCATAGAGTTTTTCAGTTTGTAATTCTAATCTATCTTAAAGTTGCGAAAAATTAGATTTTCAATTCAAAAACACTCAATAAAATAATTATGAAAATTAATCTAATTTTTCAGAGTCTTTTTAGGTTATAAATGATTCATTTGATCATTTATCAATTTATGATCCTGATGATGAATGGATATAAAATGATAAAATTTAATTGATATCTTCAATAAATTCAAGTGATACTAGATAATTTAATGATCAAAATAAAATATTATTGTTAAATGAAGTATAAAGAATTAATTTTAGAAAAAATAAGAAAAAAAAAGTAACTCTTGATGATTCAACATTAATTTAAATTATTTAATTATTAATTTAAATTTCAGAAGACTTTAAAATTCATATTTAAGAGAAACTTGGATAAAAATAATTAGATTATTCAAATATTATTAAATTAACTTAAATTGATACGATAAATTTAATTTTAAATCTTTTAGAGAAATTTTAAAATTATAAGTTATGCATGTATATATGTAATTAATATAACCTTTTGGATTAATTAGGAGAATATTTAGTAATTCTAGCCTCTAAATATACACCATTATATTAAAATTCTATTATTGTAGATATTAAGATGATTAGAAATACATTAAAGCGAAAACATCTACTAGATTAGGCTTCAATTGCAAATTAAGCATTATTAAATATCTTTGAAACTATAAATCCTGAAATTCTTAATTTTAAATTAGAAGATGATCTTATACAAAATAATAGTTTTACTCTTAAATTTTACTAAGATTTAATTGGACTTGGTTTTTGGAAGCAAATCATTTTTACTATGAATTATTAACACTCTAAAGATTTATGTCTATCATTTAATAACCATTAAGATTTAATTATTATTTTGTAACATATGGAAAAGTAATTAAATTTAAATTAAAAAATATAATTAATTAAAAGTCAATACTTATTATAAGTTGAATAATATTTCATTTATAAAAATATAAAAATAATTTAGATTGATTAGATATTTGAAATTACAAACTCGATAGCTCAAGGTGATTTAATTAATTCCAAAATAATCAATCAAATAATACATCATGCAAAACTTAAATAACAAAATTTAAATTATAAAGACTAGTTAAAATAATTAGAATCTATTATTTTAAGTTATTTATTATGCTGTGGTTTTATATCACCTTAAGATACAACTTTAGAATAAAGAATTCATTTAATTAATATATTATATTATTGTATAAGTTAAATTACATGTATTTCTTGGAATTAAAATTTGATAGATGCAATTCAATTTTTATTTAAGTTTTCATTTCCATAAGGAGAAATTATGAACAATTATTCATAGTATGTTTTACTTAATGTCTAATCCAAATTGTAAATAAGTTTTAAAAATGAAAATGTTTATTTTGCAGATTCAAATTTTGAATATCTTTTAATACCTTTTGAATTATTATTAAAATAGATATCTCACTATTTTGGCAGAACTAACATTTAAGAACTTAAAATTTTTGAATTTCAGTAAGATCTTCAATATAATTTTTAAACTCCTTTAACATTCATAATAAAATCAATAAAACATCAATAATTATAAAGTTTATTTTAACCATATATTTAATATAGTATGAACCAATAAAATAAGAATAAAAAATAAAAAGATTTCTTAAACTAAGATGAATATTCTATACTTTAAGTAATTAATTAAAATGAAATTAGATTATATTATGAATATTTTTTAAAAACAAATTAGAGAGTATCTAATTTATCATTATTAACTTCATAATCTTTAATTGATTAAATTGTGGTTTTGTTTTAGTTAGCTTTTAAATGTATGAGTTAGGATTAACATGCATATCTAATATTAGCAATTAATCTTTGTAATTGTTCAAATAATCTTCCATTAGCAATTTATTCTATAAAATCAATAGATAATAAGTTAGAAACTGAAAAATATTTAAAATATATAGAATTTTTAGAATGTTAAAATTATAACATAACTGAAGACATGGTTGAATGTTTTTTGGATTATTGTTATTATTGCAAGTAAAATTTATATTTAGATGAATGGAATGATCACTTAATACGGATTGGACTTTAGTTAATATTAGCATAAGATTTTATATCATTAATTGTTATTCCTGATTATTACTTAGATTATTTAAACTAGGATGTTTAATATGAAAATAGTGTTATATAAAATACTTAATTTCCACTTAAGAATTATGATATCTTGATAGAGTATTGTAATAACTTATATAATTATATGTAATCGTGTATTTCACCTTTTTATGAATAAAATGGATATTTGTTATTAATAATTATAATATTAAATTTATAAGTTATTTCATAGGAATTGTAAACTATAATTCAAACTATTTTAGCTTCATAAAATGTCGAATCCTAAATGAAAGATATTATATAAATTTTAAATTAAAGTGTCGAAATTAGAAGAAAAAAATTAATTTAAGAATCACATTTATTAATAATTCCTGATTATTTAGAAGAGTAATTAATCTAATTAGAAGTTATCTAAAAATAATAGAATAATAATTAAAATATAATACTATATCAAGAATGTTTAGATAATTGGAATTTACATCTTTCATTAGCTGATAAAATGAGAATTAATGGATTAAAGATTCTAAAATTTTATATTAAATAAAGAAAATTAATTAAAAAGAATTCTAAGATAGAACTTATTAAAAACCCACTTATTTTACGATTCATTTAATATTATTAATTAAATTCTTCTGTCTTAGAATGTATTAACAAAGATTCCAATTGGAAGAGTTAATTGTCTTATTCTTATAAGCTATAAGAGTATTTATTATTAAATATTATTTAGTGAACTATTAAAAGCAAGATAACATTCTAAAAAAATGAAAGATATATAATAAATTAGATATTATTTAGAATCAATAATCAAATTACTAATGTAATTAAAAATGGGTCATTAAATATATGATTAATTAATAAATATTGAAATAGTATTTAGACATTATTAATAAACTAAATAAAATGAATAAAGAGAATAGTAATCAATGTTAGAAAGGAATAGAGAAATGCTGAAAATCAAATGGTAAAATTTATAAGCTGGAATAAAAGTTTAAAATAAATTAACTAATATTTCTCAAAAACAATGTTTAACAATTTAAGAATAAGATTAGGAAGAAGAGAATAATAGAATATGATAATTAATTTAATAAAATACATGAATTAATTATTATTTTGACTAACTTATTAAGAACATTATAAATATCAATACAAATTATAAATGTGTCTTTATTTATAATTTCTAGTAATGGTATTCCAAAATAATAAATTATGATCAAAATTTTTATTAAAATATTTAATAAAATAAATATAATAACAATATATAAAATATGATTATCAATTTTAAATTAGTTTGAAATCTCATTAACACCCAATAAACTATGCAATAAATAGATTATAGTTTAATGATAAAATAATATATTATTACTCAAAGATTGACAACTTCTGAAATATTTTATATAATAGCAATTTGGAAATAAAAAAATAAAAAAATGCTATATAGAATTAAGGATCTAAATTTCTAATAAAGTTTTGAATTCATTATAGAAATATAATATAACTTAGCCTGAGTGTTTGAAGTTGAGTGTATGAATTTATTATTTTAATTTAACATTGAATAAATACATCATTATTATAACTCTGATTATTTGAGCATTAGAAAGTAATCTTTACAGAATTGTTATCCTTAGGTAAGCTTATTTTCAATAATCTAAGAGGATTTTTTAGAATTTTATTTTCTTGTATCATCAATATGTTTTTTTGTTTTTTAGGCATAAGTGCAATCATCAAATAACAATTAAACATCTTAATATTATTCCTAGAATAAAAAAAGATAATTACTTTAATAGAATTACTAGAAGAAATTTTGATATTAACAATTAATTTTCTAGGTTCTCCTCTGTCTATCATGACTTCAACATCTTTAATTTTAGCATGATAAATAATATGAGCCCATTCTTTTTTAACTATTTAAGTTTCTATTATAATAAAATTTTCTTCATCTTCCATCCAAAAACTAATTAAATATTATTTTATATACCATTCACCTGAAGTGCATGGTTAAAGTTTATCTTTTACTGTTTTTGCTGAGATTCTACAAGATAATAATTAACAATTATCTGGAGGTTCATAATTCTTACCAACAATCCATGTATTTGTTATATTTACTTTTTATTCAATTTATTAATTTCCATTTAAATTCAGTTTTTCTTAATTAAGTATTGTAAAACTAAATATATAAGATTATTAATTACAAAACAAGATCAATCATAAAAAATATTGCTAAATCTTTTATAGCAATCTCTTTTAATCCAACAGGTTATCTATACATTAAGTCTACATTAGTATCATGTCTATCAATTATTGGTGAAAATGCTAAATAATCTAAGTTAGGTTTCAAATAATTTAAATTTAAACTATTTAATTAAAAATAATATAAACTTGTATTTATTATAGACTATTTCATATTAAGACACTATGACATCATGATACTAGTTTTACTTAATCATCTAATTCATTTTATTTATTATATAATTATAGACATCATATAATTTATTTATTGTTTCTTTTTCTAATATCAATTTATCTAAATTTATAAAATGAATAATAATTTAGCATGCTAAAATTATTGTGCATAATCTTAATGCTGGATCAATTAAAAATATATCCAATAATTACTATATTATATGGTTTCTCTCTTTAATTATAATATTAGTGTTTGCTTCTTAAAACAAACATATTCTTAAAATATCCTTTTCTTTAAAAATTAAAACTGTCTTAATTAAATTTAATAATAGATAAAGTAGATTATCATCTTTAGTTTATAAGTAAATCATTAAGCTATTTCTAATCTTATTTGGAGACATTTCTTCTTATCCATTATTTAATAATAGTTATTTACAATAAAATAAAATATTATTATTTTCAATAATACCTAAAGATCTGTTTATTGTTTCTATTTCCTTATCACAAGCTTCTTCTTTAAGAACATAAGTTTAAATATCAAATAATTAATTAGCTTAACCTATTAATACATCTAAATGTTAATCCCAAAAATTTTTAAAACTCCAAGTGTATAAATAAGATCTAGGTTAACCAATATTAAATTCTAATAAATGAGATAAATTTTGTTATAAAGAAGGACTAAACATAAGTAGAACAATATTTTTTGATAAATTTGTAGTATTAAAATTATTTATTAGATAATTTGTGAGATGTAATGTAAATGAAATAGATAATGTTTCTTTTTTCTAAAATAAAATACCTCCAAGCATTGCTGGAATAATAGTATAAGTTAATATTGAATTATCTAACATCTTAAATTAAATAAATTAATATACATTAGATATTTCTGGACAAAATGCATATATGTCATTCAAAAAATAAAATACATCAACTAAATCATCCATTCTTTCTTTAACATCAACATTTCCATTTAAAATCTCCTTGTTAGCTTCTAACCATACATGTTTCAAATAACAAGAAAAATGAACAAAAAATAAAATAAATGGAAATCTTGCCAAATATTTTTTTAGTTATGGATTTTATACTTAATCAATTATAATATACTTTACTTTTCATTATTCCAAGTATTATTGTTCTAACTGCTGTTCTTACCATTATCTCTTTATGATTATAAAACTTTGTTGCTTACCATAATAATGGAAACAAACTCATTCTTTAATTGAAAAATAATTGAACATTACCTTCATCAATTCTTAATGCTAAACTTTTTAATAATGATATATAATAATCCACTATCTCTTCATCAGTAAAATCATAATTATACATTATTAAATCTTAAATTACAGGATGCGATAAAAGATAATTTATATTTTCTTTATTTGTTAGATTAGCTCTAATTTATACAATATATAATTACAATAAAATTCCAAAACTTTAAATTATCCCAATTATTATTTCTTTGAAACTAGATCTTTACATTATTTTTAATAATTTTTCTGCTATGTTTTCTTCAAAGAAATAACTAACTTTAATACATAATATACTCAAAAAAATCTGAATTGTTTTAATCTCCCCAAATTGAAAATTCACAAATTAATTCCACTTTTTCACATATCAATTACTTACTTTTATTATCTATAATATTTGAATATTAAAGTAATTCTTGGTAATGTTATCTATTTAATAAATTTTGTACTTATATTATTCTAATGTGTAATTACCAGAGATATTTTAATTTTTTGTTTATTTGCTCATTAGAAATATAATAAATATTTATATATATTATTAATTATTCCATATCAATATGGCATATTTTTTGGAATGCTTTTTCCTCTTTTTTCTTCAACAGAACATTATTATAAGTACTTTTTCAGCATTTTTCTTTCATCAACTAACATTTTCCATGCCTTAAAAACTGAATAAATTAGAGAATTTTGAGATTCAAATTCATCCTTAATTTATCTAAATACATAATTAAATATTATACAGTTTCTTTTCTAATTTTAACTTTTTAATAAACTCATCACCAATAGTTCTATAATGATATAAATAAAATCCTCTAAAGATCTTTAAAAATTAATTTCTTTAATTATTTCTTTTTAAAAGCTCAATAATCCATGTTTAAAAATGAACATTAAGTATATTGTTATTTTGTTAAGATTTCAAATATTCAAATTTTTTTTTAGTATTATTTTTTACTTTTTTCAAAAATTAAATTAATTGCCATTTTATTTTATCCTAATAATGTTATTAAGACTTTTAATTTATAATTTATTTTTAGATTTTATTAAAGTAATTTGATAAATTCCTTTCATAAGTTGTGCTTAATATTCTATTTAATGTCATCATAGCTTTATTAATTCTCCATATTTTAAAATACTGTTTTTTCATTTTTCTTTTTAAAAACTTAATTAAAAATTATTATTTGCTAAATTAATTAACCTTTCTAAATGCTTCTCTCTATTGTCTTTTTATAAATTAATCAATAATTTCATAAAATTTATTGGCTTTTTAAGTTATTTATTAATTTTATGTTAAAATTTCATAAAATTTAGAAACATACAATAATTTTTGTTATTTTGAATTAAAATTTTATTCTAATATATTAAAGATATTTTTAGCTCCAATCCTTTTATAAGTATGTAAACACCAAAATTATAAAATCTTTTTTTTTTTCTAATCATCTATTTGTTTAAATATATTTTAATTTTTATCTCCAAATTATTTTATTATTTTCATATTATAGTACATGTTTCTCTTATAAATTTCTCCTAAAGATTTACAAAATATTTTAAATGCTACAGATTCATTTGTTAATTTTGCCCACAATGTAAAACAGATTATTTATTTTCTAATATTTTTTTATTCCAGATAATTATAATAAACTTAATTTTAATAAAATTATCCCAAAACAAACTCTTATTTGTTTTGGACTAATTTATTAAAAGTTTTTAAAACAAACTCCCCTTTTAATTATTTTATTTGATAGCTCTGCAAATAATAAAATAATAAACTTTAACAACGTTTATAATATAATTTATTTGTAAGAACATTTTCAAGTCTATTTTCAAATGATTATAATTTCTTACTCATTTATGATAAATAAGTCCATTTAGAAAATATTCTAATTAATTTATTTTTACTTAAAATAGAATTTAATATGAACTTTTTGTTTATAAAAAATAATTTTTTAGCTTTTTTAGAAAATAAATCTTTTTACTTTTACTAAAAAAACATTTCTAATTTTTAAAATCCTTCAATAATGTTTAATTTTTTTAACCATTTATGAAAAAATCTTTTTTTTTGTGTAAATTAACACATTTTGATAATTTAATTTTCTTTATTAATTTTTTTAATTCTTTGAAAAACAGTTGATTTTATTCTTTTTTATCTATTTTAAAAAACTGAGATTAATTTTTTAATGTAATTAGATTTTATATAGTTTGATTTCCATAATTAAAAGAATTAAGATAACAAGTTAAAGTTATAATTTTTTAAAATTTCTATTTCTTTTCTATTATTCTTTAAAGCTTAAAGTGAGAATGTCATATTTTCTTAACTTTTAGTTGTAATATATTGTAAAAAACGTTTAAATTTTTACAATTTTGAAAATTTGAATTTCCAAATATTTAACATTTTACACTTAATTCCATTTATTTAATTTCTTTTCAATTTCATCATTTTATTGTTCTTAATAAGTTTATTAAATTATTTCTTTAATTATTAAAATCTAAGCTTGTTTAAAATTTTTGAAAGATAAATAGTCTTTTAAGATGATTTTGTTGAATCAAACCATTAAAAAAGTACTTTTTTAATCAAATTATGGTCATAATAAATTTTAGCATTTTCAATACGATTATTTGAAATTAATTTTCTAAAAAGTTTCAATTTTTAATCTTTTTATATATCTTTTATTGCTTAAATCATAAGTTTGACTCCTTATTATTTATTTGTAAAAACTTTCCAAGCAGCAAGACATTTTCTTAATTTATTTATTTTCATAATTTAATCTCTAGGTCTTTTCTTATTAACTATTAGGTCTTTAAAACCTTTGAAATATTTTTACAATAAATTTTTTTTAATTTACAAAACAGTAATTGCAGTAAGATAAGCAACATTTTATTCAAATATAAATAATTTTCTCATATGTTTGAAACTGCTAGATTTTATATGATGCACCTGTCTTTTTTTAATAATCTCTGTATTATTTCTTTATTTGAGTTTTTTCCTAATAATAGATTATTTAATTACATTTTATATTTATTTAATTAATTAAATGCAAATTTCATTAAGTAAAAAATTCTACCTTAAGCCATATATTTTTTCTTTTAAAAATCTCTGATTTTAATTAACTAAATAAATTTTATAATTTAATTACTTGCATATGTTTAAAGAATATTTTTTTTTGTAGATTTGTAAAACAAATACAAAAATTTTCAATCTTTCCTTTTGATTATTTTTTGGCATTCCAAAATTTCAAAAATCTCAATTTTTATTTTTATATAATTATTGGATAGTTTTTTTAATCTTGTACTTTTTAAATTTTTTTTTTCCATTTATAATCATTAAGTTATTTAAAGACTCTAATGTAATAAAAAATCTTACTTTTAGTAAACTTTAATAACATGCAGTTTATCAAAATTGTTTCGAATATTTCTTTTGTAAGAGTGCTTTTAAGTATAATTAAGCCAGAAATAAAAAGGTCCAGCTACATATTTTCCAAATAAATTTCTCTAAACTCTTCTTTTATTTCTATTTATATTAAATAATATTAATTACATTATTTTTTATCTATAATCAATTGCTCTAACTTTCATAAAATCAAATATATTTTTTAATATATTATGTTCATGAAGGGAAAGCAATTATTTATAAAATTATTACTTTTTTAAATGTTTAATTAAATTGATCCTTAATCCTCTTATCACTTTTTATTTGAGTTTAAGTGGATATTTATTCTCTTATTTATATCTTATATTATTTATCTATTTTAATTGTAAATTTTTACTTTAAGTTCTTTAATAAACTCTTTTTAATATTTAGATCTCATTATTCTAACAATATTTTTTAACCATAAGGATCTCTAAAATGCTAATCGATACTTTTTAAAATATAAATAAATTTAAATTTGTTTAATTTATGGTAAATTATTTATATCTTTTTATCTATGAATTTTTTTTTATTGTGCCCATTTTAACCAAAAATTACTTAATCTAATTAATATTTATTTTATATAGATACCTTCTTAACTTATTTACTCTATATATAGCTTAAGCCTTTGAATTAAGTTCTTTTTTCATTTTTCGTTCCTTTTTATATTGTTGCAAAATATTGAACGGTTTACTAATATAAAGTATTTGTAAAAATCGCCCAATCTAATGATATTATCTTAAATTTAAATAAAAAATTATTACTCTTTTTTTTTCTATCGAATTTAAATATTAATTTTAAATCCTTTAAAGCCTTTTCTTATTAAATGAAATATATAAATATCATTTAATTAATTTTTATATTATTTTTTATTTTAAATAGTATGATGAAAGTCTTTTAATATTTTAAGAATTTTTCTTTTATTCATATATTTTTATAGGTTATCTGCTGTTTATTTTTGTTTTTTAATAAAATTATTTAACTAAAGATATTATTTCCATTTTTTAAGGCACTTTTTCATAATTATTTAATTAGTTTCTCGCTTTTATTAATTCATAACTATTTTATTCCATTAAGAAAAATATTATTTTTATAATTTTTATTGATATAAACCATAAGCTAATAAATTATTTTGGTGTTTATCTCTTCGATGTTAATAATATAATTTAAATTTAATGAAACAAATCTTCAATATTTGTTAATTTTTCATTCTTAACAAACCTGAACTAATTTTTTTTTTTGATTTCTTATCTTATTGTATTAAATGATAATTGAACATTTTTTCAAAATATTTTTTTAATTAATTAAGACTATAAAAATGATGAGCTTGAATTTTTTTTAACCTATTTTATTTATGTTTAATGGAATAATTTCTCAATTTAGTAAAAGCTTTGTAAATATAATTATTTTTTCTCATTAGCAACACTTGATTTCTAGAATTTTTAATTCTTTTTTTTCTCAACCAATGTTATTTCTAAAATAATGTGGAATCATATTACTAAATTATCAAAATGATGGAATAATATTTTCAAAATTTAATTTTCTTAAAACTGTTAAATGTCTTTTTCAATTTAAAAAGAATCTTTCAAATTAAATTTAGGAATTTATAAAGGTTCTGCTTAAATTTCAACATCTTACAATAATTTGACAGGTTCATTATAAAGATATATAATTTTATTAAATGCAAATCTATAATGTTGCATAATTTTTTATTGTAGTACAGATATTAGCTATTGTAATGAATAAATATTAAAAGATTAAATAGTTCTATGTGTTTTTTACTATTTTTCTGATTTTATATAATCACTTTAAGCAGAACGTCTTTTTCCATCTGAAATTTATTATAAAATCTGATTAGTTAATCTAAAATAGATATAAATTGTATATAATTACTCTTTTTAATAATCAGATTAAAAATCTGTTAATTTTGATGCTCTAGTTTCAAAAGTTGGAGGAGATGCAAAAGTAGTAGGACTTGTAAATTTTTGCATTTTATTAAAACTACTTGGTTGAATTCTATTTGTTTGATTTGGATTATTTTCATCACAAGAGGTTTTTACATCAAAAGAGAAATTTAGACTATTTATTTCTTTTAGTTATTTAGGTTTTAAAATAATGTATCGTTAATACCATTTATCCCCATCATTTCTTGATTCTGTTATGATTTACTTATAAACTTTATCATACATATCTATTTCAATTCTTTTAGCTCCTTTAATGTGTTAATTAATTTATACTTCTTAATTTGTCTAAAACATCTAGAATGTTACTTAAATTATAACGACCATTCACTTAAGTCATTATTTCTTACATAACCAGTTCCATACTTGGTTTAATATTTAAATTTGAAAAATATATTAATTATTTGTTATTAAATAAATAAAATATATTAGTTCAATTAGGATTCTTAAATATCTCAATTCATTTATATTTACCCATCATTTTTGATTAAAACATTTATTATCAAAGACTAAATATAATCATTAACAAAATATTAGAAAATATCAAATATAAATTTAAAATTTTTACTATATTTTATAAAAAAATGAATGAAGAAATTGATCATCATTTAGAAATGTAAGAAACAAATGCCATGTTGCTTTAATAATTTGAAAATGTGATCGAATTATAAGAATCTGAGACTCTAAATAAACATTCAGATCCACCTTCTCCAACAAAATAATAAAATAAGAAAAAAGAAAGAATCGTCGAAAGATTATTATCAAATAGAGCTAAATTCAATGAAAAGACAGCATTATTCAATTTAATTAATACATTATAATTAGTAATGAATTTTATTTTAAATTTAGGCTATAACTCTTTATAATATCAGTTCAATTATTAATATAGAAGGATAAGCAAATTTAAAATTTTATGATACAACTCAGATCTATAGTTTTTATGTATGGAATAAGTAAGGATTTTCAGTTTATTACCTTATTATAATCTTAATTATGGTTCATATTTTAAAATTATTGACATGTTTAGTGGGTATAAAATATTTATCAAATTAGGTTATTTCTGTGTTGTCTAAAAAAGTGAAAAATTATTAACTATCTTTATGATGTTAACTTTTACTTGTGTAATTACAAGAGGCATTATTACTATATTATTGCTAATTGATTATAATTAAATTGAACTAACATAAACATATGTTTATGGAGATTCTGATAAAGTAGCCTAATCTTAAGCTGTATAATTTACTATTGTTTTGATCTTATTTGTTGCTGTTGAAATTATTATGGGTTTATAGAGCCTTTTATTAGCAGGCCAAGCTAAGAAAAAATATAAATGTACATCAATTCATCTATTAAAATAAAGCCATGCGAATAAATGAAAAGAAAATTGCTGCTCATTATTCAATAGCCTACTAAATAATGCTCAGATAATTTATAATTTGATTGTTGTATAATAAATATTGATTATGTTTTTTAATAGATATTTTTGAATTTACAACTCATATCTAATATCTTTTATTAAATATTATAATATTGTTAATTTAAAAATAATAATAAAATAAATATATAATCTAATTCAAAAGTTATATATAAAAAATATCTTGATGGTCATTATTTAATTTATTTATCATCCTAAACAACTTAATTATTGTTCTTAGAAGTATTATTTTATTCTACTCTTAAATGTTCTTAAGTATTATTACCCTGTTATCTATTGTTTTCTGGCCTTTATTAATTATTAGTTTTCTTTTGAAATTCTATTACTTAATTTTATTTATTAATTTTATAAAATTAAAAAGAATTCTCAATTTTTATTGGATTTTATCTATTAAAAAAATCATACTCTTATAGACCTAAACATATAACAGATTCTTTAATTAAATAATCTTCATAAACTTAATCAGTCAGTTTATATTAATTTAGACCTTGAAATTTAACTTCAAATTAATCTAAAATTGTTGCCTCAAATATTTATGTATTATTTTCTTTAACTAATTCACTTAATTATTAATTATCATGCAAATTTTATTAATTGAATTTAATTTAAATTATGGCTTGATCATTTTCTTTTAAATATTCTTTTTTTATTCTTTCACGTAATTAAAAAACATTTTAGATTTATGATATTTAAGAAATTAATTAGACTTTATTTGGATAAATAATTGTTTGAAAAGTTCTAGTATCAGGGTTTCTAGATTTGAATTCAAAAATTATATTTAATTATTAAAGACCAAGAGCAATTATTGTTTGATTTTCATCAAAAGAACCCTCAGAAAATAATGAATACAATTCAGGTATATTGTATTTTTATTTTATCTAGTTTTCTATCTTTTATAAAGTTTTTGTAATATCAACTTTCTCTTTTATAAGTTAACTATTATATATGAATTAAAATTCATAGATTTAACTAAAACTACTAATGTTTTTCAGTATTGGCTTTTACTTTTATATTAAAAATTCTATTTTTATATTATTTTTTTAATCTTTCTCTAAATCTCCAAAAGTAATATTATTAATTGGTTTATTATTTCCTTGAAAATATTATATAATGAATTTATCTCTCATCTCACAAGGAATTATTTATTAATCTAAACAATTAATTTCTTCTGATTTTTAAACTATCTTACATAAAATTTATTATTTGTTTTTTTTATTTAACAAAATGATTTATAGTCTATCATCAGATTTAATATCTACTTCATTATTTTATTTACTATCTAACTATTTTTATTTAGGCTCAATTTAATTAATAACTTTTTCTTAATTATTATCATTAATCTAATTATTGATTTTTTCTTGAAATTAATCATTAAATACTAAATTTTAATTATTTACTATAAGTACACTATTATTTAAAATCATTTGATCTATTATAAAAGTTTGATTATTTAATGTTATTAATCCATATTATAATTCAAGATTCACACTCTTTAGAATATTAAATTCTTTTTTTATTAATTCACATAAATCACCTACTTTTTTTTTAGATTAAATTTTAACTATTTTTAATGTTCCATCTTTCAATTGAATTTAGTAACTTGGTTCTTTTACATCTTCTATTTACCAATTATTAAGATTCGAATATAATTAAGATAATTCAAGATCATATTCAATAATTTTATTCTTTTAAGTGATTTGTATGATTTCCTTTATTTATTTTTTTTCAATTATGTGAGTAATTATTTAATGTACTTTCCAAGTGGATGGAATATATTCTTAAAAATGGTCCTAGAAATAAGTTAATTGAAGAGGCAATAAAATTTTAAACTCAACTAAACTAGAATCATTAATTCCTGTTTCAAACCAATAAGTTTCTAAATTTTAAGGTTTACCTTAGTATAAAACTACCATTTTATATTATGAATATGCCTATGCCATTATTTACTTATAAGTGTTTGAATAATCTCCAATCTTTTTTAGAGAATTTACTACACAAATAAAATTTTAGTTATTACAAAGACATTGGATCTTTATTGATTGAGAATAATAAAAATAAATTTACTTTTATGGACTAATTCCTTAATCTTATAATGTTTTTTAGAGATCAAGCTCTTAATTATTTTCATCAAAAAATTTAGTTGTGGTTGGGATTATTGCTTTTGGTAATAAAACAACTTAACAAATTATTGAAGAAATTTAAAAAGGGTTTGTATTCTCATCGTATGCAAACTCATAAATTTATTTTTCTTAAGGAATAGAAATTTTTAAGTTCATTAATTGATTAGAATAAAATTAATGATTATTAGGAAAAGACAATATTGTATAAAAAAATGATGAAATTAAAATTAGGAGGTTAATGAAATATTATCATTATAAATAATAATAATCAAAGGATTAATTCATAATTCAAAAGTTGTAATATTAATTGAATTCTATTATTAAAAATGTAAGTATATATATTCTCCTATGCATTTTAATAATAATGAAGAAGAACTCTAAGTATTTATTATTTGATAGAAAAGATAAAGAGATGAAGCGATGATTAAATTTTGAAGGTTTAAACAAAACAATTGAATAATAAATAGAAAAATATATTGGCATGCCTTAACATTATGGCTGATTTGATGAGTGAAAATTAAATTGTTTGAAACTGTAGTAGAATCAATCTATTTTGAGTTATGACTCGCGTGAATATTGATTATATCTAAAAAGAGGGTTAATTGTCAAAATGTGAATGTCAATTTTTTAAATAAATTAGATAGTTTAAGCAATGATAAAGACTAAATTGATATGAGTTATTTTAGATACAATTATAACTTGGGCTTGATGATTAAGAGAATAATTAACAGGAAATCTTTGATTGATGAATTATTTTCATATTTACATCTATGATTAAAATCCAAACTTTTAAAAATTATTGTCTCTCAATTAAATCCTTGATTAGGAAAGTTTGAATGAAAATTTCAGACACAAATCGTTCAATTTAATTTTTTATTGAATGGCATAATATGTTACTCTATCATTCAAAGTTACAGAATTTTGGACAAAGTATTTAAAGTCAGTATTCGATTTTAAGATTCAAAATGGAAGATGAAATTAATATATCGATGAGAAGTCTTGTAGAATTATTAGGCTATTTTGTATTTTAGTTAGTTTATAATTAAATAAGACTAAGTATAATTATTCAAATTTACTAAAGAGTTTATATAATAAAACTCTTCATAAAAAGTCTACCAGGTTATTTGATTATCCATTCTTATCTAGAGATAGGCAAATCATTAGAAATTAAGAATATCACATGAGATTAAACCATTTATTTTATAATTAATAGAATTATTACATTAATAATAGTATTTGAAAAAAACAATATAAGTCAAACTAATAAAGGATATTAAAATCATTAAATAAATTAAAAATTAAAAAATTAATAAAAAAAGTGAAAGAAATGATTCAAATGGGTTCAGGTAAAGCATATTTAAAATAAAGATCATCAGATNTAATATTAATTGAATTCTATTATTAAAAATGTAAGTATATATATTCTCCTATGCATTTTAATAATAATGAAGAAGAACTCTAAGTATTTATTATTTGATAGAAAAGATAAAGAGATGAAGCGATGATTAAATTTTGAAGGTTTAAACAAAACAATTGAATAATAAATAGAAAAATATATTGGCATGCCTTAACATTATGGCTGATTTGATGAGTGAAAATTAAATTGTTTGAAACTGTAGTAGAATCAATCTATTTTGAGTTATGACTCGCGTGAATATTGATTATATCTAAAAAGAGGGTTAATTGTCAAAATGTGAATGTCAATTTTTTAAATAAATTAGATAGTTTAAGCAATGATAAAGACTAAATTGATATGAGTTATTTTAGATACAATTATAACTTGGGCTTGATGATTAAGAGAATAATTAACAGGAAATCTTTGATTGATGAATTATTTTCATATTTACATCTATGATTAAAATCCAAACTTTTAAAAATTATTGTCTCTCAATTAAATCCTTGATTAGGAAAGTTTGAATGAAAATTTCAGACACAAATCGTTCAATTTAATTTTTTATTGAATGGCATAATATGTTACTCTATCATTCAAAGTTACAGAATTTTGGACAAAGTATTTAAAGTCAGTATTCGATTTTAAGATTCAAAATGGAAGATGAAATTAATATATCGATGAGAAGTCTTGTAGAATTATTAGGCTATTTTGTATTTTAGTTAGTTTATAATTAAATAAGACTAAGTATAATTATTCAAATTTACTAAAGAGTTTATATAATAAAACTCTTCATAAAAAGTCTACCAGGTTATTTGATTATCCATTCTTATCTAGAGATAGGCAAATCATTAGAAATTAAGAATATCACATGAGATTAAACCATTTATTTTATAATTAATAGAATTATTACATTAATAATAGTATTTGAAAAAAACAATATAAGTCAAACTAATAAAGGATATTAAAATCATTAAATAAATTAAAAATTAAAAAATTAATAAAAAAAGTGAAAGAAATGATTCAAATGGGTTCAGGTAAAGCATATTTAAAATAAAGATCATCAGATTAAAAAAGTATTTATATAATATAATTAAATAGATGATCCAGATACAAACATATTTACAATTAAATTTTCGGATTTAGCCTAAGAATTCAATAATACAATACATGTAGATCCATATTATTGTTCAAATTGTAGGGCAATTCTTAATAAATATTCAAAATTAAATTTTATCGAAAATTCATCTGAAGTTAGATACGTTTGTGAGTTTTGTGAGAATGTGAATAAAGTAAAAATTGATAAGAAGAATATTCCATAAAATGATGAAATATAATATTTAATTTAAAGTGAAATAGAGGAAAATAAAATAAAAAATGAAAAATCGGTTATATTTTGTATAGATGTAAGTGGTTCAATGTCAACAACAACAAAAATAAGTGGAAAAGTAGGATGCAATTCTGAAAATTACTTATAAGAATATGAAATGCTAAAAGAATTTATTGATCCAAAGGATAGACCACATTATTTAAAGAAATTATAATAAAAATAAAAGAACGTTAGTCATATATCAAGAAAATAGTGTGTTATTACTGCAATAGAATAATAAATAAAGATGTTATAAGAAAAGAATCCAGAGAAAGTAGTAGGATTAGTAACATTTAATAATGAGATAGTTGTATATGGCGATGGATCTTAATAACCAATAGTATTAAGTGGAGAATAATTACATAAAGAAGAAGAAATAAAAAGAATTATAAATTAGAATTCAAAACAAATGATGTAAAATTCTATCGAAAAATAAGGAGATACAATAATAAAGAGATTTTAATAATTAAGAGAGGATGGTTAAACTGCTTTAGGTCCAGCATTAGTATCTGCATTAGAATTAGCAAAAGTAGGTAAACCTGGTTCAATGATAATTATATGTACAGATGGTTTAGCAAATTTAGGATTAGGATCATTAGATGGTGATTCAAATAGAAATTTTTATGAAGAATTAGGATAATAAGCTGCTGAAAAAGGAATTATAATATCACTTGTTACAATAAAAGGTGAAGGATGTAAAATAGACACCTTAGGATAATTAGTTGAAAAAACTAATGGAAGTATAACTAGAGTTGCACCTGAAAAAATTGGATAAGATTTTGAAAATATAATTAATGATGCTGTTATTGGTACTTAAGTAGAATTAGAAGTAACTTTACATAAAGCTTTATAATTTAGAGGCGAAGACAATCTTTAATAATAAAACATTATTAAAAGGTATATTGGTAATATAACAAGAACTACTGTTTTATCTTTTGAATATTAACTAAAATCAATCGAAGAATTAGGAAAATTAAATATTAATATTAATTAATTAAAATCTATACCATTTTAAATTAAAGTTACTTATATCAATTTAAAAGGATAAAAATTAATTAGAGTATTTACAACTCTTGTTTAAACTACTTAAAATATTGATGAAGCTGAAAAAGAAGCTTAAGTTGATGTTATTCATGTAAGAATTGCTCAAAAATCAGCTTAATTAGCCAAATAAGGAAATTATTAAGAAGCTTGTATATATAATTAAAATTGGGATTAATATGTTCAATCTAATTAACATATTAATAGTAATCATATTAATTAATAAAAAAATCACAAATATTCAAAACATAATGCTAAATTGTCAATTGCTTTAAAAAATTAGGAAGCCAGATGTTAATTGTCCTAATAATTTAAAGAAACTTCTAATGAAAAATAAAATGATAATGATAAATCTATTAATTTGAATAAATAATAATCAACTCCTGGTGGGGAAGACACATTGATATTTCCATCAAGTAAATAAAATATAAAGAATCCATAATCAACATCTATTAAAACAACTTAAGAAAAAGAAAACAGTATATAAAAAAATAATGATAATCCTGAAGTAAATAAAGAAACTACAAGACCAACGGATTCAATTTCTAGCTCTTAAATTTGGTCATTTTAAAATAAAAAAATAAATGAGAATTAAATGACTAAATATGATTCAAACTCATTTACTAAATAAGAATCAGATTTTAGTATAATAAAAGATAAACCCAATAGCAATTCTGAATCATCAAATGAATCTGACGAAGATTAAGATTTTACAACACTGTTCTTTTATGGAAAAGCTACTTTTTGAATATATTAATTTAATTTTTATGTCTTCAAATAAATACATTGAATAATCTCCAGAGACTTAGAGTTTAAGAAATTCTGTTCGGCATTAATCATTGAATCAAAGTGTTCATGAATTTTCTGGATCAAAAGATAAATTCCAAGACCTTATGTTACCACATGCAGAATTTGTAGATCCAGGAAATTTTAAGAAACAAAGTGAATGTATAGTTTGTAGCATCGAATTTACATAGACTAATAGATAACATCATTGTCGGTATATATTACATTGATATCATATTTTAGAATGTGTGGAAATTCATGTTGTGGATTATGTTCATAAAAAACTATTAATAAAAATAGAGTTTGTGACATATGTTATATGAAAGCATCTTAACTCAATGCTGAAAAAAAAAGGACTAAATTTTTACAATCTTTAAAGGATTCAGCAAAAAGATTAAAAAAACATATAGAATAAGCAGAAAAGAGAAAGTAAGAATTATAAAATGAACGAGATGCTTAAGAGGATAAATCTTAAATTGATTTAAATGTTATAGAGAAAGAGACAGAAAAATTTAATATACAATATTCTTAAAAAACTCAAATTAAATGTTAATATGAGTAGGAAGTAAAAGAGATTAAATTAAAAATATCTGAACTAAATTCTCTCAAAGAATAAATACAATTAGAATGTTAGGAGAAAGAATCAGAAATTAGAGCTTATGATACTAATCTATATTTAAGGGAATAAGAATTGAATGATAAAAAGATTTAATTGCAAAGATTAAAACAATAAAAGGAAGAATTAGAAAATATATTCAATAAAATTGAATAGAGTCCAGAAATAGTTGAACAAATTATCATTCCAGAACCTATTAAACCACCCTAATAACAGCAATAATAATAATAATGGTATAATTCTAATATTGATATTGATGAAATTATGTATGGTACTACTAGTTAAGAAACAAAAGAGTCTTCAAATTTAATTAAATAAGAATCAACTTAATCAACATAATAACAATAATAATAAAAACCTTAAAAATCTGGTCAAAAAAAAGAGAAAGATGAAAACGAAGATGAGGAAAAATATAAATGTAATATTTTCTGATTTAAAATATTAAGTGATTATTCACTAACTATCTAATATTTATTATAACATCCCTAATGTTTTTTGAAGTAATTCTTTTGCATTTTGATATTTTTTAAAATCTACTTCTGAAATAGTTTATTGTAGGGTACTTTTAATTTAGTTTCTCATTTATGCTTATTCAATTGGTGTAAGTTTATTTATTTGACCTTATTAATCTAAATTTAATAATGTAAGATTACTTTGTTATGATTGTATTTACTATTAATTTATTTATTATTATTATTATTACTATTTCTATTATTATTATTATTATTACTATTATTATTATTATTATTATTATTATTATTATTACTATTATTATTACTATTATTATTATTTTTATTGCTATAATAATAATTATTGTTATTATTGCTATTGCTATTATTATTATAATTATTGCTATTGCTATTATTATTATAATTATTGCTATTATTATTATAATTATTGTTATTATTATTATGTTTAATTTTAAGGAGTTATAGGTTTAATGGGTTATTATTATTAAGGAATTCCTGATTTATCTTATTATTATAATTATTAAGGAATTTGATTTTATTATTATTGATGTTAGGACATTTAAATTTATTTTAATGCAATTTATTCAAGTTCTTCTTCAATAGGATCTTTGGGTTTAGGTTAAATTAAGGTTGGGTCTTTAAGTTTTTTATGTTATTCAACCATTTTAAATTTTGCATATTTTTCTATATAAAATGTAAAAAAGAATTACGCTTTTCTAGTTGATCTTAAGTTAATGGTTCAAAGTACTATAGGACTTCAATAGCCTTTTATACGGATCCAAATATTTGCATAAGTTCTGGTGAGACTTCTCCGTTTCTTTCTCTAGTATCTGCATCAAAAAAGTATTTATAAACAAACTCAGTGTAATTTTTTTTGTTTTCTTCTTTATTTTACAAAGATGGATTAGAAGCTTTAAGATTTTCTAATTCATTAATCAATTATTAAAGGATTTGTAAATAATTCTGAGTAGAAATAAAATGTGAAATAATACTTATTATTAAGTTTTTTTATAGAGTGCATGTAATTTTTGAGCAGCATAAGCTTTGGTAATATAGGCATAAGTGATATTGAATGATGTAAGTTGTTAAGAATGTTAGAGTAATGTTTAAATTGACTTGAATTCTGGATTTGTTTGCATGAATAAAAATGAATATAAATATATGTATATAGTAGATGAGATGGTTAATAATAATTTAAATAAAATAAATGGAGGAAGATTAGAGTAAATAGAGTAGTGAGATACAAATGAAACGGACAGAATCTTAGGCAGGGGTATTAGACATATAACCGCCTTAGTTAGGTATAGAGTAAGAACATCAGCAAGTGCCAGAGGTAGATTAAGAAGATGATGATTGTAAATAAGATTATTGATATATATAAAATTAGAAATAGTATAGACTCAAGTAGTATAGGGAGATTAATAAGTAGTTTCAAAGAATGGTACATAGAATGGAACTAATTCATAATCTAATATTCATTAATCAGCGATAATAAATGAACGGGTATAAGAAATGTTGGCAAAATCAGTAATATAAGCTCCATTGCCAGATGAAGCAGATGAAGCCAAAGAAGAACCATAAAATCCTATATTAGATTTAATAGCAGATGATTATTATCCACCAGAGGATTGGTAAGTATAAAATTAAGAAGAGATACAACCAGTCATTCATCCAAACACAATTTAATTCCATGATTGCTTTGGAATGGATTCAAATAAAAAAAGTAATTTATGGTTGATAGATTCATAAACATTTGTGTATGCAAGTAGTATCAGTTACCATTTTTATAATTTCGTATAAGGAACTAATGAAATATTTTTTAGTAGAGATGGAGGCGGTATTGGTAGTGTTGCTGTTCATCCTTCAAGAAAATACTATTCTGTTGCAGAAAAAGGAACATTCCCTAATGTTTATATTTATGATTTGACACATCGATTATATAGAGTATTAGAAAAAGGAACTGAAAGATCATATTCTAATTCTATATTCTCTAAAGATGGTGATAAATTTGCTACTGTTGGTTCATCACCTGATTATTAAATATGTATTTGGGATTGGAAATAATAAAAGATACTATTAAAAGCTAAAGCATTTTCATAAGAAGTATACAAAGTTGGATTCTCAGAATATAATGTGAATTAATTAGCCACTAGTGGAATGGGTCATATTAAATTTTGGAAAGTTGCTGAAACATTTACAGGACTTAAATTAAAAGGGGAAATTGCTAAATTCGGTTAAGTTGAATTATCAGATGTATATGCATTTTATCCATTTCCAGATGGCAAAGTATTAAGTGGAACTGAATATGGTCGTTTAATACTTTGGGAAGGAAATGTTATCAAAGTAGTCATCGGAATCTCTGAAGAAGAACCTTGTCATAAAGGTGCTATTGAATCTATATTCTTATATAAAGATTGTATTGTTAGTGGAGGTAAAGATGGATTCCTTAGATCTTGGAAATTAACTGAATTAGATTAAGCTGAAGGAGATGATTAGCTTAATTATTTTACTTAACCAATCAAATCATTAGAATTAGTAGATGATGGAGAAAATGCTCAGATTATTTAAGTTGTTACAGATGAACATTTCTGGCTTATTGGTGATTAAGGAGGTAGAGTTTGGAGAGTTGATTGGGAAACTGGTAAAAAAGAAATTGTATACAGAAATAATTCTGGTCCTTATCTTGATCTTGCACCTTCTCCATAATTAAATGCTGCTATTACTGTTGGTGATGATGGAGCAATCACTTTATGGGATTACGTTAAAAGTGAATAAACTTATAAACGTAAATTTGCTAAAAAAGCTACATGCATTTAATGGATGCCTTTCACTATGACTAATAAGGGTAGAGTTGTTGTTGTTGGATATAGTAATGGAATTGTTAGATTTCTATTACTCAATTAAGAAAACTTTGTTTTATTAAATGTATAAAAAGTACATCCTAATCCTATACAAAAAATTATAGTCTCCAGTAATACTAATTATGTTGCTGTCTTATCCAATAAAGGAGAAATATTCTTTCTCAAATATTCCGATTCCAATATATAAGATATTCAAGCATATTGCTTATGGGAAACCAAATTAAGCATCAATGATTTCTGTTTTGATAAAACGGGAACTAAAGTCATGATGGCATGCAAAGATGGATACTTATATCAAGCTCTTGTACCTAATGATGTAGATAATAGTGAAAATTATTTACAAGAATTTAATGCTACTAAATATTTAGTTAGAATGATGGAATCTTAGAAACCAAAGAAAGAAGATCTTGATTTATAGTTTTTAATGAAACTCAAAGATGATAAGATGCCAGATGTAGAATGGGATCCTGCTAGTATAATGAATGTTGTTTATTATGGAGATAAGATATTATGTACGGCAGAAGGGAAATATTTGGGATGTTGTTACATTATTGATTTAAATAAAGATAGACCTATAGAAATGATTCCTATATAGAAAATGCAGACTTTTCATATAGATTATAAAGATGATGTATTAACAATTGGTTATAAAAATGGGTAATGGGATATTCGTCATAAGACTGATTTTAATAAATAGATTAATAAATAATCTCATGATATGGATTATGGACGTGTTCGTAAAGTTAGTTTGACTTTTGATAGAAGTGGAGTATTGAGTGTTAGTGATGATGGAACATTTTATGTTTACAAGATAGATTTTCAGAGTTTCTTGATGTAATTGAGTGGAAATGATGTAACAGATTTCTAATATTCTGAATTTACAATGGGAATAAATAGTGGAACATTTGCTGAAGAAATAGCATTTGAGGAATCGTAGGATATTTTGGATGATACTATATATTCAATTTAACAAGCAAAATTATTGGCTGAAGAAGATAATCGTAGAAATGAGGCAAATAAGAAGAAGGAGACAGTAAAATCACGAATTTTGCAATTAAGAGAATAATTTTCATAAGTGAGATAGAAAAATTAAACATCTGAGGATGCTGCAAAATTAACAGAAGATGAATTATGTGTTGATCCTGAGTATAAGTAGATGTTATTGGATAGAGTTGCTGAAGATGTAGAAGAAACAAGATTAGAATTAGAATGGGATAGAACTTTAGCAAAAATGAAGGCAGATAAATTAAAAGCCTATATGATAGAGGAGCTTGAAATAGATAAATTTATGGTTAAAGGATTTAGAAATTAAGCTTCTGTATAAACATTTAAAGTCAAAAAATTAAGCAATTTTCTTATTGAATAATTAAAGGAAACCTATAGATTGATTGAGGAAGAACGAAAGAATTAAGAAAATTAACCATAAATTGAAAATAAGACTTAAGAGAAAATATAAGTTTAATCTTAAGTTAAAATCACTGCTGTAGATATGAAAGAAGAACAATAGAAGGCAACAGTTTAATAAATGGATCCTGATTAAAAAGTACCTTAGGCTAAATTAGAAAGAGAAAGATTACGTTAAGAAGAAGAAAGAATTAAGAAAGAATAAGAATTATTAGAAAAATCTAAACCTATTGAATTAGCAAAACCAGAAAATGCTCCAGATATTTAAGAAGCTATTAAATAATATGGTGATTATAAATTAAAGAGTTCACCTAATTATGAAGTACCAGATAATTAGAGAATGAATGTGAGCAAAAAAAGAAAACATATGTATATGTTAGAAGAATTCATATATAATACTAAATTAAAATTCAATTAACAATTATTAAATTTAAAAAAAAGAAAAGGAAATCTAATTGAGAAAATTAAGAAGTATAATTAATAAATTAAGAAAATCAATGAATAATTAGGTAAATAAGAACAATTGTTTTAACCAGACATCGATAAAGAATTGGAAGATCCTCACAGTTTTATGGAAATTAGTGATGAACAAATCAATGAATTTATTAGTAAATTGTAATAGTAATAATAAAAAAAAGATGAATAAAAGAGAATTGCTCCTGCTTAAATTTCAAAACCAGCTGAATAAAATTAAATTAAAACTAGAAAAGGAATAAGAGTATAATAATCAAGTCTTGAAGAGGAAATGAAGACTATTCAAGATATGGTATTAAATGCAGAAAAATAGAGAATGATTGAGGAAATGTAGGATGAGATTAATTAATTTGATAAGGATGTGGTTAAGTGTCAAAATGAAAAAAATGTACTTGAAAGTGATATGTTGATAGCTTAGATGAAATTAGTAACATATTATTAAGAATTGATTATTTTAGAAGATATGGAAGATTTCGATAATAAATTAATAAAAGAAGTTTTGGATTTTAAAAAGGAAAAGTAGAATTTGGAATAATAAGTAGAGAAGATCTTAGAGAATCTTGCTACATTATAAAAGAAGGAATAATAAAATGATAAAGATTTGATAGAATAATTGAAAGCATGGAAAGAATTGGTTCATCCTGATGATGAATAGAAGCGAAATAAAATTCATGATTACTATCGTAAAAAATTTAAAAGAGAGATGTTGAAGAGATTGAAGAAACAATAAGAGAAAGAACACTCTGATTCTGAGGAGAATGAAGATGATGAAGAAAATGAGGATGATAATGATGATGATATTGTATCTGATGATGATGAAGAAGAAAAGCCTGATATCTCTCCTGTAGAGTAAGATCCAAAAGTTAGAGATGTTATTGAGAAAATCTGTGGTTTGGAAGAATAATAAGATAATTTCAAATAGGAAAAAATACAAAATGAATAATAAAAGTCTAAATTAGCCAATAAAATAGCTTAGAATGATATTTATTTAAAGAGAGCTAATGATGATTTAACATAATATCAAAGAAAGAAATTATAAAGAGTTAATCAATTAGATGTAAGTTTTGTATTAAAATTATCATAAGTTTAAAATCTTAATGATTAAAAATAATTACCTATTGATCTCAATAAATCTATACTATTTACAGAATATGATTTTTTTAAACTTTGTAAAAGAGTTGTTGAATTGAAACATGAATAAGGAAAAATAACTAAATAAAAAGCTTAAAAGGATAAAACTAAGAAAATGTAAGAAAAGGAAATTAAATTAAAAGATCTGAAAATAGAGGATTTAAATAAAAAATATGAAGAAAAACATATGTTAAAATTTGGAGATATTATTGATCTTAAAATATTGGATGCTTTAGAACCTACAAAGGCAGTTTTAGATATGAGAGCATAATTCAATTAAGAAGAAAAAGAAGCTTAAAGAAAAGTTTCTAGAGCTAAAGAAGAATTATCAAAAGTGAAATAATAATTATTAGAAGTCAAACGAGAGAATACTAAAATTTTTACAAATATAACTAAATTAGGCAAATAATAAATGGATTTAAGTAAAAAATTAACATCAGGCAACAAACAATTATTTAAAGGAGATAATAAAGAGAAACGATCAGATATGGATAGTGATAGATAAAGTTTAGAAGATTTAGTCAAATTTTTGGGTAAGGAAATAGAAGACCTTAAGAATGAGATTGGTTTATATAAAAAGAAAGGTATTAAATTGAAATATAAAAATAGGTGGTCATATATATACAAGTATTACATAAACAAATTAAAACTTTGTTTAAAGATGATATATAAATGCAATTATTATAAAAAGAACAAACTATATCATAATCTTTCTTTATCATCCATATCCAATTAATTTTGAGCTGAATGTTTGTAATCCTTTTGTTCATCATATTTATAATCTTTATCTCCTGAATCAACTCAATTCTTTCAATACATTAGTTCCATAATTAATTTATTTTTTTTTATTCTCTAGGTGTCATTTTATTTAAATTCAATTGATTATTATAACCTATTTATGAATACAATATCCTATATTATTAATCTGTGATTTCATTTTCTGAATCCATTTCAGAATTTTATTCATAGCATTCCTCATTTTCTTTTTCTTATTCTTTATCATAATATTCTAAAACACATAGCCTAATTATATAAATCTTTTCTAGATATTTCATAATCTTCAATATCTATGTTTTAGATATATTTGTCGAAGCTTAAGTCAAAAACTAATAGGTTTTGTAGAAGATGTTGATGTTGGTCTTTGTTAAGTAGTATTTGTATTTAAATTTAGTTTAGTAATTTATAACCTTATTTTAGATCTTACCAATCAACTCTATTTTATTGATGTTACATTTAATTACCTAAGAATAATTTTTTCAGGAATCTTATTATTCATAAAATATATAGCATGTTTTTTCTCTAAATATTCTAATGTATGATTATAGGAGTACCAAGTCTTAATTTGAAATGTTTCATCTTATGATGATAAAACTTTTTCTGATGATGGCTACAATATAGTCAGATATTTTTTGAATATTAAAATATTGAATAACATTTTATTCTTATCTCTTTAATCATTCTTTTTGGTTAATACTATGTAATACTTTTTTAATTTATATCAAAATTATACATAAAATATTAACTTACAGATTTGAATTATAAATGGGATAAAATAATTGCACTCCTAACATTCCTGGATTGGAAAATTGCTATGCTAGATATGAATAAACTGATGAAAATAAATATCCTTATTTAATAGCAAATAAACATAGATTAGCAGAATCATAAAACTCGCAGATCTTTGAATTATATCAAAAACAACAAGATCAACTTAGATGTTATTTGTAAACTTCTCGTTAACTATCTTAATCAACAAGACGTAATTATGAATTTGAAGGACGTTTTCTTAAACTTCCATCTCATCTTATTTGTCATATAATGTATTTTGTTATTGATGATTATCTTAACTTATTACTCGTTAATACATTATGGTATACAAGATTAAATGAAGCTTTTTCAAAAACAGTTAGTATTGTTGATGAGAAATTTTAACAATCTCATTCGTTTTTAAAATTAAAATAGTCTAAGAATGCTTTTTAGACTTTTCAATTTGGAAGACAATAAGGTTTTAGATTAGATAGATGTCTAATTGCTGAAATAACTCCTGGTTTTGAAAGTATATAATTATACTAATTTAAGATTCTATTGTTAAAATATCGTATACCTATCTTTGTAAAAAATAAGAGAAAGCTGTATGTTATAAATTTGCTATCTTAAGAAAGAATACTGCTAGAACTATTTGGATTGGAGTTGATTAAAGCACTGTAACAATCTAATTATTAAATATAGAATATTTATGATAAATAAACAGTTCCTGTAATCTAACCAGTCTTACCTTTTTGTATTGGAGACTTTATAAGAATCCCATTTACTCTATTAAATATATAAGGATAAGTTAATTTATAAAGCATAAAATGGAATAAACCATCTATTGAAAAACTTGATGTCGGCATTTTTGGAAGTTAATTAAAATATTATTAATAGATCCCAAACATATAGCAATGTAACCACCTCTTAGATTCGAACCAAAAGATGCAGATTGGACTCTATTTTAATACTTTGATCATCCAATGAAAAAATGTTTTGATAATTTCAAGCAAATTAAATTAAAAGAGTGTAGATGTTGTGGTAATGGTTTAGTAATTAATCGTATGAATTATACATGTGTTTCTGAGGGTCAACTAATCATACCTTAAATTAATATGAAACTTATAGTCAAATAAGGTTCTATTACTAATCAAGTTCATCGAGCAACCGTTAGTTTTGAATTAGATAACACTTTAGAATTAAGAATTGGAGATCTCTTAAACTTGTACTATCTAAGAGGAGGAGATTCATGATATATATATATTATTATATAATAACTATCATTCTAAAATCATTAGATTTTTTTATTTTACATTTCTCTGATCATTTAAAATATTAATTATATTTATGTCATAAATTTAATATAAAGATAATACAAAATCACAAATTTAGTAAAAAAATGAATCATAAATTTCTATATCAGAACAAAAACAACTTAAAAACGACAAAAATAAAAAGCCTTGTTTTAGTTTTATGTAATGATTATATATAATATCTAGATATGGATAATAAGGAGAGGATTCATAATTAATATCCTTTTCATTAACTTCAATTGAACAATTAGTTTTAAATAAGATTGAAGATCTTGCTAAAATAATTGCTTAAGTATTAGCAATAGAAACATTTAAAAAATATCATAATCAAATAAAAGGCTTGAGTTTATATATATTATAAAATTAAATATCAGAGCAAAGAAGAGATTTTAATATTTTAGAAGAGGATTGTTTAAAAAATGGAAATTAACAACAATTATTATTAGCTAAAGAGGAGTTCAAAAAGTATTTAAAGATTCTTGAAGATTTTCTTTAGAATTAAGAATACAAATTATTATTTTAAAATATTCTACAACCTCAACCTTCATAATCAACAATCCTTTTTGAGCCAGAAAAAAGGTATTTAGATGCACTTGACAATTATCACTATTAATCAACTATTAATTTTCATCACTCTTTGAAAAATGATAAAACTGGATAAGATTTATTTTAGAAATTATAAACTTATTAAATTGAATTAAAAAAATTTCTATATTTTGATCTTATTGAACAAGGTATCAAACATCTTGATTGCCTATTAAATTTTATATTGATTCTAAAAACTTAAAATAATCATTATGCTCTTTAATTATTAAATGATTTTATTCAATAATTAAGAACTTATGATGACAAAAATAAATTAATTGATGAAATTGAATTAATAATTGAAGTATTTCTAGAATTATCAGAATATTTCCAAGAACTTTTAAATTGTATTAAAAATGATAAACTTACTTTTAATGGAAAAATAGAACTTAATAATTAATAATTTGAAATCATTATGTTGATTTAAGATAGCATTATTCATCGCAAAAGAGCATTAAATATTTAATTATCTGAGCCAACTAAATATGTTATGCAATAATTAAAATGGATATATAAAGTTGGTTAATTTGAAACAATAATAAAATAATTTAAAGATTTGTAGAAATATATCATTCAAAATTTTAATACATAATTAATCTTTGAATTAGAATTCATTAAAGAATTATTTATTTCAACTAAATTAAGATTACTAATGGAAATGATTCTTTTAATGAATGTCTTGCAACATAATGATATTAATTTACAATATTTTAATTTCTAAATTTTATTGTATCATGATTAAGAGATAATTAATGATTGTGCATAATAGAATGAAGGTAATTTTTAAAATGATATTCATGAACCTTCAGGTTCTATAAATTTAATGAATATGCAATAAGCTTTACTTCTTTTTTCTAATATTTGTTAATAAACTGCTATTTATGAAATAGATCCAAAGAAAAAAATGTCTAACGATTTTTTAGAGTAACAATATATTTATTAAATTAGAGAATTGAATATAAAGCTCAAGGAATCAATATAAACTCTTGTAAGAGAAGTTCACTCAGGTCATACAATTATCAAGTTATCAATTTTACTTAATTCAATTTTTTTATTCTAAAAGTTAAACATAAAGATTTTTGCTATTTTATACCCTTATTTTTTGGAACTTCAAACTCTAGGAAATTAAGAACTCAAAAAAAAATAAATTTTAGATATTCCACATCAAGTTCCAAACTTATATTAATTATTAATTGCATTCTAGTAGGAAGGTAATAAATAAATTTAATTCAAAAATAAAGTTAATGAATTTGCAGAGAATTTCTTTGATGATTAAAAAACAGATTTTATTGATTTGATAAAAGAATTAGAATAATTTGATTCTAAAAAAAAGTAGAATTTATTATAGAATTCAAAACAATATTATGCTAAATGTTTTAAAGAACATTTGTTAAATTTAGCAAAAATTGGAACAAAATCATATGAAGAAGCAACATAATTTTTAATTTCATAAGTAGATCCATGAATATGAAATTTTATAATTTCATTTTGTTTAAAATTATTTGGCTAGATAAATTTAATATTATTTTTGAAATTAGATCTAATATATCACTACCCTATTATCATTATAATCAAATGTTTAAATTCATATTGTAAATTTTATAAGATTTATGTAATATTAGCTATTATTATATTCTACTTGTGTTTAATATCAATTGAAATATTATATAAGGCATGCCTTATTGTTTTTTTTCTGTCTTCATTATATTCTTACTATTTTTATTAGTTATTTAATTCTAAGTTTATAGTTATATAAAGATAATATTCTTTAATTTAATTTTTCTACAGGTTTCTAAAATTTAATTTATATGAAGTTTTGTAGTTAAATCCATAGGTTTATATTGCTAAATATAATACAGAATATATAAATATGAATCTAATATAACAAAAGGGGTTTAATTAAATAATTAATATAACATGGTTAAAAATGAAGATGAATTGAAATTTTATCAAAATTGTCATATTTTATAGAATAGATAAAATGGTTAGATCAAGCAAAAGAATTTTAAGAAGTTTATCTGTAGCACATTAAGATTTATATTTTATTTCTATGTATTTAAATTAAGATTAGTTCATATTAATAGAATGATAAAAATAATAATTATTTTAACTCGAAATCAATAAAGAATTGGCTTTATTAAAAATGGAATTAAGTATCTATTCAAAATAATTGGATCTTAAGTATGATATTGAGGTAATTAAGTCAAACAATGTGGAGAAAATAGGATAACAACTTTTATCTCGATTTGGATATCCAAAAAAAATATAGTTTTCAATTTTTGATGGAGCTTAAGAATTGGATTTATAAAAGGCAATTGAAGAATATTCATTAAATAGATCCTCAAATTTAATAATTCTATTTACAAACAAAATTGAAATCACTCTTATACATAAATATTTTATGAATTGGAAAATTATAGTAGAATCTTGGGATAAGTTTAGTGTTATTTAAAATAGAATATAAATGTATTATGGATTATCCTAGAGTTATGAAATATGTTTAAAAGCATAAAAAACAATTTATTGTTCAGATTTTTTATTAGTTCATGAAGATATTCATGATTCGGTAGAAATTTAATGGGAAGCTTATGAATATTTAAAATATGAATTTGAGAAAAATTAATATTAAATTAAGATAGAAATATCTAATGATTGGGATACTATTGCTAATTAAATTAGAGAGAGATTATAAATAAAATAATTTGTATAAATTCATCCAAAACTATCAAATAATAATTAATAAATCAATCCAGCTGAATAGTTTTGTAAATCACAATTTTCTACTCAAAAAATTTTTGAAGTAATAATTCCTCAATAAATTAATATTTAAATAAAATATAAAGAACATGTTTAAATATTAAATGTAAAATAAGAAGAGATTGTAAGTAATTTAATTGAGAAATCAAAACAATAACTAAAGTTATAAAATCAATCAATTGATATATGTTATTAAGGTAAAATTCTTTAAATGAATGAAAAAATCAATGATTTAAATTTACATAGGAACTCAATTTTTGAATTAATAAAATAACCTATTAGTTTAAATTTATAATTTTTAAATGTTAAAACAAATGAATTGATTGAGAAGGTAATAGATATTGAATTATAATTGATAACAGTATTATAGAATATTGAGAGTAAAAATTGTAAAAATTGCAAAGATTTTTAGGTTTTTATTAATTAAAGAAAAATTGATTAAAATTAAACCATTGAATAATTAAATATTTCTAATAAAGAAATCATTTAATATGAATGTAATGCAATAGAATTAAATTTTTGTATTGGACAAAAAAATTTTAATTATCATGCAAAGAAATCACATACTCTTTTGAGTTTAGAAATGGAAATTAAAAATAATTTATAAGAAAAAATTCCTTATAATTTTTCAATTTTTAAGTTAAGCAATTTGAATTTTACTTAGACTCTTGAAGAATTAGGACTTGCCTATCAAAATGTTACTTTTAAATTTTTACCAAAAGACAGATTTGATTGTTAAATTATTTTTGATAATAACACTATAATTCAAACCTGTTCTCCAAATAGTACAATAGGAGATTTAGAGAAAACTATTGCAAATTAAAAAGGAATAGAAAGTTTTAAACTTCAATCTTTTTATGGATATTTACCTTTAAAGAAAAATGAATAGTTGAAAAATATTTATTTGGATGAGAAATCTGCAATTATTATGAAAATATGTTAATTAATAGAAATAAACTTAATGGATATTGATACAAAAGAATAAAGGATTGTAATTATTAACATAGACGATCCTATTAAATTGATTTTAGATAATGAAGGATTGGAGAATATTCTAGATGTCTATTATGAGAATGAACCAATTGATATAAATTTAAATTGCCAATAACTTTAAATAAGAACTAATTCTACATTGTAGTATAAATTTTCGTGATTATGAATAAAGTCTATACTCATTTTTTTTAGTTTAATTTTAAAGATAATAGAAATATGCAATTATAATTAATTTTTTTAAAAAAAAATTTATGATAAAAGTCACTCTCATAATTAAGCAGTTGAATATTGAATAGACTCAATCTATATTAGGAAATTAAAAAATTGATGCAATTATTCGTAATTTATTGTACAAAGCAGAAATTGATTTATCAGTTTGGAACAAATTTTAGTTTAAAATAAATCATAATAATACTATTTATGGTTGTGAAAAGACTTTTGATGAACTAAAAGTTTAAAATCTTTCAAAATTATTCATAATATTAAGTTAACCTATTATAATTGAAATTATGAACAAATAATTTCCATTTTTGTAATTTAAGGCAGATGCTTTTGATCGAGTACAAAAATTTTAAGAATGGATAATTAAAAATCATTTGAGAAATCATCCATATGATATAAAACTTATTAATAAAACAGATGGCAGATTAATAGAGAAGGAAACTTGGATTTAAAATACTATTTTAGATTAAATTTCTGTTTTATTGTATATAAATGCTAGACAAAATATTAAATGGTAAGATAATTAATTTGTTCAAGAAATTAATATATTTTCTCCTATCTCAAAGTTGATTTAAAATATAAGGAATTAATATAAAATAAATAATATGATTTTATTGTAATACAAAAATACTATTCTTGAACCAGAATAATTATATTTTGATTGCAATATTCCTCCTAATGAACAAATAATAGTAACTATTCCTAATTAATTTATTTATCGTATATCATTTGAAAAAATGAAAAAAGAAAAGTAAATAACTTGTGACTCCAATTAGTAGATTAATAATCTTATTAAATAATTAAGGATTGATTTTGGGATAGATAAAACATCTAAAATATTTTTACAATATTAATGGACTTTAGATGGAAGAAATACTATTGCTTAAGAAGATATTCCCAATTATAGTTTGATAAATTTAGTAGAGGAAGTATCTGATGGAGATTTTTAAATTATTCTATAAAATATAGGTGAGAATGCAAATGTAAATCAAAGAAATCAAATTGAAATTGTAAATAAAGAGACAACTCTTTTTGAGTTATCAAAAAAAATACAACATGAAAATAATGAGACCGTTATCTATTTTTTAGATTAATAAAGTGAAAAATTAGATGATAAATTAAAAATGGATAATTTAAATATTTATTAAGGAGCAACAATTATGTATAAAATCATAAAAAAAAAACCATAAATTTTTTAAATTGAATAATAATTAGAATTAAAACAATTTGGAATTTTAATTGTTAATATGAATACTGTTATCAATATTGATTTCTACATATAGTAATAAATTAGTGTTTTGGCTGGAGTATTGATACAAAAATTAGGTATTCCAAAAAATTAAGTACTTAAATTTTCAATTGGTACTCAACTTTTAGATTTTGAGGATTACGTCAATAAAATTTAAGATGGTAATTTTCAATTTTTACAAGTCTATTTATTAGAAACAATAGATATATATATTTAAAATTTACCAAATAATAGCAATAGTAAGAAATTGATCACAGTTAGATTGGAAGACAAATTAAGAGATGTAGCCAAATAATTAAATATTTAAGGAAGTTTTAAAAAAAATGGTTAATATTTAGGTTTAGATGAAACCTTCGTTTAATTATAAGTTTTTAATAAAGAAACCATTTTTTATGATAAAACTACACCAAACCCTGATGAAGAAGTATGTGTTCCTATCCCTTTTACTAATTCTAGTGTAATTGTAAATGCCAAAATAGGAGGAGCAATATATAAGTTCAAATTAAATTGTAACATTACATTTAAAAATCTGAAGAAATAGATTTATTAATTAGTGATTTAAGGACGTTTAGAATAACTACATTTATATTCTCTTTATTATGAGGATTAAGAATTAAATGATGATCATCTAGTAACTTCTTTGGAAAAAAACGAAATATATGTTTAACTTAAATTAAAGTAAAATATTTTTTGAGTTATTTTGTTATCATTATTATTTATTGTTATTTATTACTTATTAAATTAAATATTTTATTATTAATCAATTTACAAAATGATTTAGTCAATTTCAATTTTATCATTTAATTAATACTAAGATGGTTATAGTTATTGACAATTAATATTTTCTTAATCTGAAAAATAAATTACAATAATGAAAATTGAAAATTATTTCTAATATAAATTGATCAACCTATTAATTCTTCTATAAGACATTCTATAATATTTTATTCTAAACTTAGATAATTATTTGCGTATTAATATATTTTTAAAAGAATAAAATTAAATAATTATTAATGTAAGCATAAATTCCTGTGGATTTTGAAGCATAAATAAGGATTGCTAATGAATAGATGTCCATAGACTAACCATTAATGGAATAAGAGACAGAAGATAGAAATAAAGAATAAGAAGAAGAATTGACAGAGGAATAGAAAGAAAGAAGGAGAAAGATATTGGAAGTTTAATTAGCCAATAAAAGATTATTATATAGTATTCATAATAAAGACATGGAAATTTTTAGAGTTAAAAAGGAAATTGAAGATCAAAAATAGTTATTGGCTGAACTTTAATAGCAAGAATAATAATATCAATAATCATCTAATGGTATTTATATTTATGTTAAGATTAGAAATTCTTAATGATTCTTATCTATCTCATAGAGCCTTGGTTTCATATGATACTTATTTAAGAGGAACACTTAGAGAATAGGATAGAAAAATATATGAATTAGAATTAAATAATGCAGATATAAGTGAGATTTCAGCCAGAATTGAAAAAATAAATAAAGAATATGAGAGAAACATTTAGCCTCTTGTTGTTGGAGATTTTAAGACTTAAATAGATGCAGATATTAAAAGTTCAAAAAATTAAATTGATGCTCTAAGAAATCAATTTAAAGAGATTGTAGATGATATAGTCAAATTGCATGAAAAGCATCTTGATAATATTGACATGTATTCTACTTTATAAAGATAATTATAAGTAATATTCTTACATATTTCTTAAGGAATAATTATTAGCAAATGAATAATTAGATTTTGAGTTAACCCAATTAAAAAAGAGTAAAGAGCAAAGTTGATTTATATTTTATATATATATTTCGATTCAATAAATAATGAAAATAACATTTTTTTTAATAAAAATTATATCATTTATGATAACATTTTTTTAATAAATATTTAGAAATTATTGACATCTATTTATTTATAAAATAGAATTCTAACATAATCTATAAGCGATTTTATTTATTAACATAGTTATTTGGTTTTTTTTTTTAATTAAATCTAATCTAATTTAATGATTTTTTAATTAACAAGATATGTATTTTTTTTAAATTAAATGATTAAAATCTTTTAATAATAAAGAATTTAACAATTAAATATGTATGATAGATCATGATATAATTATAAAATGATTAAAATTTATCATTAAAGTTTTCCTAACTTTCTCCACATATTATGATTATCTGAATAATTTGGGACAGAAAAGGTAGTTTATTTTTTGGTAATAGGAAATAGTTAATCTAGAGTTAATGAAAAAGCATCATCAAGCATTCGAGGTATAAGTTTAGAAAGTAATGGACTAGATTCTTCTAAACATGGATTTGAGTTTATTTCAATAAGCCAAACTTTAAATTCTTCATCGATCATATAATCTAACCCAAATATTTCAAAACAGTATCTTCTTCCAAGAATATTGATCTTCTTCCTAACAGATAAAAATGCTTTAAGGGAAATTTACTTTATATTTTCAACTATCTAAGAGTATATAATATATTTATACTTCTTTATAGAAGTCTCCTTTAGTCTTAAAATATGAAGCAGCTTAATCAAATGATAATTAATTTCCATCTTCTAGTTTACCATAATTAGGACTATATTTTTAGATGGCATTATTTGTTAGATGTACATATTGATTTAATACATTTTTAGTATTATATTCTTCAGATGCCATTCTGATGTATCCTTATTCAAAGAAAAAGAATTCTAAATCTTAATTGAGCATTCCCCATACTCTGATATCAAATTTACGATTATTAATTAATAATGGTTTTTCTAAATATTTTTAAATTACAAATTATTTAGATTTAATTATTTATCCATCTCTCATTTATTATTTACCAGAAATATATTAATCAAGTAGATGAGTCATTTAATCTAAATCTTTAATTACATGAATTCCTCTGCCGCGATTAAATTGAGTAGGTTTAAGTATCCATAAATATTCATGACCTAAGAATGTATTAGGGATTTTAGATTTATTTATTTATATAATTTTATCAGTAATTTACATATATGTATTTAGTTAACGTCTAATCATATAGAATTTATTTTAAGCATCATTCAATTTCATAAATTAAGAAGCATTGTTTTCATAATATTAAAGAAATTGTAATAAGTATACATCAGCCTTTTCATTAGTAAAATCTAATACAAAAGTTAGAGGAACAAAAGTCAAGATATCTAATTGATTTTCCTATTTAACTTAGGGTATACTTCACAATATTGTTAGAGATTTCTAAAAAGATTGCTCTTTTATGATATCTCTGAATGAAACTCAAAATGGTTGACTACTGACTTGGTTCTATTTTACGGTAACAATTTATCATACTGATAACCTTTTTATGTCTATTACCATCTAAAATTGATTAAAGTATCATTCTTATTATTTGTAGAGATCCATTCAGTTCTTTTAGAGAGAACTCTCTAAACAACTTAGTGATTATTACCAGTTCCTAAGTAGTATATATAATTATTTTATATAAGAGTAGGTAATTATACAACCTTATTTTAATCACTTCTTCTAACTTCCTTTCCTAAAATTACTGATTATGTCAATTTTGGTTAATCTTTAAGCTTAATATACTTTGATGCTAATGCTATTGCTAATTCTTTAGGATTATTCAAATGAGGCATTCCAGCCATTTAATTTTTTATGAATCTTGTTAATCTCGCTGTGTCTATCTATTGAAGATCCTTTAATTTTAATTAGGGTAGATTCATATTTTATATTAAATAATTATTAATCATATAAACATCTTTCATAGATTTTACAAGAAGAACTCTTTTTTTCATTTATCACCAATATATCATTCTATTATAATTTCTATATTCATCTTTATATCTCCCTTATTATTTCGAGCAAACATTTCTTCATTTTTATGAGTCTATTCTTTTTAAAAACAAACTTATCTATAATTAATAAAATTAATCATTTAAAACAGAGAGAATAATTGGGTTATTCAATTTTAATAATCTTCTATTCTTTATTTAACTATAATGTATTTGTCTTACCATATTCAACTATGCGAATCCAATCTTCAAATAAAATCTAAATCATTATCCAAACTGTTTATTTTATTTCTCTTTATAAATAGAATTGATATAATTAATCTTTTATTTATTCTTATTGAATTTGAAAGCAAATAATTTGATATAATTGGGAGAGGTTTAAACAATCTTTAAAAAATTCATTTTATTAGATAATTACCTAATAAGTTTATTTTTCTTCTAAATAATAAAATAGATTTTGGTTTCTGATTTACTTGTTTTTTTTTAATGATTATTAAATTTTAACATAATTTCCTTCCTGAACTTCCTTAAATTATTTTTCCTCATTTGAATGATAAAAATCAATAGTTCTATCTATCTTTGTTTAATATATTAAAGTTTTTATAATTAGTTGTCTTTTTGAAAAATTTTACTTTATTCAGATTCCAATATATTTTCAAAATAAAAATCTCATATTAACTTATTAAATTATTATTATTTTTCTTGATCCTATTATTATTGTTACTAATGAATAATTAAAACAACAATTTATTATTGGATATGATTTATATAAATGTCATCATATATGAATCAAAACATCTCCAAATTAATTTAAAATCAATAATGTTTGTTTAAAATTGAATTATTGATACAATTATAGGGAATTACTCTAAGTGATCCCTAATATTTGAATATAGGTAAGAATGTATTAATAAAAGAATATAAGAAACAATAAAATATAATAATAATAATATTAATAAATCAAGTTCCATTTAATTCACTTTCAAGAGATCTCATAATTCTCTAATGAAGACTATTAATAGAACTTAACATATGTTATTCAAATTTTAAGAGAAACAAGAGATCTTTAGTCATTTATTGTTTAATGTTATTTTGGGATTGCAAAGAGATTTAATTTTACTTGAATTTTTCTTTATTATTCTTCTTTTCACTTTTGGAAAAAGAGTTACTTTGTTTATTTAATTGGAATTTATCTAGTTCAATAACATCATCATCAAAATTGAAAGAGATCTCACTATTTGACATTAAAAAATAATTAGATTGATGAATATAATAGTAGATATATTTTGAACATCCAAACTGTATGGTATTATTTAGATTTATAGATAATGGGGATGAAATATCACTTTTTCAAAATCCTCTACATTTTCTATTGATCTGACTAATTGAACAATGGAGTCTATCTAGCTGCTGTTGTTGTAGTTTGAATTTCTGTAACAGTTCTTTATCTTAACCTTTCTTATAATTGTTAATGTGCTTATTGTATTTATTCAACTTATTACTAAATATTAGATTACAATAATTACATCATTTCTTCCAGTCATGATTTTATCATAGAAATCTTTAAGTTGTTAACTTTATTGCGTACCTCTAGCAGAAGTAGGTTAATCAGCAGGAGGTATTTATTATACTGGTTATTCTACTACTCTCTAAATTGGAAGTATAGGTCTGGTTGCAGGTGCTTATGAAGATTTCTCCTTTAATTTTGTAAAAAACTCTTGATCGTCCTCTACTGTCAATTCCTCTTTAACTAGATTCTATATTAAATATATATTTTATTTACTTTCTTCAATTATACAATTGGAACACTCTCCTCATATTTTATTACACTATTTGCCAATTTTGTAAATGTACTCTTTATTATGTTTATGTCATCCTAACCTAAAGGAATGAAGAGACTTTCAAAATCTGATAAATTTTTATGTTATGATGTCTCAAATGGCATATTATACAAACGATGTAATACATATTCATACATCACTTTTATATTGATCTTTTATTTAACAGAAGTAAAAAGCAATGTTGCTCCATCTTATTATATCTATCTAAACTCTTACAATTCACACAAAACTAACGTAAACAAAATTATATGATCTCTGCTTTCTAATCCCAATCCTTTCCTTTATCATCTCTTTCTAAAATGTCTGATTTATTCACCATCACCATCAGAGGTATTCCTAAATTTGTCTTCAATAAACCTTCATGTACCTAACCACCATCCATTTATGACATATATTACATCACTTATTTTATATCTATATATTATATACCATTCGATTTCATCTCTTCCAATTCATTCAAGCTTAATCTCAATTCAGCCATCATGTCCTATAATACACTTATCCATCTATCTAAATCTTCCATAAAAGTCCAAGGCTCTTGCATGTCAAGAGCTATTATTACAAATGTATTCTTGATATTCTTATGATTCAAAATCTAAGGGAGCAAATACTTCTGTCCCTCTTCTTCCAAAATATACACATTCAAACGAGCATTCGTGTTGTAATCAGGATCACGAAGGTCTATCAAATTTAAGTACGCATAATCTACTATTGGTGTAATCCCTTTTTGTCGAATAGCATCTTAAAATTAATATCAATCAATTTACTCTTATGAGTCTTTGTCATTTCCCCTAAAGCATCAAGTAAACTTCGCTTTCCACTACATTTTCTACCTAGAATTAACAAATTCTTATTTATNATTGTATTTATTCAACTTATTACTAAATATTAGATTACAATAATTACATCATTTCTTCCAGTCATGATTTTATCATAGAAATCTTTAAGTTGTTAACTTTATTGCGTACCTCTAGCAGAAGTAGGTTAATCAGCAGGAGGTATTTATTATACTGGTTATTCTACTACTCTCTAAATTGGAAGTATAGGTCTGGTTGCAGGTGCTTATGAAGATTTCTCCTTTAATTTTGTAAAAAACTCTTGATCGTCCTCTACTGTCAATTCCTCTTTAACTAGATTCTATATTAAATATATATTTTATTTACTTTCTTCAATTATACAATTGGAACACTCTCCTCATATTTTATTACACTATTTGCCAATTTTGTAAATGTACTCTTTATTATGTTTATGTCATCCTAACCTAAAGGAATGAAGAGACTTTCAAAATCTGATAAATTTTTATGTTATGATGTCTCAAATGGCATATTATACAAACGATGTAATACATATTCATACATCACTTTTATATTGATCTTTTATTTAACAGAAGTAAAAAGCAATGTTGCTCCATCTTATTATATCTATCTAAACTCTTACAATTCACACAAAACTAACGTAAACAAAATTATATGATCTCTGCTTTCTAATCCCAATCCTTTCCTTTATCATCTCTTTCTAAAATGTCTGATTTATTCACCATCACCATCAGAGGTATTCCTAAATTTGTCTTCAATAAACCTTCATGTACCTAACCACCATCCATTTATGACATATATTACATCACTTATTTTATATCTATATATTATATACCATTCGATTTCATCTCTTCCAATTCATTCAAGCTTAATCTCAATTCAGCCATCATGTCCTATAATACACTTATCCATCTATCTAAATCTTCCATAAAAGTCCAAGGCTCTTGCATGTCAAGAGCTATTATTACAAATGTATTCTTGATATTCTTATGATTCAAAATCTAAGGGAGCAAATACTTCTGTCCCTCTTCTTCCAAAATATACACATTCAAACGAGCATTCGTGTTGTAATCAGGATCACGAAGGTCTATCAAATTTAAGTACGCATAATCTACTATTGGTGTAATCCCTTTTTGTCGAATAGCATCTTAAAATTAATATCAATCAATTTACTCTTATGAGTCTTTGTCATTTCCCCTAAAGCATCAAGTAAACTTCGCTTTCCACTACATTTTCTACCTAGAATTAACAAATTCTTATTTATAAAACCTCCTTATCTACTTTTCTCAAATAATAGTTAATTCCAAACATTCTCTTTTTTACTCATTAATTTTAATATGGGAGCTTGTAAATCTTGTACTCAATAACCATCCCCAGAAATAAATCAAGGAGATATGGAATAGCCAGGTATTAGGAGCGAGTAAATACGTAAGATCAGTAATTTGCTTAATGAATTTGAAACATTTTAAGTGATTAAGAAGACTTCATACTAATTTATTTAGGATGGTACATTAAGAAAAGGAAGAGTGAATACTAAAAAGTTGATAACAACATAAGGGACGGTGAAGCCAATAAATTTACAATAATTATAAGAAGTAAATAAGGGATTGGAACAAATGAAAGCTCTTGCAAATAAGTAAGATAAATGTGAGATTGAGAAAGAAATGAGATTCAAATGTGGTTTGGAATTAGGTGATAAATTTCCTTAAATAAAATTGCATATGCTACTAGGGGAACCATAAACATTAGTATTAAAGGAAAATACTTATACATTAATAAAATCTTGGGGCTAAGGAGAATAGATGGTGAATTTCTAACATGCAATAGAATTGATTGAGTCATTAAAAAATGTTAAAATTTAATTGATAGGATTGACAAGGGGAAATGATGAGTAATAATCAGTATATGAGGAATTAGTAAGATCAAATGCAGGATGGTAGTAACATTAGCATATCTATGTACTTGCAGAGGAACCAGAAAATCATATATTCGATATTTATTATTAAGAATAAAGTAATGATATTGAGGAAGGATATTTAGCAAGTGCTTTATTGTTTTATGGTTAGAATTTGATTTGGAAAAGATATACATAAGAATGGGATATCTCTGCTGATTCTGATGAAGTTGCTTAAGAAGTAACTAATCTTATAAACTCTGGAGTTAAAGAATATGTAGGCGTGAAAGAAATGAATAAATAGAGTATAATAAGTAAATAATAATATTTGGAAATTAAGAAATTCATTTTATAATAATAATAATAATAGAATTTTACCAGAGGTTTAGAAGTCACAATTAATAAGAAAACTATATATGGTAAGAATAATAAATAAGTTATTTATGACAAACCAATCATAGATGTAGCATGTTCTCCTAAATCTCAGTAAATTACTGAAAATTTCATTAAACCTCTCTAATAATAACCTAAAATATGGGACATCCAAATTTTAAAAAGAATTTTGACATCAAAAATAAATGAAAACAATCTCAATATTGAAGCTTCTTTAGAAAAGCATATTAAAATATATATTAATTATGAAAAGAATATAATTCAAATTCCAAATTGGGAAATGGCAACATTAACTCCTTATTATAAATCAACATAATATATCTCGTAAGTTAAATAATGGATACATGCTAGAGATCGTATATTAAATGAAGTGTAAAATTCTGAAGATCCTGTTTTAAATAGAATCAATTAAATGGTTTATTAATTTTTTAATAATATACCGACTGTTGAAAAAGTACTTAATTAATAATATGGTAAAATTCCTTATGCTGAAAAACGTAAACCACCATATGAAGAGATGTCAGTTTCTAAAAGTTTAGGAAATGAAGAAATAGCAAGAAAATAAGATAAAATATTATTTATTTTATTAATTGATTATGAAAATGATGATACTTTGGATATGTTAAAAAACTTAATTAAATATAAGAAAGAGAATTCTGTATAATTATAAATTGCTGTCTTAGGACATATAAGAGCAGAATCTTGGACTAAATTATTTTAAGCATTCATGGAAAAACATAAATTACATTCAGATGCTGAAGAAGGAATCATTGAAACATGGTTTCCAGTTGAAGATAAAATAGGATCCATTTCATTTAGTGCTATTCTTAGTAAAATGTATGGTATGAGTTTAGAAAAAAGAGATTGTATGTTAGTTGATTTAGATAATCAAGTTCGAGTTATTGATTCAAGTAGAAGAATTATTCCTAAAATTTCTTAAATTTTGAATGATCTACAAAATAAGAATTAAATTTAAGATAAAGAATTTATGTATCATAATATTTTTATATCTCTAGAAACTATTTGAAATAATATTAACAATTTAAGAGATCTATTCGAGACAATCCTTAATTGTTGCAATTAACACAAAAAATTAAAGAATAATGTAAAGATGATGATTGTTTGATTATCTATGAACAAAGAAAAGCTAAAATTTGGGATTTTGAAGGTTCAAATTTTAACGAGACTAAAAAATATTAGCAACCTACCAAAATTCTAAGATTGATTCCAAAAACATCTGAAATGGGTGAACTAACTTAAATAATTGACAACTCAGATTTCATATAAATGAAATGATTAAAAATACAATATCTATATAAATAGATGATGTTTTAATCATTTTCTCTTTCTAACACATCCCCTTAATATTTCTTCTTTAGCTCTTTTACTATAGTTTGATACATATTTATGGAGATTATGCTTCTGATGAAAAATCAAAAAATTTATTTTCATATTATTAACCTTTTTATTCATAATTCTTATTTTAATCTTTCTCTTCTTCTTTGATTCTCTTATTCATATTCTTATTTAAATTATTTCCCTTTTTATTCTATCTCTTTCTCCATTTTATTAAATGAGTTATATTTGCACTTGGTTTTTCTATATACCTTACTAATTCCCAAATTTTATCTTACTTACTCCATTATCTAAAACAATAATAGTTGTTGATGCATTTATTTACAATTACCAAAATCTAACTTATCCAATAAAGGTTCTACAAATTCTTAAGTACTAATATATAATCATTCAAATTCCATTGAAATTACTGATATTTTTTATTGATATTAATCAGGTATTTAGTTTACTTTAAATTTTGGCTTCTTTTATGAAAACAACGTTTGAATTGTACATTCATTTAATAATTAATCTATAGCATCAAAATATTTATTCATATTATTAATTAAATGAAATAATTAGAAATCCTAATTAACTAATAATACCAAATAACCCTTTCAATTGATAGTTCATCAACAATTGAATAACTTTAGAATAATATGAGTAATATTCTTAAATTTCCAAAATAATCTAAATATCAGATAGAAATAGATGGAAAAAAAATGTCTCCCAATATGTAATTACCTCCTTTTCCTACATTTCCAATTATTGCCAATTGTGAGTATAGGACTACTGTTTAACTTAAAAATGAATTTATTTAGACTTTTAAATATGAATTAGACCTATGTTAATTTATTATAGAAATAGAAAAAGAATTAGCCAAATTTATACTTCCTATTGATTATTCAATTATAATACATTAAAATGGCAAACCAATTTATGAACCCTATTTAAATTCGTATTTAGAAATACCAAAACATCTAGATTATATTGTTAGAGCTTTCATATATTTTAACTGCAATTAAACCGTATTTCAATTAGAAATAAACCCATTTGATAAAATTCTAAGGATTAAACAATAAATATTCTCTTCATAGAATATTAATTAGGAATTTTCTCTTATCTATAATAATAAAAAATTAAATGATGAATATTAGTTCATCAGTTATTTGATTCCTAATTATTCAGAAATTATTATTAAGTTTTCTAACAGAATCACATTTTTTGTTAAATATCAAAATACAGTTATTCATTAGTACTCTATTTAACCAAATGAAAAAGTTGGGGTTGTCAAAAGTAAATTAAAATATGTTTTTAAAATACCTGAAAATTAAAGACTTGAATTAATCTATCAGTAGACATATCTAAATAATGACGAGCTAAAATTGTCTTATTTATAAATAAAAGATGATTGTGAAATAGAAGTCACTATTGGAAAAATATATAAATTGATATTAGAAGACGATGCTTCATAATAAAAATATACATGTCAAGTTAAATAAGCTGCTTTAGTTTCCAGTTTAGATAATTATGGTCCATTTAAAGATTATAATGTTAGCTACTATTTTAATGACAAAGAACTTGATAAAAATAAACATTTTGAATAAATTTAGAATAATAATGATATTAATGTTAATATCAAATTTAAAAAGAAAAAAAAACTGATAACTGTTTTCTTCTAAGATGAAATGAAATAAAAAATACAAATGGAAGTTAGTATTACAGATCCTATTAAACTTGCATTGTAAATAATAAATAAAGCAAATGATCCAATAACCATCATTTATAATGATAAAAAGATATCAATTGAAAATACTTATGCTTAAGAAGCAATTAAAAATGGAAGCATCATTATATATTATCTTAATTAATTTTAAATCAAGTATAGTATTGCTCCTAATCCTCAAGAATATTCTCTTTAAATCACACAATAAATTGACGGGGCTTAATTATTAAATATGATATCCAGGAATTAAAAAGGATTAAGCTAAACATTCAAATTGATGTTGAATAATAGTGAATTTCCTGCAAATTAAATGGTTGATCCATTTGAAAATTAATGTTTTAGAGTAGTTCCAACATTTGAAATATAATTTCGATTTTTGAATGATGGTAAAATTTATAAAGAAGTATTTTCAATTGAAGATTCAATTTTAAATGCAAGATAAAGATTTTCATAAAAATTTAATATTCCTCTCAATTAGTTATTTATTTTATTTATGGATCTAGCCATAAAAGATGAATATTTAATACAATAATATTAAAAGAAGGATCTTTGGATTTGTGAAACCATACGAGTTAAATTCCAATAGAGAAATGGCAGTTTATTAACATTAAAATATTACAATAAAAATCTTTAAATAAAAGAAATATTAAAAGACTTATTAAAATCTTTTTCACAATAAGCATGCAAGTGTTTATTCAATAATTAATTAGTTAATGAATCGAATATGTTAAAAGAAATTACGAATTAATCAGAAATTGTTTTAATTGTTGATTTTTTGTAAGATTTACAACTTATAGATAAATTAAAAATATAATAAGAAATAACAGTTTAGTTTTATCCAAAAGAAATAGTAGCGTCAATTTTTTCTAGATATCTGAGAGGCAATTTCTTCTTCTATCATAATAATTAATTGATTGATACATCAATGAATTTTGAAGATAATCATATTTAAAACAAATCTTAAATTTATTTTGAAGAATTCTATAATTATACTTTAGAAAGTCTTAAAGATAATTCATAAATTTAATTTCAAGCTCCAAAATTTACTAAAATTAAAGATGCTATTTCCCCTTAAATTAAAGATAAATATTAAGAACAATTTTCTATATTTTATAACAATCATCAAATAAATATAGAAAAAACCTTTTTTGAAGAAAACATAAGGGATGAAAGTAAAATTTAAATTATCTTCAATAATTCTTTAATAGTAATTGTTCGCGATCAGGATCATTTAAAAAAATTTACTGCTCCTTCAAATTAAACAATCGGAGAACTCATTAAAAAGTTAGAAGGTAATCCAAAAAAAAAATTATATAGTGCAATAAATTAAAATTTATTAGAAGATCAGACAAAATTATCTACTTTAAGTAATAATAATAATGTAGTCGAACTAATATACTAGGAAGATTTTAACAATTAAAATACTGGTTATTTACCTTCTGAACCAATATAAATGTTAGGCAATGATATTTAGATTATTATTAAGAATATGTAAAATGATGATAAATCATTTGAGATTGTGAGATTAAATTAAAAAATAGCAGACTTTATTAATCAATTTAAATTAAAGAATTCATTGTCAAATATAACAATATTTTATGGAGGAGAAATAGTCGATATCAATAAGACATTTGAAGAAATTAATGTAACAACAAACAGCGAATTTGAAATTTTATGACTCAATATTATTATTCTTATTATTATTATTATTATTATTATTATTATTATTATTATTATTATTATTATTATTATTATTATTATTATTATTATTATTATTATTATTATTATTATTATTATTATTATTATTATTATTATTATTATTATTATTATTATTATTATTATTATTATTATTATTATTATTATTATTATTATTATTATTATTATTATTATTATTATTATTATTATTATTATTATTATTATTATTATTATTATTATTATTATTATTATTATTATTATTATTATTATTATTATTATTATTATTATTATTATTATTATTATTATTATTATTATTATTATTATTATTATTATTATTATTATTATTATTATTATTATTATTATTATTATTATTATTATTATTATTATTATTATTATTATTATTATTATTATTATTATTATTATTATTATTATTATTATTATTATTATTATTATTATTATTATTATTATTATTATTATTATTATTATTATTATTATTATTATTATTATTATTATTATTATTATTATTATTATTATTATTATTATTATTATTATTATTATTATTATTATTATTATTATTATTATTACTATCATTCTTATTATTATTATTATCATTATTACTATCATTCTTATTAATCATCACTGAATGAATCAACATTATTCATTTAAAAATTACTTAAATTTATTAATTCTTATTGAATCTAAGTAAACAATAATAAAATGAGTATTATAAAAAGATAGTATCAATCATTTAAGTACTATTTACATTCTAAAGATGGTATTTTTTATAACAATCTTACTAATCTAAAAATGGTGATAATTAAATGATGTACTAATTCAATAATTTAGACCAGTAGTTTAAGTATGAAAATATCTCCTTAATTCAATTAATTAGATGAATCTAATTGATAAAAGCACAATACAAAGAGATCGAATATTACTTATTTAAAGAGCAATTCAGGTTTTGAATGCTAATTTAATTTTAAAATAATACAAACAAATTAACCAATTAATTAAACACTAAAATTTAGATACTACTTAGTGATTTTTTTATTTCATATTAGAAAAAGAAGTGTAATAAAAAAGTTTGTTCATGAAGAGATTCAAATTTTAGAATAAATTCAAAAATTCTAAATGAGTCCTAATTGCTAATAAGATTATATATATTAAGAAAAAAATATTTTGTAAATAATTCCATTTTGAAAGTCTTAAAATACAATTTTTTATCAAATTCAAAGCATATCAAGATTATAATATATTTATTTATCTCATTGTAAATTTGAAATATGAACAAAATTAATTGATTATCAAAACTTTTATGATAATATTTATTTACAAAGTTTGAGTGACATTAAAATAATATATTTTTCAAACTAAAAAATTATTGATTAAAAGTAAATTAAATTAAATTAAATGATAACTTCTCCTTAAGAGATGCGAATATTATCAAAGCGATTCTTTGGTAATAAAATAATAGATTCAATTGTCCTTGAGGAAATGAAGGAGCATTATTAAAATAGAGATAGAATAGGGAATATAATATAGAGATGCTTTCCAGAAAGTTACAAGTTATATTCGGATTTAGGTAAGAATGAGATAGATTTTTATAAAAGATCCTTAGCTATTAAGTATATTTATTTAGTATTTTTTGAACTAACTTAATTTTGTGATTGAGAAAAAGTATATATTTCAAAGAGCTACCTGCTTATTGGAATTGAGTGTACATTTATTCAATATATCCTGGGAAAAAAGATGGAATAGAGAAAAATCTTTTGAAGAATTCAGACAAATAATTGTCAGACATTCATTATACAGGTTATTATTGAGATTAATAAATACAGGCCACCACATAGTGTTTATATTTTTAGTTTAGAGAATTTGAAAGAAATTTCGTTGCATTTTTTATCAACATTCTTTAGATTTTATAGAGCTTATTTTTTCACATTCACTCCTTGGGTTGATATTGTAGTGACAACATATTAAAAACACTAAATCAAAAAGGATGTGAAAGATTTAGAATTAGAGAAATTAAGATAAGAAGCAGAATAATATAATGATTAAATTGATCCAGAAATGATGGAATAATTAATGAGTGGCAATTCTATATTTCAGATTCCAGAAAAAAAGAAAAGAGAAATGTTAGAGTAATAACAATAGAAAGAAAAACAAGAAAGAATTGATAGAGTGCTAAAAAAGAGATTAGAAGAATTGTAATAAGTCTTTGATTAAAAAATCAAAGAGCAAGATGAACACTTCATAAAATTAGCTGAAGATTTAAAAAATCCAAAAAAAAAGTGATTCATTAACTATGGATTTATAATATGATTTATAATCATAATCTAGCTTATAAATATAGTTTATCCCAATTGATATTTATAAAGTTTCTTTATCTATACATACCTATTCCATTAGATAAATATTCCAAAAATTCTATTTATAAATTTATATAAATATTTACCCAATTTATTACTATTATTAAATTATTGATCTATTTCAGCTAATAATTCAACTTGATTGAAATCAGCAATTCCAAATGATACAATTGTTGTTCTATTTTCTAATATTATGAAGAGCCCTAATAATTTATGTATTTTTAACAATTCCAAATTATAACCACTGTTTTTTATCTATGCTCCCATTAATTTATAAATATTAGTATATCCAAAAATAATAGATGCTTTAATTAATTCGCATTAATTTAACTCGTTCCATGATAATTATAGAGAATGACCATTAGACAAACTATTTTAGAAGTTTTCCATAGTCTTTTTGCAATATTAGAAACTCAATCTTTCTAAAATTTCCTCCTAATTTTATAATATTGATTTATGATTGTTTTCTTAGGTATATTTATTAAAATAAGAAGCCATGCCAGTAAATAATGAATTTCCTGTACTCACTTTACTGAATTGTTTTAATAAGTATTAAGCAGTTTGTTACATTAAAACATTATTATCTCCTTCATAAGTAACGAATGGAACATTATCAGCATAAATAACTGTTAAATCAGATGCATTTAAATGTCCAAATGGTGTAATTTACATAGCTTCTCTTGAAGTTTTGACGGCTTCCCATCCAGAGATACTTTTCATTTAACTAGAATATAGATGAACAAGTTATAAAGTTTCATTGGTTTATTTATCATTTACTTTGAGTTATTTTTGAAATTGAATAAATATATCTTTAACTTAAGCATTAGCTATTATTTGAGCATATTAAACTACATAACTTCTTAATAATTTAAACATGATGGCTTCATTTTCTATTGATTAAGTTTTTAATAAGGGTTTAACTTAATAATAAGCTAAATTATTAGTAAATAATCCAAAAATAGAGAATACATTAACTAAACCCACTCTTAAATTAAGCATACTACCATATCCATATTTGATTGCATTTTTAGATGATGTAGTAATATTTCCAGTTTCATCAATTTAAGTATATCTCATTAACATATTATTTCTATCTATGCGAACATTTTTTAATCCTAAAAATCCATTATCAGCCCTTAAGAATCCTAATTTAGGTCCAATATCTCCAACATCAACACCTTCGAAAGCTTTAAGAGTTTTAGGTTCACGAATAGGAACTACAAATGTTTGTATTCCTATATCTTTTCCATTTACATTAGTTCTGGCTTGNTGATTTATAATCATAATCTAGCTTATAAATATAGTTTATCCCAATTGATATTTATAAAGTTTCTTTATCTATACATACCTATTCCATTAGATAAATATTCCAAAAATTCTATTTATAAATTTATATAAATATTTACCCAATTTATTACTATTATTAAATTATTGATCTATTTCAGCTAATAATTCAACTTGATTGAAATCAGCAATTCCAAATGATACAATTGTTGTTCTATTTTCTAATATTATGAAGAGCCCTAATAATTTATGTATTTTTAACAATTCCAAATTATAACCACTGTTTTTTATCTATGCTCCCATTAATTTATAAATATTAGTATATCCAAAAATAATAGATGCTTTAATTAATTCGCATTAATTTAACTCGTTCCATGATAATTATAGAGAATGACCATTAGACAAACTATTTTAGAAGTTTTCCATAGTCTTTTTGCAATATTAGAAACTCAATCTTTCTAAAATTTCCTCCTAATTTTATAATATTGATTTATGATTGTTTTCTTAGGTATATTTATTAAAATAAGAAGCCATGCCAGTAAATAATGAATTTCCTGTACTCACTTTACTGAATTGTTTTAATAAGTATTAAGCAGTTTGTTACATTAAAACATTATTATCTCCTTCATAAGTAACGAATGGAACATTATCAGCATAAATAACTGTTAAATCAGATGCATTTAAATGTCCAAATGGTGTAATTTACATAGCTTCTCTTGAAGTTTTGACGGCTTCCCATCCAGAGATACTTTTCATTTAACTAGAATATAGATGAACAAGTTATAAAGTTTCATTGGTTTATTTATCATTTACTTTGAGTTATTTTTGAAATTGAATAAATATATCTTTAACTTAAGCATTAGCTATTATTTGAGCATATTAAACTACATAACTTCTTAATAATTTAAACATGATGGCTTCATTTTCTATTGATTAAGTTTTTAATAAGGGTTTAACTTAATAATAAGCTAAATTATTAGTAAATAATCCAAAAATAGAGAATACATTAACTAAACCCACTCTTAAATTAAGCATACTACCATATCCATATTTGATTGCATTTTTAGATGATGTAGTAATATTTCCAGTTTCATCAATTTAAGTATATCTCATTAACATATTATTTCTATCTATGCGAACATTTTTTAATCCTAAAAATCCATTATCAGCCCTTAAGAATCCTAATTTAGGTCCAATATCTCCAACATCAACACCTTCGAAAGCTTTAAGAGTTTTAGGTTCACGAATAGGAACTACAAATGTTTGTATTCCTATATCTTTTCCATTTACATTAGTTCTGGCTTGTACAACAGCATGAGTGGCAAAGATACCCAGTTACCCTGGCCAAAATTTAAATGAAGATGCAGTTGGAGTATTGATTACAAAAGAATTATTTTCAAAAACTGCTATAGTTTATAAACCTTATACATCTGAACCATGTCCTACTTCTGTTTAAGCATAGGCTCCACGAATTTCATATTTGAAGGAAAGATCTGACCAATAATTCACTTATTATTGAGTCCCCAACATTTGAATTGTTGGCAAAAAAGCTTACCAATGTAAATAAAAGGTTCCTAGACATAAAATAATAAATAAATTACCCAATTCATATAATTAATGCTAATATTAAATGAGATGAGTATTTTCTGGAAATTTATTTTTGAGCATTTAATATGCCTTAGCATATCTTTAACTTAATCCTATATATCCTTCTTTATAGTTTTCTTAAACACTTTAAGGATTATCAACCAAAACTAATTATTATTGAAAAAATTACAATCGTAAGCAGTTGGATTATTATCAAATTCTTAAATAAAATATTCTAATTCTGATTTAATAGAAGGTTCAAGAAGAATGTTTGAGATATAATTTTTGAATTAATTCATTTAAGAAATTTATTAGTACTTAATATATAATAGGAATAGTATATTAATAATTAAAAAATTTACATTAATGTTAGAAATTTTATTCTTTAATTTTTTTAATAAGATAGAAAAGATATGATAATATATAATGCTGGTCAATAATATTTATAAAATTCATTCATTCTCATTAATCAGAAAGCTGTGAATGAAAGTTACACAGATCTAGAGTATTAGATTAAATATAATACCTTCCATTGATCTTGGCATCTTGGAAATGTCCTAAGACACTAAGACTGCATCCTACATCAGAATAGAGTATTTTGCAAGAGCTTTGATTAATGAATCTATTAATAATTATAAAGTATATTACTTAACATTCAAGATAGGAGTCATACATCCAAAGTATTAATACATTTATTCCATAGTTACACCTTAAAGTCCATTAATTTAGATGGCATTAGATAATTATTAAGCAACATTATGTTTTCTATCATTTGGAGGTAAGGCAACTTGACGAGCATCTTAAGGTAGTTTTTCAGAAATCATTAAAGTCATAGGCATTCCTAAAAGAAGTCCTTTATTTAATAAGTTTTTAATTCGAATAGCTTCTTCTTTAGATGACAATAAAAGAAAGGCTCCATAATGACTTTAATAAAGAGCATCTACTTTAGTGATTGTACTAAAGATGTTATACACCACACGTAGATTAGTATTAGGATGTTGTACTAATAAGTATGTTGGTAGAGATATGGGAGTCTATATGAATGGACTATTTTATGTTTAAGGATAAGGAGTAAAAGGACTGGCACCACAAGAAAATGGATTACTTGTTGAATCATTACAAAAGACTTCATTATAATTATCTTCAGATCGACCAGATTTTTGAGATTTTGGAGACTATTCAGAAGATATGCTTTCCCCATCTGAAAATTCTTCTTTTTCATCTTCAGATGATTCCTCTAAGATTTATTATCTTATAGAATCAAGAGTTGAGTGTTAAAATGGAGATGGTGAGGGAGTTGTTGTTTATGATATCATCTATTTTTATTTCTTACCTTCTCTTTGTAAAACAGATGCATAATTACGCAATTGTTATTAATATAACACTGTCAACTATTATGTTTAATTTCTATATTCTTATATCTATTAGATTAAAGATATTTATTCTTTTAAATCACTTGTCTGATTTAATTGACCAATACATTGATTCAAAATATCAAGGTTCTACTATAATTATTGATTCAGGGAACTTGAATCCTCCTTCAATTATTGAAAAAATTGTTATTTTGATTGAAGAGTAGTGTAATCTTAATTTTTAAATTTATTTATACCTACACCGCAATTGTTGTTATTCTAAAACACAAGTGAATCTCGTTAACTTAAATGTACTCTCATTTTCAGCTAGTAATCGAAGAGAGTCCCATCTAAAATTAGTGCTTATTGGGCTTATTCGGCTGTCTCGTATTCAATGAATACTTTCCATATGATTTTTCTTTCGAATATTAGAATCTTTATCTTTAAACAAAAAATTTATACCTTTTTAACTTATCCAAAGACAGAGAAGGTTCTAAAGAACTGACTATGTTCAAGTACTTTACCCTATTTATTGGTGACCAACACCAAAATCACAGGGGTTGGTGAACTCGGTGAGGGGGAATTCTTGTTCATTAAAAAATTAATAATTGATAAATCTAAATTTTGTTTTTCCTTTTAATTATTAAAAAAACATAGTAAATAGTCATCTTCAAGATGTCTTTTCTTTATTACTGAAATTATGATCATTTGAAAGATGATAATTTTATTGTGATTTTTCTCTCATGCTCTTTCTCTTTAACATAAAAAGCCACTAAACTAAACTTTTAATAATGGAAATCATTAAGAATCCTAACCTGATAAAAACGAAGTAATTCCACAATTGAATTATTAATGAGTTTGCTCCTTTTTTAAAAAAGAAAAAGATCTCAAAGTTATTATTAATCAAGTAAATCACTTAAAAATTAATATAAAATGGGCAAATCCTTGGATGATTCTTTAAGGAAAGAACCATAGTTATTGGCAACTATTTATATTTTAATTGATAAATACCTGGATCTGTATTTTTATGAAAGTTTTACCAAAGTTTTCTAATTATTTTCTCTCAATGAATTACAAAAAGAATTTGAGAAAAAAAACACCTTTAGGCTAAACATTATGATGAGGAAAATTTTCAAAAGAAAAAAATGAATCAAAAAAAATTTTTTTGAATGGTTGATTTCATTATTTTTACGAAAAAATCTATTAAAACGATTAATTATAGAGATACTTATATCTAAGACTTCTTCTTAATTAATTATAGAGGCAATTGTCCTATACAAGTCTCCACCCCATATTTATATTTGATGGCACATATACGTTGATGGCATTTCTTTCATAAGCTTGATTTGTTTTCTTAGCAATAAATGGATTCATAAATAAGAAGAAATTATGAAAACCAATTCATAAACTACTAATGCTATAATTTCCCAAAACAGCCAACATAAAATATTTAATTTCATCTGCTTATCTTATTAACTAAAAGAATTTATATTTTAGACTTCCTTCTGATTTTTCTCCTAGTTTAAGTACTATGACACATAAACTTAAAATTCCAATTATAAACAAAATTTAATTATTTTTTATTGAGTAGTTACAGAGTGCAATAAAAATAAATATGTCAAGTCTTTAAAGTGTTTAATGAATTATAAAAGAGTTTAGTGCTACTACCATTAATTGTATAATATATATTTATTTATGTATACATATCATGAATAGAATAGTGATATGAATCATTATTCTTCTTCTTCTTATGCCTACAATTTTGCTTATTTTTCTTCTATAGCTCCTTCTATCACGCTTATCACTTCATAAATGTCGCTACTATAAATCATTTACTTAAATTTCAAATATTCTATCATCCGATTAACATCATTTAATTCGTCGGCATAATTGAATTGTTCTGATAGTTTTTTATTCAAATGTTTATTAACTGCATTTTATAATACATTTCCAAATGTATAAGCTTTTGTAGTTTTCATCCAAAATTAATAAGCAATGATCATGTCAGTGACTCCAAGCATAAATGTCACTGGTTCCATGACATCCCAACCCCATACAACATAAGTTCCATATTAAGTAAATGCAATTTACATGAGAATATAAAAATATATTTAATACAATGTTGTCTACTCTTTCATTTCCAATTCTTTAATAATAGAATCTTTCAAATGAGCTAAACGATTCTATTTGCATTCCAGAAATGAAATCTAATCTTCTATAATCTATTTCTGTGCCTATGAATAAATACCCAATTTCAAAATGACCTTCTTTATTATCAATAAAACTAAATCTTTATCATAAGTCAACTCTTTATGTTTTTCAATTTCAGATAATAGTTTTTAGATAAAATTACTTAACACTACCTTTGTTCTCTAAGGTACATCTATTTCTTAAAAATATTCATGCAATGCATGTTATGTGATTGGATAATTATCAATTAAATCAATGACTGGAGGATTGTCTACTTTATTGAGAATTATGTAGCTCTCCGTCTAATTTAATCTTAAAATCATATCTTCTGCCAATACTAATTACATGGGTGTAGAAGACGCATATTCAATCTATTCATCATTCATTGTTTATTAAAATACACCAACACTCTTAACGTCATCTATCTGTTTCTTAATTGCCTATTACAATTCAAGAACAGTCCCTTCACCTTTGAAGAACACTTTCTTACTTTGAAAGTAGAAATATAAAACTATTAAGGTTGCTATCAATCATTTGTACCCTCTTATTTGAGATTAAGGTTTTTACTTTCCTCTTATGAAAATCTCTACAACATTAGTATATCCTAGAAATTGTACCTCTTTAATGTACAGAATCTATTGAGACTTTTTAATAACATAATTTAATTATTATTATGAAATCATCTCTAGTAACAGAGAATGGACGCAGAACCAAAACAAACCCTGATTAAAACTCTATCATCAGTTATTCATCCGCTAAATCGTATCTCTCTAGTGTATTTTTTTTTATTATTTACAAAAGGAACGTAAAACTTAAGTTAAAGCTACTTGCAAAGTCTTATGGGAAATGAGAGAAGATCAATCAAGTAAATTAGCTGTCAAGTTTACATAATTACAAATTGTTTTAGCTACTTAATCAATCATTCAAGTTATATCTAAATTCAAGTCTTCTAAATTGTAGACATATTTCTGGATTCTTTTATAAGATTGCAAACCTATACAATAAACTTCCTATAATCATTCAATTCAATCTATTTCATTACCCTAAGTCGTAGAAGACTTCTCATATTTGACTATTCAACCTAAATACAAAACCAAATAACGTCACCATTCCTTAATTATCTTCACTTAGATAATTACTTAAGTTCTCAATTAAAATAGGTAAAACTAATAACGCAATTTATTTTTAATCATGAAATAATATCATTAATTACATTAAGGAACTTTACTACTTTTTAAATTCATTAGAAAACATCATCATTAATAATAATGTAACTCATTTCTTGCTATTATGCAATATAATTAGAATTCATTAAAATTAAATTCATTAGATTGTAGCAATCAAGATATCAATTATAATATTAATTCAATGTAATTATTACAAAAATAACAAGAAGGTAACAATATTGAAGTGATATCAATTAATGAATAATTGGCAATCAAATTTGCTAGTACAACAATGATGACATCGCTTTTAAATGATATACATAGAAAAATTAATTTTTATTTCTTTTTAAAAATCTTGAGATACTAATAAAATAATTTTTAATTGATTAAAGATTTAAATATAACTTAAGAGATTGAAGTAAGTCAAGTAATTTATGATTAATCTTCTTTATAAGAAAATTAATAAATAATTGCTGCTTAAAATTTACATTCATTCCTTTTTATCAAATTATAAAATTATTTTTAGGCAATAAAAATTTTTCATTTGAAAAATGATTTTTTGATAGGGGAAACAATGAACACAATGATTATAAAAGGAAATGATGATTTATCAAATTCTTTTGAAGATTTAAATGGTTAGAAAATCTTAGATACAAATTAGAAAATAAGATAAGATGAAGATGATGAGATGATAAAAAATGAAAGAGAGAATTAAAAGATATCATCATTATAAAATATAACAGATACTGAAGAATATACAAAATCTACAAAGGAAGTGATTGAAGAGATATTACCTTAATAGAAGAGTATAGGAAAGAGAAAGATAAAGGATGGAAATAATAAAATAAAGAATGCAATAAAATAATATTGTAAATTGTAATAATAAAGAGTACAAAGTCAAGAAAGTATAATAAAATAAGAGAATGTTGATTTGATTTCGAATTAAGAGATGAAGAAATAATGGAATCATAATAAATTGTATACTCCATATATAATGATATTTGTAATGACAATATTATTAGCTATGTTTTTGAAATGATTAATAAAATTAATTATTTATTAAAGATGTCTAGAGAGTCATCAATATCTGAAGGAGGAGGATGGGTTTAATGGTTTTGTGCAATGGAGGATCATTAATTTTTATGTGAAGTGGATGATGAATTTATAAGAGACAACTTTAATTTGTATGGTTTGAAAAGCAAATTCAATTTTTATAAGTAATTTTGAATTATATTAATATAAAGTGAAGCGTTGGACTTGATATTAAGTTCTGAGACTCCAGATGATGAGGATTTAGAAGATGAAAGATTTTTGGAAGTATATTAGGAAGCAACAGATTTATATGGTTTGATTCATGCAAGATTTATAATAACAGCAAAAGGTATGAAAGATATGTGATTAAATAAGGTTTGGGAATGATGAAAGATAAATATTTAGGAGGTAAATTTGGTGCATGTCCAAGAGTATTATGTGAAAGACAGAATGTTCTACCTGTAGGAATGAGTGAAGAATTACGTACATCTAGAGTAAAAGTGTTTTGTCCAAGATGTGAAGAAGTTTATATTCCAAAAAAGAAATGTCCAGATGTAGATGGTGCTTATTTTGGTTGTTCATTTCCATCTATTTTTTTAATGGTATATTATTATATTATAGAATGAATTAGAATTTTATATAAGAGATTTAAATTCCTGTTAACAATTAAACTTATGTACCTAGAGTTTTTGGATTTAGAATTTATAAAAAGAAAGGATCTCGTTATTAAGATACTTAATAAAAGGCTACTGAAATAACTCATTATTCTGAAGAATAATTAAAGAAATTAAGAGGAAAGAATGAACAACAAACAAAAGAGGATTATGTTTAAAAATGAATTCGTGTTTTTGTTTTTGTTATTAAAATTTTTAAATCTTTTTTAAATTAAATGCCTAAGGAAGTTCAAGATGTTAAGGTGTTCCTCTCACTTATGAAAGGTACTGAAGCATAAGGAAAGGATGCTAATAAAGAACCAAAAAAGAGTATTATTTTCAATCTATCTATTAAGATCTTTATATAAAGGAATCAAAGAAGATTACTAAATTTAAGTTGAGAGGTAAGAAATATCTCTTTACCTTCAAAACTGCTGATAAGAATAAGGCCTAAAAAATTTAATAAACACTCCCATAAAGTATATTATTTATTCAAATCCTTAGATGTCAATAAAATAGTTATCGGTAATGGAGGAAAGAAATAATAAACCAAAAAGAAATAAAAGAAATGAGCACTGATTTATTACATATACAGTACATTATTTGGAGCAATATTTAATTTCATATTTAAAGTTTCTAAGCAATCATCAAATTATTTATTAACATTCTTTTTTTCAGTTTTCCCAAATCTAAAATTTCAATAGAATTATAATTGAATAAGATAATCTATGTTGATTGAGGTATCATAATATAAATAAAGATCAAAAATATATTAGTTTCTAGGAATAAATATTTAATATTATAAATATACAAATACATCATTTTTTTTGATTAAGTCTTTTTTTAACTTCATCAGTAATTTATTCCGAAGTAGCTGATTTATCAATAAGTATTTGCAGTATTTCATCTGCGGAATATCTAAATTAAAAATTAACACAAAGTAATTTTTATATAATGTTTCTTACATATTCTGGTAAAATAGTTAATTTTAATTCTTTCCAAAATATGCTCCAATTCTCATTTTTTATTAATTTCCACCAAGAATCTTCAGTTGATGGATTATTTGATTCAAAAGGAGGATGTCCAGTAACCATGATAAAGTAAACAACACCCAAAGAGAACATATCACATTTTTTAAGATCTTATGGAATATGCCAAATTTCAGGTGCTGTGTATCCTTCACTACCTGATATTGTAGCTTTAGGTATAGGAGTAGATCCATTTATTTTAGCAAAGCCGAAATCACATAGTTTAACTTTGAAATCAAGAGAGATCAGTAAGTTATCTAACTTAAGATCTCCATGAGTAATTCCTTTAGAATGTAGATAAGAGAGAGCTTCTGCTATTTAGAGAGTTATGCCATTTGCTATAGCAAGAGGTAGAGGGCCTGATAGTAATACTTTGTAGAGGGAGCCAAAAGGCATTAATTCAAGAAGCATACAAGAACAATCTGAACAATATCCAATCATCTATATAATATATGGATGTTGAATGTGACGAAGGATTTGGATCTCGTTCTCTTCAAAATATTATTAGAAAATTACGAATAGGTTAATTGCATTTTACTCAGTTGTTTGAGCTAAACATTTTAATGCATATTGTTATTTCGATTGTTTGTCCATTGTCAAAAATACTGTACTATCATGCCCTTTCCCTAATAATTTCGAAAAATTGATTTAGTAATTTGTCGCAAACTGCTCAGGAGTAAATATTAGATTATTAATCATTTTTATTAATATAACAAATTCAGATCAAAATGCTTTTGTACCCATCATTCTTCCTAATATTGCATTTAGATTTTCATCTAACAATTCATCAACTTTCAGACCAAGGTGTTTCTTTGGATCTTTCTTTCCTGTATTTTTAATCTTGGTTTCTTATTCTCCTTTTTTTGCTTCATCCTCTAAAAATTAAAAAATTAATTACCAATTAATTTTTTATATTCAGTAGCCAATTTCGACATCTCTTCTACACAAAATTCATTTCTATTGCTATTTTCGAACGCGGAATTGCATCTAAACATAGCAATTCGATTACTTTAATCCTTCAGTCCAACTATTTTTATATAAGTTTTGAAGCATTTTTTATTCAAGATCATTGCATTTAAATTTAATGTTAATGGAATAATAGTATCTATTGAGTCCTCTTAAAAGTGCTTCAAGTCCAGGTTTTTATAGATATCCAGTATTAGATGTAGTTTATCGTGGCTCTTATTATGCGATAATACTTTATTAAGGAATGAGTCTAAATGCATCAATGACAACTTTTCCTCTAACAGATTAAATAGGGTCTATAACGACAGCAATAGATTTTTTATTCAATTATTCATATGACTATTATGTATTGATATCAACTATGGAGTGATAATAATAATTAATATGATACCACTAGAAAGCCAACAACCATAAGATGGATGTGAATGATACCATCCAATACAATTTTCCATTCTACCAGTTAGATTAAGAAGTTCAACCATTTTTTATTAGAAAATGGGATCAACAGATTCAACGGAGACACTACTGGCAGTTTAAGGCATAGAGAATACATCATAGACTCTAATATGATAATCATCAACAATATCACCCAAAAGAAGACCCATAACTTCAAATGGTATACCTGCGCGAGCATGCTAGAGAGTTGATTGATTTGAATTACTTTAAGCATTTTAATTAAAGCTAGTGCACTAATAGTAACTTATTCAGCGGTATCTGGAATAGATGCATCAGGTGAAATATTAGGTTATGTACCTAATTATTACATAAGGTTTTGTAAATTCATAAGAGAATGTAAAATTTGAATAATAAAAGTATTAATACTGGTGTAATGAATAGAAAAATAGTAAGAGTTTTGTGAATTTAAAAATCTTAAATAATTGTATTCATAATTTAAATATTTTAAATATAAAGTAAATTTTAAGCGCAAAAAAATGGCATAACAATAGTAAGTTTAAGTAGCTGCTGAATTCAAATTAGTAGTAGTAGGTGATGGTGCAGTAGGAAAAACAACATTTGTGAAGAGACATTTGACAGGAGAGTTCGAAAAGAAATATTTAGGTATATATTTAATTTGAGTGTGTTTTTAGCCACATAAGGTGTAGAAGTGAGTTAAGTAGTATTTTATACAACACATGGTCCAATTAGATTAGTAATCTGGGATACTGCAGGATAGGAGAAATTAGGAGGACTTAGAGAAGGATATTACATCGGAGCTCATTGTGCAATCATTATGTTTGATGTTACATCAAGAATCTCTTACAAAAATGTACCAAAATGGCATAAAGATCTTACTAGAATCTGTGAAAATGTTCCAATTGTCTTAGTTGGTAACAAGGTATATCATATATATATATTATAGGTTGATTCTAAAGACAGAAAAGTTAAAGCAAGATAAATTACATTCCATAGAAAAGTTAATATTCAATATTATGATGTTTCAGCCAAATCTAATTATCAATATGAAAAGCCCTTCTTATATTTATTGAGAAGATTGGCCAAGTATTTTTATTATTTATAATCTAGTGATCCCAATTTGGCATTAGTCTAAGCTCTTGCTCTCTTACCTCCTGAAATCCAAATCGATCCATAATATGCTGCCTAACTTCAAAAGGAATAAGAAGATGCTATTAATCAACCTATCCCAGATGAAGAAGACGATGAATTCAAATGATCTTTAAATGTTCATACAATTATCATCATTTCATATCACATATTAATATTTATACTAACTATCCATAACACTTCATCTAATATTATTCAATATCAATCTTTATTTACATTCACACACAAACATTATCAAATTATTATATCCACAATTTAAATATCTCTAATTTATATTAAACTTATATCTAATCTCATTATTAACTCATCTAATCCACATTCAATATACTAATAATACTCATTAACAAAATATATGTCATTTCAAGACCCTGCTAACTAATAAAATAAATTATACCTAATAAATCAATCCAATCATTAATCTTTTCATTATTCATAGAATGAATATCTAATCATCCTTATTTCATAAAAAATAATACCATACATGTATATTATCTATGTCTTTATTTTATTTCTCTCAATCTATGTCTTTATTGAAATTACTATCAAAAATTAATCTACTTTTTCATTTGAATTATATTATATAGGATGTGCTAGCCACTATTTAGACCATTTAAAAGGATTTTCATTTCCAAATCTTTATAATCTATCATAATAATACTATAAAATATCATAAAAAAGAATTCGACATTATTAATTACTAAAGCTATCAAATATATCATTAACACATTTGTGTATCTCATTTTTAGAACTAATATGATATTTATTTTATTGGTTTCTTGTTCTCAGATGAAAAGTATTTATGAGAATCAATAATTAATTCAAATTCTTTGAAGGATCTTATATATCTTTATCATTCTTTTAAAGTTTTAAAATTCAAACAATCTTATGAGAATCTAGTTATATACAATCTTAAAACTAATAAGAATAATATTTTACATTATTTTGAATTATTTTGTAACCTATTTTAGAGTAAAATAAAAGTTCTAATTAGAACTCTCAATATTGATTGGATCTACATTTCAAATAAACTTGAATTTGATTAATTCTAAATCTATTATAAATTTCTGAATCTCCTTATTTATATAAATCATATATAATTCTCTTCTTTGTTATACTTAACTTTAAGATTTTAAATTATATTACCTATATAATCTTTTGTAAAATTTAGAATTAGATAGGGATGTTCTTTCAAATGAATTTTTTTCATGTTAATAATATATGAGAAGAGGAAAATGGGAACATATAATTATAAAAGATACTAATTATAATTTAATTAAAAAAGACTTTTTAAAATATTCTAAATTTTCAATAAAGAAAGACTAAAATATTTCTAGGTGATTAATATATAATATAATTTATGTAAGATATATAAAAGAGTGATGGAGATGAGATAGTTTTTCACATTACAAAAAATGCTGAGCAATACGAACCAAATATAGTATTAGAGAGTTTGCCTAATGACAAACCAGTCTAGAATTCAATTAGATTTGAAGATATTAAATTAGTATAGTCATTACAAGTATCAGGAGATGGCCATTATTAATCTGTTAGAATAATCTGTCCATAATGCAAGATGAAGGTAAGTTTTTTTAAGATTATATTTTTAGATTAATACAATCATAACTAGAAAGGTTGGATTATATACTTTTATAGCTGGAGCACTTCTTATTTTCTGTTCTTTTGGATTTATATGTGTTTCTTGTACTCCTTGTTTTATAGATGATTGTAAAGATGTTTAACATTCTTGTCCAAATTGTAATCAATTTTTAGGAAGGACTTAGTTTAATATATTTGATGATTGATAGTAAAAAATGATTATTATCATTTTCTTTTTTTAGAATTTCAAATCTAATTATTTTCTCATTTTTCATAAGCGTTTTTTATGTTCAAATATCACTTTATAATCCTTTATTAAAATCAATTTAATTATATCTCATTTCATTAAAAATCAACTAATGAAGTTGGTTCACTTATTTGATTTCTATTAAAATCAATATTAATGAAAAGAAGATTGTAAAATTTTTATTATTTCAATTATAATGTAATTTATTAATATTACAAAAATATTGATAGAAAAACTTTATATTGTTATTTTTAAATTTAGAATCAATGATAAATATAAAATTAAGAAGAAAAGAGAAATTGAATATAAAAATCTAAGTACATATAATTTAGAATAATCGGTTTAAACAGTAATTTAAAACATAAATATTATAAGTGAGAAGATAAATTGATTTAAGATTTAATTATGCTTTATTTATATATATATTCATTGAGTTCTAAAAAATTCATTAATTAATTTTTGTGATTAGACAAAGATCTCTCTATTTGGATGATACTACAAATCTTCAATTGCTTTAATGAGTTGATTCTATTATAAAATTTCAAATATAGGATTTGGAACATTTAATTATGTTTACAATTATAAACCATAATTCAAAAGTGAAGTTATACATTCCAGTCCTTATAAAACAATATAAGGCTCTGCTGATTCAACAGTAGACTTTAAATGTACAATAAGACCTAAACTAATGAGAACTGTGAAATCTTATTAACTCCCATACTTTAAAATATGTTAAATAGATCTTATTACAAGAGATTAATTAATTGGTTTATCTGTGGTTAGGATATTAATTAATTTTTTGATTAACTCTTATTATGCAAATATCTATTAAATCATATGATGTCCTTATTTGCATAAGTTTTGTAAAATATATAAAACAGCAGTTCGTATTTTCAAATATTTGTAGTTTATAAGTTTGTTAATGATCTCTAAGATGGAAAACTATTAGAAAATAGCATACAATTAATGAAAATCTGATAAATATTTCATTTAGAGCAGAGCAGAATAGAATGATTCATAATCATTTTCCTTAGTAAGATATTCATTCAAATAATAAAAGAATAATTGAAAGATTTCAAGATAGTTAATGTCTTCATCATATTATTCACATTGTTTATTAATTATAAATAAAGTTTATAATATTTCTTGACTTTTATTAATCTTCAAATGCTTTAAAATTACTATAAGTTAAGGTTTACACTCTTCAGGAATATTACGGCAGAGTGTTTATATTAGATAACAAACATTATGTAATAAAGAATCTTTCATTAATTAGCATAAGACTTCAATAGTATTTTTGCTTAATAAATAATGTTAAATTTATAATAATTTACTTGAGACATTACCTAAGTATCCCAATATTAGATTAGCTAAATCATCTATTTATTTATTTTCTACTAACAATTCTAATGATTTTTCGATTGTCCATTGGATATCTTCAATAGGTAACTAAAAATATTCTTCATCTTATGTCAATTGCAAATAAATTGTATATGTATCTATATAATAAGATTCATCATTTAATAAATCCTTAAATTATAAGAAATTTCTTTAAGTTAAATACAAACTATGAATTCTATTTCTGTCATCTATAATATTTGCAATCAAATGTAATTTCTATGAAATTTCATTCATTTCTTTCTTAATATATGCATCCTTCAATTCATTGAATAAATTATTAATTGAAAGATTCAACTGCGAACTTTGTAATCTCTATTTTGGAATAAACCACATTCTTTTCTTCTCTAATTAATCCTCTATTCTTTCCTTCCTTATTTATAATCTGAATTGCTCTCTCATTTCTTAAACACTCTTTGGTTAATGTTACTTTTATGATTTTAATGTCTATGGCTAATATTGCTATTCATCATCTGATTCCACCAACTTTATTTCATCCATTATTTATAATAATTACAAACTATTCAATAATCAATTCTCCCAATCCTAAATTTCTGAATCTTTTTAGTTTCACTCATTTGTTATTCATAACATTTCTAAATTTATTCTATGATATACATTTGATTTAATTATAATAGATACACCATATATAATTATATAATCCAACGAAAAAAGCAAGTTCTCAACCTAGAGGCTATTTTATTATATTAAATTAATTAAAATATCTTAATCATCTCTAAAACACACTTATATTAACATATCATTTATAAAATAAAACTAATATTCTTTAAAATCAATATCTGTTTAAATATAATGTTACACAATAAGTTTTAAGAAAGTTAAACAAAGTCTACAAATTAAATCTTATGATTTAAATTTGTTTATGTGCTGAAAAAATATGTTTTTAAATTTTTTATAATAAATTAGATTAGGAATTTAATTAATTTGTATCACTATTCTGGTTTATTTGGCTATTCATACTCATTTTGACTAGTAATCTTGATTTTTTTGGTTGGTTGATTTGTTTAATTTGTTTAATTTGGTTGATTTTGTTGATTTAGTTGATTTAGTTAATTTTGTTGATTGGGTTGATTTGGTTGATTTTGTTTCTTAATTTTTTAAGCTTTGAGTAATTATTCAAACTATTTTAACTGTTCTGGATTCAATTGCATTTAATTATTTGCTTATTTATGGTCCTTCAAATACATTGTGTAAAATTTGTTAAAATTCCTTTAATCAATCATTTACTTGTCAATATTATTTTAAATTATTTGTTATGGCTTTACAATTTCATTTTCTGCTGAATTAATACTTCTTGATATAGCCTAATTATTTAATCTAATACTAAAGCTTTAAAAAAGTGAGATTCAAAAGAAAAATAATTCAATTAAATAGCTTTCTCAAACTCAGCCTGTGCTTTTTCATTTTCTTTTTGTAATAATAAGATTTAACCCTATTAAATAATTTGAATTTTACTTCAATATTATGATTTACAGTTTCAAAGAGATCTTTTAAATTTTTGGATTAGATTCGAAGACTTTCTAAATCATTATTAGCATATAACAATTAACCTATTTTAGAAAACAAAAAAACTTTTAGTGATTTGATATTAAATATTTTCAGTGTCACATTTTATAGCATTATCAATAGATTTAAGAGCTTCTTAATAATTTTGCAAATAAAATAATGCAATTCCTAAAATAGAAATATATTCATACCTTTCTAATAATGAACTCTTGAATCATTTATTTTTTCTAATAATTTATCATATCCTTCTATTGCCTATTAATAATGTCCACTAAAAAAATTTTCATCAGCTGATGAATATTCTACAATCGCACGAGTTAAACGATCTTAACTTTATTTATTATTTTACCTTTCTCTCTTTGATAAATAAAGTTTTCTTTGTCTATTTCTAGAATTCGATTCAAAATATCTAGAGCTTATTTTTGATCATTATCATCTATCAAAAAAAATTTGTCTAAAGTATTATTAATATTATAATTAATACATTATAAAACTAAATGATCCACATCTGGAGTATTTTTTTGTTACTAATTATTTGAATTATCAGTTTAACTCTTAATAAACTAATTAATTTTTTCAGTTAATTCATTTTTCTTTTAATTTTCCATTTTCTTAATAGCAGTTATCAATATAGACTTAGATTTAATATCAAAATTTTCAATAATATCTTAGTAATAGCTTATCTCTGATTCAATTAACTTTTGAATGCAAGTAATTTTTTATTCTATTCTTTTTACGAATTATTAAAACTTTTATGACCTTTCTTTAAGTTGAAGCATCGATAATTCGACATCTTTTTTTAACTCATTAATCCTTGTTGTTTAATGTTAATGCAATTTCTGAGAACAACTATTGCAACAAATTTTTATTTTTGAAGTACAATCCGCATTTTTACAATAAACATCAATAGGTTCATTATGTAATTCGCAGATTAATTAACTTGTTCTCATATAAAAAATAAATTTATTTATTTTATATATATAAATAAAAATATAAATTTTATTCTATTCCTATAAATTCAAAAATATGAGAATTCATTATCATGGATTTTTCTTTTTAGCTATTGTTATTGGATTAATTTGAATTTATTTAAGTTTTTACATCTTGTATGTTCTATTTTTGTTTATTATCAAGATCCCATTCTAGGTACTTTGGTATTCTAATTACAACTATTTTTATTTATTTTGGTATGTTTTATACTGTCTCTATTAGATCCCATATAGAGTTTAATTCTTCACATTCCATAGTTACATATTCATTTATTCTACCTTAATCGAAGAAGGGAAGGTGTAATGCTGTATATTCTGGCATCTCATAGTCAGTATTATAATAATTAGTTAGGAATTTCTGATTAAATCTTATAGTCTATTATAAAAATATATAATCAATATTTTTATTTTATTTTATATTAAAATCCAATTTTTATTCTTTTTATTTGTAATTCTTTTATATTAAAATTCTAATAAATGTAAAAGTAGGTAAAATAGGTCTAATTTATTTACTTTTATTCCCTTTAAATTATTAAGTAATATATGCAGAAAATCACACATTTTATTTTATCAAAAGAAATCTGTTATAATTATGACAATGGATATATTATAACATATATAGTAATGAATTAAGATTTAATTCAAAAACTGATTTTCTTAAATAAACTTATTATTATTACAAAAATAAATAACTTACAGGATATCATGTTAAAAATATTTCAGCTTAAAATTGCCATTCTTTATTTTCAAAAAACACTTCTTAATTAATTTTTCTTAATTTCCATATTATTGTAAAAAAAAGTTAATGAAAGCAAATTTCTTCAAGTAATGAGCAATAAGATCTATTATATGATTTTTCAATTAAAATTGCATCCTTGCACAATGTTTATTAAACTTCTTGTTAAGTTAATGACTTATAGGAATTGCCATTTCTAATGTACAAAATTAAAATTGGTATTTAGTTTTTTCTTTTGTTTATCATCTAACTAGAGAATTTAATTTTCAGACAAAGATAATTTTATAAAGAAAATCTGCCTTACTTAATTAAGTGTAAGGAAATTAAAAATAAAGTGATTATTTATTTCATTAAAGATTCCATAGAAAATCAATAAGTTTAAAAAGTATTTGAAAGTTCAGAATAATTATAGTGATATGAAGTTAACTTATTATTTTATTAACAAGATTATGGTATCTTTCTATAAAAGAAAATAAAGATTATTAACACAAGAATTAGAAGGAGAATTTCTAGAGCTAAATTTAGGCTTTGATGATACTGAAAAGTTTTCATAATAGAATAAAATGATTTGCATATTAAAAAATCAAATCAACTTAAAAAAATTTAGAACAGCTCTTAGACTGAAATTAAAACATCTAAAATAATTGAAGAATCAGAAGTTTTCTAAATAGATTAGATTACGCAAGAATACAAAAAATTACTTCTATTTTTAATTATAAAGAAATAGCTCGATTATTAAACATCTGTTTGACTCATTTTGCTTCAGATTGCCGAAAAGAAAATAAGACTAAATTAGAAAATGCTTTAATAAATATAGATTTTATAAAATATAAATTAGTTTTTTTTTTCTTTTTGGTTTGTTATTAATTTTGCCTATTCAAATTTCAGAAAATTTTTTCTAGATTATTTTTTCAAACCATTTCAATAATTTTATTGAAAAGGTAATTAATTAAAAAAAAGAATTATAGTTTAAATTTTTTTTTTTGACACCAAAAAAACTATAAAGAGACTTTTGTTCTTTAATTCTGAATTAATTATATATATTATAAAGGACATTTTTCATTAAAATATTTTTGTGCATTCATGATTAATAAAATGAAAAATAAATTAACAGTTTTCATCTGATTTGATCAAAAAATTCTTACTATATTTATTCAAACTAAAAAAATTTTGAACCAAAATTCTTAAAAAACTCAAATTTTTATTTATTTTAGTTGTAANGCACAATGTTTATTAAACTTCTTGTTAAGTTAATGACTTATAGGAATTGCCATTTCTAATGTACAAAATTAAAATTGGTATTTAGTTTTTTCTTTTGTTTATCATCTAACTAGAGAATTTAATTTTCAGACAAAGATAATTTTATAAAGAAAATCTGCCTTACTTAATTAAGTGTAAGGAAATTAAAAATAAAGTGATTATTTATTTCATTAAAGATTCCATAGAAAATCAATAAGTTTAAAAAGTATTTGAAAGTTCAGAATAATTATAGTGATATGAAGTTAACTTATTATTTTATTAACAAGATTATGGTATCTTTCTATAAAAGAAAATAAAGATTATTAACACAAGAATTAGAAGGAGAATTTCTAGAGCTAAATTTAGGCTTTGATGATACTGAAAAGTTTTCATAATAGAATAAAATGATTTGCATATTAAAAAATCAAATCAACTTAAAAAAATTTAGAACAGCTCTTAGACTGAAATTAAAACATCTAAAATAATTGAAGAATCAGAAGTTTTCTAAATAGATTAGATTACGCAAGAATACAAAAAATTACTTCTATTTTTAATTATAAAGAAATAGCTCGATTATTAAACATCTGTTTGACTCATTTTGCTTCAGATTGCCGAAAAGAAAATAAGACTAAATTAGAAAATGCTTTAATAAATATAGATTTTATAAAATATAAATTAGTTTTTTTTTTCTTTTTGGTTTGTTATTAATTTTGCCTATTCAAATTTCAGAAAATTTTTTCTAGATTATTTTTTCAAACCATTTCAATAATTTTATTGAAAAGGTAATTAATTAAAAAAAAGAATTATAGTTTAAATTTTTTTTTTTGACACCAAAAAAACTATAAAGAGACTTTTGTTCTTTAATTCTGAATTAATTATATATATTATAAAGGACATTTTTCATTAAAATATTTTTGTGCATTCATGATTAATAAAATGAAAAATAAATTAACAGTTTTCATCTGATTTGATCAAAAAATTCTTACTATATTTATTCAAACTAAAAAAATTTTGAACCAAAATTCTTAAAAAACTCAAATTTTTATTTATTTTAGTTGTAATTTCCATTTATTTTAATACATATTTTGTTTATAAATACTAAAATATCAATATTTTGTTACTATTTTGTTTTTTTAAATGAATTTTAGATTGATTTTTGGTGCAAAAATATTATTTTATTATAAAGAGTAAAATTTTATTTATAAAAAATAATATTAAAAAATTGATTTCTAAAATATTTTGGATATAGAATATAATAATAATTAAATATTAAAAAGAATTGAGTTCAGAAAAATATAATGTAATAATTATAAAATCAAAATCTTTTTAAAGAATCAATTCTTGATTAATTTAATTAATGAATTGTTTCTATTTTTATAGGGTTTGATTGATTAATGATAGGAGGAACTTTAATCAACTCGAACCAATCTGCTTGTATTGCAATACTATGAATTAGATTTTTCTGATTCAACAGTACTATTTTCAGTAAGGTTAGTTGATTGAATAGTATCTCTTTTATCGGATATTTGATGCTATAATTCTTTGAGTTAATTTTTAAGTTCAATGATTTATTTATCTTTGCGCAATAATAATGCACTTTAAGAGATAAACAATTTTTATTTGATTTCTTAAATTTCTCTTTTAATTTGAAAATTGGAATCTAATATTTGTGCATTTTGATCTTCAAGTTATTTACGTTTTTGTAATTGTTCTTAATTGTCTTTAAGTAATTAATGATATTATTAGTTAAGTTTGATATTAAATTCAATTTGTGATATGATTTGTAAATATTAATCTTTAGTTACAATAAGATTTGAAGTTTCAATTTGATTATCAGGAATAGAATGAGTAGAATGGATTTATTGTAATTCAGAGAAGCTAAATTCATGTGTTTATTAAGGTGGTGAATCTAAATGGATAGATGAGAGAGTATTAGATTGATCTATAGATTTGATTTCAGGTTAAGTATTATTAAATAGATCTGCTAATTGATTTGCTGACAAATAGATAGAGTTAAGAAATTAATCTTGCATAATATTAATTATATTAATTTGATAAATGAACATATATTTCACACTATCAATTAAATAAATTTATCAGGTCTATGGAAACAAGCAGGTGATGCATTGATAGGATTATAACTCATATAATGTGTTGTATGATCTTTCATTTTGTTTACTCTATAGAAATTTGCATAAATAGGTTATGTAAACATAGAAATAGGTAATTCAATATGAGCATTCCATGCAGTTGGTGTAACATATTCAGCAAAATATTTAATTTCATCACATTATCTATAAGTAGTAATAAGATTAGAACAATTGCCATTAGGATTACCAATTGTGGCATAAAATAAAGCTCCATTTGGTGATATTTCTATTTCTAAATATTCTGTTTTAGTTCCAATAAAAATTTCATCGACGTCATGCTAAAATAAAGGATCATTACAATTTGTTAAAGGAGCATCAATATATCTAATATTAATAAGTATTTGTACGAATCCACATTAAAAAAATCAATGACGATTTTATGATTCAAAGATTTACAAATTGTGAAATAAGTGAATTCTACACTTTCTGTTGTCTATTCATTTTGATGTCCCAATTTATATTATGTTGGACCCCATTTACAATTTTCTATTGTGATTGGATCTATTACAGCATTTGAAATGACTATGATAATTGCAAATATTAATATCATATTATTTTATTTATTATCTCATTTTTTAAGACTTTCAATTTATTATTCTGTCAATAACTTTTCTTATTAATATTTTTCCATTTTCTCTATAAGTACTTTCTTTGCATTTTCATTTGTTTTCTCATTAAATTAATTCATTTTATCTTAAAGTCCATCTATCAATTTAATCAATTCATTTAATTTCTTAACTAATCTATCATTCTAAATAAATTTATAAATTAAATATACTTCTTTTTTTAGATCAATGTTATCTTTCAAATTAACAAAAATCTTAATTTTTGCATCTAAAGTATCAACTCCACATTATTTGTGTTCTTCAGTTTCTTAAGCAATCGATGTAATCTATAATATCTTAAAAAATATATTACTGATTTTATTCTGGCTAATAAACAAATGATATCAGTTTATTATTAAATTACATCATCTAAAGATTTATCTCCAACCAAATTTAATGTGAATACATCAGGTCTCTTATTTGGAGGTAATTCACTCTTACTAATAATTTATCTTATTCTCTTTGAAACATTTAATATTAAATCAAATTATTATTCCACATCATTATTAATCCATTAAGGATTAGATTATGGATATTTAGCTATTATTAATGAATCTTCTTTTTAGAATGGTAATTTCTACCATAATTCTTCAGATAAATAAGGCATCATTGGATGAAGTAATCTTAAACCTTAATCTAAAATTGTCAATAAAGTATTTTGAGTTTCTACTTTTGTTTTTTAATCTTCATTTTTATCACTTAAAATATTTTTTATTCCTTCTAAATAAATATCACAAAAAACATAAAGCCAAAATTAATGGAAACTTTATGTTGCTTAACCAAATTCATAATCATCAAATGCAGCATTTACATCAGTTATGGCTTGATTAAGTTTTATTAAAATCCATTTATTGATTAATTATAAATTATTGAAATCTAATTACACATAATTTATATCTTAAGAAAATTTAGGAAATGCAAATCTACAACTATTCCAAATCTTATTACAAAATTGTCTATATCCAATTATATGTTTCACATCCATATTGATATTTGGAGTCTTTTACAAATAACTTAATAAACCAAATCTTAATGCATCTCCACCACATTCTGGAATTCCATTAGGAAATTCTTTTTTTTTTTAATCAATAGCCCTTTCAACTTCTTCTTAAGATAAATTTCCTTCCTTTATTTTTTGTATTAAATTATCTAAAGAAGTTCCATCAATTATTTCAAGAGGATCAATAACATTACCAAGACTCTTAGACATCTTCTTTCCATCCTTATCTCTTATTAAAGGATGAAGGAAAACATATTTGAATGGAACTTTATCAAAGAATTCTAGAGAAAACTAAACCATCTTTGCAACCCAGAAAAATAAGATATCCCAACCAGTTTCTAGAATAGTATTAGGGAAAAAGGCTTTGAAATCTGGATCTTCTGTATTAGGCCATCCAAATGTTGAGAATGGGAATAATCCAGAAGAAAACCAAGTATCTAACACATCTTCATCTTATGACAATTTTATTTAATCTGCAGGGACATTATATTTTGTAATAGCCTTTTGTAAAGCTTCTTCTTCTGATCTAGCCACAATCCAATTGTCTTAATTACTAGAATCAGGTTAACTACCATTGATACTTACTAAATAAGCAGGACATCTATGACCCCACCATATTTATCTACTTATACACCAATCTCTCAATCCTTCCATCCATCTAAACCATTCATTTTCATAGTCAGATGGAATCAAAATAAGTTCTTTATTTTTAACAACATCAATCATTCTTTATTTGATATTTTAGCAATTAACATACCATTAAGGTTTAATCATAGGTTCAATAACATCTTTACTTCTTGAGCATAATCCTAATCTCATTTGATTAGGTTTTTTATCTCTATAGATTCCTAATTATTTCATATCTTCTTCCATTTAACGACGACATTCAAATCTCATCATTCCAGCATATTTACCTCCTTATTAGTTGATTTTACCGTCTTCATCGAAGATAGATATAAATTCTAATTTATTTCTTAATCCACATTCATAATCATTAGGATCGTGTGCAGGTGTAACTTTAACAGCACCTGTACCAAATGTCATATCAACTAATTAATCATCTGCAATAACTTTAATAAGTCGATCACAAAAAGGATGTATCAACTCCTTACCTATTAAATGTGAATATCTTTAGTCTTTAGAATTAACTGCAACAGCTGTATCTCCTAACATAGTTTCTAAACGTGTTGTAGCCACGATTAATTCTTCATTAGAATCTTTAACCTTATATGCAAAATGAGTCAACCATCCAAACTCAACTGGTTCTTTATGTCCTGGCACTTATAATTTAGTCGGTGCTTTAATATCCTCATAATTAACTTCAATATCTGATATTGCTGTTTTTAATTAGCATGACCAATTAACTAATCTTGTAGCTCTATATATTAATCCTTTCTCATATAACAATACAAATGCTTCTGTTACAGCTCTATATTTATATATTTATATAATATTTACTTCTTTAATTATTCATCCATTGTAAAATGATATCTATCCCAATCTAATGAACTACCAACTCTTCTCAATTATTCTAATATCTATGCGCCATGTCTATTTTTATAATTATTTTTATATATTACTTTTCTTTCCATTCCCAAACCTTCTCTAAAAATTACTCTCTACCCATCTCCCATTTATTTAATCCTTATTTTGCTAATGATTTCTCAACCACTGTCTATGTAGCTATTCCTGCATGATCTGTTCCTGGTAAATAACATGTTGCATATCCTCTCTATCTATGAATTCTTGTTAATGAATCTTCTATTGCTGATGTTAAACCATGTCCCAAATGTAAATATCCTGTCACACTATTTTTAATTAACTTTTTATTTACTTTGGTGGTGGTAATACCATTATGTATCTCTTATCATTCTTTAAACCTTCCTCTGCACTCACATGGAAATATTTCTTCTCTTCCCAATATTTATACCAAAAACTTTCTACATATTTTGGTTAATATGATTCAGGCATCTTAGATGCATCTCTCTTTAATTTTAATACTTCCTCACTACCTATTTTCCTTTTTTTATATATTTACTTAATTTGCTTAAATCTGGCAAATCTTTATCTTTCTTTTCCCCTTCTATTTATACTGGCTTCTATTCACCTTTTCCACCTAAATATTTCAAAAATTCCTTCTCTTTTTTCTTTTCTAAAACTTTTACTCCAAATCTTGATATCAATCTTGTGAACATCTCCTCAGATTCGTGCATTAAATTTAATTTATTTTAAAATTTAAAATCAAATTCATAAATTCTTTCTTTTTCAAATCTCTATTAATTAAAATTCTTTTATTAATTATTCTTTCTTTTTTTTCATCATTCTTTATCAAAAATCATTCTATTTAATTATTTTCCCAACATCTTTTTCTTATCATATATATTTTATTATACTTTTTATTAGATCTAAACCACTATCCAATCCATATATTTTAATACTCTATCGAACATAGTTAGTTCTTCTTCACAAAACATCTAAATACTTAAGTAATAATTTTTATTTAAAGTTTTTATAATCTATATAACCAATTATCTTCAATATTCAAAAATCATCAGAAATCTTTCATCTCTTCCTTAATATCTTATTTCAATAAATTATTAATCAATATCAAAATCTTTAAATTTAAAATTCTTAAATCTAAACTTTCAATATATCAAAAAAAAAAACACAAAAATCAAACAAATTACTTCGAAAAACAATTAAAAAAATATCAAAAAATATCAAAATCTCTAAAATTTGGTTGTTTATTTAATTTCTCATATCAAATTTGTTTTTTTCATTCTATTAGGTTAAACAAAATAAATTAAAAAACTATTATATATCTAATATATTTCATTAATTAAAAACAAAAGTATTTCAAAGTTCTCAATTTAAATTAATGCATTTAACAAAATCATATTTATCACAATTTCAAAAATAAATACATGAAATTACCCAACTTTCATTAATTTATTTTTAAAATTTGTTATATAGAAAAAAATTTGATTGGTTCAAGTAATATAATTCTTTTAATTAGAAAAATGAAACAGGTTTATTAAATTGATTCTATTTAAAAACTAAATTAATATTTTAAAAATAAAATTGTAACAGAATTTGTTAGCATGAAATTTTTATTATTAGATTTTAAAGATAAATATAGAGTTTCTCTTAGTCAATATTTCCAATAAATTAATCTTGACTCATAATTTAATCTTGTTTGTGTGTATTTAAAAAAATCATTGATCATATCTAAAATATATAAGTAATATATTAATATATTTTACAATAATTTATGGGTTGCTTAATCTCTAATAAATCTGCAGTTGTAGTACCAAAAACTATACAAAAAATTAATGATTCTAAAATAGAAACCAAAATACACTAAACTGAGACAAAAATTGAAATTGAATCCTCTGAAAAGAAAAATATTTAGATAACTTAAGTACAACAAGTTACAAAGAACTATGATTTTGATGATATTATTCAATATCCATTAATTACAGATAGTTTAAAAGTGTACAAAAAATTAGGGTTAAAAAGGAAAAAAATATATTTTTAAGCTAAGGAAAGTTATCACAACATAATTGAAGAATTGATTAACTAAATACTATTAAATTCTCTAAAGTTTTCTGATATATAAGTAAATAATGATTGTTATATTAGAGAATATGTTAGAAAGGAAATTTGAATATAATGAAAGCTATGTTTTTAAGAAATGATAGTGATGAAACTATATTGACATTAATCTTAACTTACATTGATGATTATGAAATAATTACAGAATTATGCATGAATCATAAATTTCCAGATGATAATTATGAATTGATTGATTTAGCTCTTTCATTGTTAAGAAAATTTAGACCTTAAACTTAAGCAGAAAAAATATAGAAAAGTATTGAATTTTTAGATACTGTTAAATAAGTTGAATAATTAAAAAAAGTGTTTAATTCATTTGGTGATCCAAAAGTTTATAGAATGAAAAATGCAATACTCTATGCTTAAAATTGCATATCTTATTTCAATCTTAAAAAATTGAGTCATTTACTTCTTTTTAAAAAAATAGCAAAGTTGTTAAATTAATAATTTAGGGGTTTGTTTTTAAACCATTATAGAAAATGGAAATAAACTTTTGCTTTTAAATAATTAAAAGTACCTAAAATTATAACAAAAGATACTAGTTCAGTCATTAATTTAAAAAAGATTGAATTAGAAATATTCAATTATAATATATTTCATGAAATAGCAATTAAAAATAATTGGGAATAATTTGTTTAATATTCTAATATATATTATCATTAATAGAGTTCAGATGGAAGAACTCCATTTTGGATATTCATTCAAATGGCTCCTATATCAATGATTGTGAATTATATTCAATAATATCCTAAAGAACTTGAATAAAATTTAGAAATAGTTACTAATTAAGGCTTGACCTTAATTCATTGTTTATGTAGGAACCTAAATCTATAAAAGGAAGATATAGAAATAATAAATAAATTAATTTAAGTATTAAAGAATAATCAAAAAACTATAGAACTTTTAAATACTGCTTACTAAGATTAGATTCCTCTTGTTTATTATTTAGATTATTAGAAAATTCTTAAACAAAATATTATGGAATTTTTAAGTTGCTCTTTAATTAAGACATTTGATTATGAAAAGTTAGAAGCTGATATTTATTAAATAGCTGACTAAATTCTAAATAAATAATTATAAATTAATTATTTTATAAAAGTTGCTTCAACTAGAAAATCACGAAATCTAATCAAGAATGAAAAGTAAAGTTAAAAATAAGAATACTTATTATTAACTTAGTTTTATTAACATTATATTTAATTAGCTAAATAAATTATCAAAAACAATTTATTTGATTAATTTTCTTGGGTAAATAAATTAACTTTTTATTCAAGTCATATTCCTTATGATATTGGTAATATAAAAACATCACTTTTATATACTCTTTTAAAATTTAAAAGATTTGAATAGTTTAAGAATTAAATAGAATCTTATTGTAATTCAATTCAATCTATCTAATATTAATAAACATAAGATTATTTAAAATATTAAAGCATAGTCCAATAAATATCAAGATTACTTTTTATCTATCAAGAATTATTCAATTATTCTGAATTATAATCATCATAATTACTTATATCTGATACTGTATCTGATTAAATTATTTAAAATCCTGAAATCATATTAAATAAAGTTTACGGATCTTATGAAAATGAAGTTTTGGCTGACAATTTATATCTGTAATATTTGTTAAGAATTAAAACTAATAAGGAATAATATAATAAATTTTTATCATTATTGTTATATAGATTGGATAAAAATTTATTCAAAGGAAAAAAAATAAAAATAATATTTTAATTTTAAAATTATCATAATTCAAATAAAATTTAAGTGAAAGGTTTAGAAAAATTGTTGCCTTAATAAGATTAACTTATTATTCCATTAAAAAATTAGACCTAAAATTTACTACAAGATTTAATAGATGACAATGATAATTAAGAAAATTATGAAAATTATTATGATTTTAGAGCTATCATAGAAGAGATAATCAAAAGGGATAATGAATTATACTTTTTCATAATTGAAAAAACTGTAATTATTAGATCAAACTTATTAATATAAAACCTTTTGGATAAAAATTCTAAACTACATTAATATTATAGAGAATAGTTTTTCCATATAAATTCTCTTTGGTATACATCTAAATATATAAACTATAGAATTTAAGATATTATTCCATTTATTTCAGATTAATTAAATACAACTGTTTCAATAAAATCATTAGATAAAGACTTGTATGAATAATTTTTTGATTGGTAATTTTATGGGATGAAAGTTAAATTTTAGATGAATAAATAAATATAAAAAGATAAGGATAAACTTTCTCTTAAAGAATAAGTTATTAATAATTAATTATAAAATAAATAAGAATTTTGGATCAACTTAGTTCTCTTTGATGAATAAAATTCTAATGTAATCGAGTATTTCAATAGATTTTAAAATTTTATTATATCATATTAAAACTTCCCTTTATATGAACTTATTTCAAACAATTGTCAAAAAAATTTTCTACATCTGATTAATTTAAAAAGAATAAGTTAGTATGAACTAATATAAATATTGGCAGAACAGATATTCTTTAGATAAAATTCTGTTCTAATTGGCAAACCTAAAATGGAAAAGATTTCCATATTTAATACTTAGGTTTAATAATTATTAGCATTAACAACTAATATAAATTTTGAAATCACCGATCTCTAAATATGTACTTTAGATAAATTTATTAACTACTTAGAAATTGAAACAATATCAAAATTTAATAAAAATTTGTTATTTAATTTGATTAAAAATTCAAGAATAGATGATTTAATATAAAAGTGTTATATGAGTTAAAAAATTAGATAAGAATCTAATTTTTCTATAGAATGGTCAAACAAAATTTTAGAAATAATATTAGATAATTAGAAATATGACAAAGAGGAAGAACAATTAAATACTAATTTTTTTAATCATTTGAAATTAGCTATATAAAGATCTCCAGTAGTAAGCAAATGGATGGTTTAGAAATTGACTTCTTAAGAGTTATTAGATTGCAATTTTAAGTGTAATCCTTTTTATTTTTATGCCATATTTCATCCAAATGATGCTTATGATTAAATAGATAAGATAAATCTCAAATCTTGGTTAAAAAGATTGTTATTAGGATATTTTATTAATTTAGATGAAAGTGTCAATTCAAATAAAAAAAAATTGATTTACAAAATGATTAAATTAGTAGATAATGATGATTCAAAAGCTGAAGAATTATTTGTCTCCAATTTTATAAATTATGGTTTCCTTCTCAATGGGATAAGATTATTTAATTGGAATTATTATAATAGATCTATTCAATAAAATCTATTTATGTAAAATAAAGGGTGTAATTATGCTAATAGTACTATATATAGATATTATAAAATATTAAGTAAATAAGAATATTAAGGATTTATTGATACAATAGATTTAGATGAAGAAGAATATTTTAAATAAATTAAATTCTTTATTTTAGCTGGATTAAATGATTAACTTTAAGTAGCCTTTAAAAAATTACAAACATTTTAAAGTTTTATAAAAGTATTTAATTTGACAATTTATGCGAAAAAAAGATGTTTGGAACATGAATTTGGATTTTAGATGAACCCAGAATTTGAAATATAAATTGATAATTTAACAAATCTGTCTTTTCATTTTACTTTCAAGAAATAAGAATGCAATTTTATGAATTTTAAATAAAATATAGATTACATTGGAACATTTAAATATTTGAGAGAAGAATTAAAAAAAAAAAAACTTGAAGAATAATTATCTAAGGAAATTGTTTAGTATAATGATTTACTTGATAGTTTAATATTTCCTACAGTTTCTAAGATAGAATTAAATTAACGTTTAGTAAATAATTTAATCCAAATTTACATAACAAAAAAATCTAATTAAAAATATTAGTATAAAGATAAATTAAATTACAATTATAGTGAATTCTTAGCAGAAAGATCTGAACTTTATATTAAAATATTAGAGCCAAATATATAAAATTGTGAAATTAAATTTACAAATGTTTATTATTTCACTCCATTTTAAAGAACATTTTTTGAATAACTGCTAATTTTATTATCTTAGAATAAATATAAAGTAATCTATGATGCAAATAAAATTGCATAATTGATTCTTAAAAATAATTTCTAAGATTAAAAATTTAATGAAGTAATTTAAATTGGAGCAAATGATATTAGCTATATTAATTAAACAAGTAAATACTATTTTTTAAAATGCAATTTTCTTAAAAGCAAAAAATTTAAAATAGAAATAAATCATTTCAAAGCAAAAGTTTAATTTTTAGAAAGTTGTATGCCTCTTGACAATTTTTAATTGGATTCTCTACAAATAAATGAAATTGCATTTATCAAAAAAGGTCATGAATTATTTGATAAAAAATTAATATTCAATCAAAAATATTTAGTAGCAGCATTATTAAGTAATAATCTTGAAACAATAATTTTTGTTATGGAATTACATAAAGATCCAGTCTAATTAGGATTGGAGTAAAATATTTTTTAGATTTTAACAATATTTTCAAATGAGCAAGATATCATTACTTATTATAATAAATTTGTTTACAAAAAAGTTAAGGATAATAAACGATTATTTATGTTAAATAATGTTCCAATCCTTTATTATATAGCATTTAAAAAATATTCAAGAGTATTTTTTGAAGTCTATCTTAAATAATTACAAACAACTTAAAATGAATAAGAAATAAATAATTTTGTTTAGGAATAATTGTAATTGGATTGTCTCGATTCTGGTGAAAAGATTTATTAACTTGCATTAAAATAAAAATCCTACTTTTTATTAAATTTTATGAAACCATTTATAAAAGTTTAAGATATTGAAGAAAGTATTTATAATTATAATTTTAATACTTTGAATAAAATTAATAGTTATATAATTAAGAATTAAATTATAAAAGAATTTATCATATTTTATGAAAAAACTAATACATTTCATAAATATTTTCATAAATTAGAACGTAAATTTTCCGAAAATAAGGATTTTATGATTGATGATTAAAATTAGGCAAGAGAAAACTAAATTGATTTACTAATAAAAAAAGAATAAGCTACTTTAATGAAAATATTGGGATTTGATAAAGAAATTCTATAATTTATAAGAATACATTATGGTTTTAGTTTATTCAATTATGATTTAGTAATAGAGAGAATAAGTGATTATAAAGGTAATCCTATAATTATATAAAACTATATAAATACAATTTTATCTGAAAAAAAGAATATATAAAAAGATGTAATAAAAAAGATTGTTGAATAGGTGTAAACATTATATATTTTAGATCATCCAGTTTTTATATAAATTATTTAACTTTTCCCAATAGAATTATAAAATTCTTTGATACCTTAAAATTTTACACTTGAAAATTCAATAGCCTTAGCAGTTAGTTAAACAAATTCTCACTAGAAATCTCTTGAGGATTTTATAAATAAATAATTTAGACAGTTAAATAATGAGGAATATTAAAATAGAGAAGAACAAATAAATAGTAAAATTTTTTTAATGATGAAATTAATAAATTAATCTTAATTTAATATAGATGAATAAAGATTATTGAAGGATTAAATTTTAATGTTGCCAGAATAAATTTTATTAGAAACAATATAATTTTGTAAGCAAAATAATTATAAATTAAAAAAAGAGATTAATTAAAATACTTAAGAGTTTTTGATATAATTAGTTTCTTAAAGAATAACTTTTGTAAATTAATCATAATTATGGAATATAATTAAAATTAGAAAAGATTATACTCCACTCTTATCAGAAATAATGTGTATAAGAAAGATAGATAAATTATGTGAATAATTAATGAATTATATTAAGTATTTAAATTTAAATGAAAATAATGAGTAACCAGAATTTATTATTAAATTTGAGAATGTAAGAATGAGTTAAGAAGATCAATAAATAATAATTCCTTTAGAATATAATGAAGATGAAATATTTTTTAATTAAGTTAAATATCTTGAATTGATTGAATAATTAAAATAAATAAGATTAGAAAGGAACATTAAATAGAATATTAAAAAACTACTTAATTTAGAAGAATATTTTTCGAATGATATTATGGGAGAACTTGAAGGAAACTATAATATTGATGATTTAGATGCTCCACATTAAACATAATAGAATAGTTTTTAAAAATAGATGACATAATTTGCAAAATAGGGAACAATTTTTGAAAAAAAATAAACAGAGAATCCAAATTAAGTTTAATATAAATAAGGAGATATTTAATTTATGAAATAAAACTTTGATTTCATGCTTGAATTAGTTAATAATAATAATAATTATAAAGTTAGGGATCAAAAATCTTAACAAAGTTAAATTATTTTTATGGAGTATTATCATTTTTTAAAACCGGAATTAAGTTTAAAATTAGAATAATGTACAGAATCTGAATTTATTAAAAAATATAATGGTAGAGAATCAATATCTTTTGTAATTTCCTAATTCTATAAATATCATGAATATCTTAAATAAGTATTTGCTGATAAGGATTATAAATAATAATGGGAGATTAATTTTCCTTTTTATGTAAAAGATGATAAGTGTTATAGTGAAAAATCTCTATTCTCTACATATACTATATAAATAGTATTTTAAAAACTTCATGAGTTTCAAGAAAAAGTTAAGTAATATGCTACAAATTTAGGAGATGTTGAAAAAATATAATGGAGAATAAGTGCTATATCTACTTTAGAAGTTTTAGTTAGTAATATGGTTGATTTTAATAATTACAATAATAAATCAGTAGATATTCTATCAATTTTAGACTACATATTAAATTAGAATTCTTTAATTATGATTCTACTCTAAATTCTTTATTGTAATATGCTTAAATAATCAAATATTTTATCAGTTTTAAGAAGAGTTTATGTTGAATTTAATGAGGTTCAAGAATTGCCATTTGAAAATTATTCTTAAGAATAAGGTTTTGATACATATTTTAGATTTGGTTAAACTAATTATTATTTATAATAATAAACTTTAATAGTTAGATTGAATATTTTGAATATGAAAAAACATTAATAAGTTAAACCATTAACATTAGGTAATAAGCAAGTTTCAAGAAATAATATATTGAAAGAATAATAATAAATCGATTATTATTATTGCAATATTATTAATGAAGAAGATTTACTCTTTTAAATATTCAATTCAAATTAATTAATTTAATATTTATTTCAGAAACTTGAGATAGATCGTAAACTTTAACAAATATCATAAAATATAAGTTAAATGCTTAATAAAGATATAATCATTTCAGTAAATCATTAATCTTTATCAAATGTATTATAGCCAGAAATATAATAAATTAGAAAATTATCAGATAGAAAAGAATAGCTAAAATAACAAACTTAAGTAAAAGAATTGCTAATTAATCTATCTGATTTTTTCTTGCATAAATCAGAAAAGTTATTGGTTGATTAAATTTAAAGTCATGAATATGAATATTAATTTTAAACAACTCTATCTTCTTTACTTCATTCTTTAAGATAAGGATTTAATCGTTCATAAGAAGAAATACCAAATTATCGTAAAATTGTATCTGTTTAAAAAGCAAAAGTCGTTACTAAAATTAGATATCCAAAAAGAAATTGTGATAAATTAATAAGTTTATATTTTGGATTTTAATTAAAGACAAATTATTACTTATCATAAAATAGAATTGGAGATTTATTAATAGTAGTTTATAAAAATGAATATCATTAAGTTACAACTATGTTAGGTTAATTAGTAGATAATAGTAGATAAGGAAAACTTGTATTATATGAATTCGATGATTAATCAGTATCAACTTTATCATAAGAATAATTTGAATAATATTGTTCAGTTTCTAATAAGATGAGAAAAGATGATAGTTTAGATGATTCTTTAGAATTTATTGAAAATGAAAATATAGTTGCTGTAATACTATTTGAAAAAGGTTGGCCATAAGATTAAAATTTTATTAACAATATATCAAATGTATTTATTACTGATCAAATTGGAACCTTATATTTTATTCATGAATAACGTTTTGCAAGAAAGATGTTTCAAATATAAGAAACAGACAGTGAATCAATTAAATAATAACTAATTGATGATGCTTTTGGAAAAAATTAATTATAAACTTATAGTTAATTTACAGTCTCTGAAATTATTCCAATTTTCCCAAATCAAATTATTTATGAGTTTTCTTCTGGAAAATTTAAGTAACATAATCCAGATGTTGAAAATTGTTGGAAGATGATCATTAAAATTAATGATACTGATTTTTAAATTGATAAAATGAAATTAAATTTATTAAATATAGCATCCTATTTTGATTCAAATGATACTGCTTAATATCATATTAAATAACTCACTTAATTTAAGGAATCTCACAATGAATTATCTAAAATATAATTAAGAATTAAGTTTAGTGATTATTTAAATTAAAATCCCTCTTATTATTTAGATAAAATTATGGAATCACACATTGCTTTTGCTGAATTTCAATCAGGTTATGAAACTTTTTTTTTAGATAAATTTATACCTAAAATTGAAAATTCTCTTAGTTTCATGTTTGATATAAATCAAGCATAAATTAAAAAAAATCTATTAACTAATATAATTAAAATTATTGAATTTTCTTTTGAATTAACACAAGATAAAGTTAATTAACTTATTACTTTTGAAAATGGAGTTTTAAAATTAACAACATTTTTAATAGAAGATACTAATAGATCTTTAAGTATAGAAGTTCCTTAATCTAATAAAATTGGATAGTTTTTGAATTAATTAATAATCAATTTTGATAAATATAATTTTCATGATCTTTTAATTGATAAAAAGAAATTCGAAATATCCATAAATTAAGATTTTGAAAAATTATTTGAATAAGATGTGTTAACATTGATTCTTTTATCAAAATATTTGCATAAATTGATTGCAATCAAAAACGATAAAAAAATAATTTTTAAGATAACTAAATAAGATTCAAAATCAATAGCTTTATATTAATTTTCAAAAGATAGAAATGAAGTGTTACTTTTTTATAATAAATTTGAAGATTTTAGTTTGGAAGACTTTTTACTTGATTATTTAAATAATCATACAAGTTAATATTCAAAAATTAGTTATTTAGAATTGGAAAAGAAAATACTTAATAAAAATTAATTAATGTTGTAATCAATGAATTTTACTGCTGATGATTTTATAAAAAAAGAAAAATATTAACCCTAATAATTTGAACTTTATATACATTATGGATAATAAAAAATACAGAAATTAGAAGGAAGATTAGATCCAAGAGATTTTGAAACAGCTTTTATTATTATAAAAGAGTAATTTTATAATAAAGTAGTATGTATAAAAAGTTGTCAAAAATATTCCCCATTAATATAATATCTTAAATAAAATTCTTCAGATTAGAAATGTGGATTTTCAAAATATGTATTAATTAATGGAGTATCAGAATATATATCCTTAGATGAATAGATGTCAAAAATTAAAATAATAACCAAAAATAATATAGAGAAACCTCTAACTTTTTACAAAAATTATTCAACTACTCTGAAAGCAAAAATAAATTTTATTACATCAAATATTGTCTTAGTTAATTTTACTTGTACTAAACCATTAGAGTTTATGATAAAATCAAATTAATTTAAATTAGCATTTATGAAATAAGATTTTTAATCAGAAATTAAACTAACTTTTCTTCCAGCATCAGATTTATAAATGTATAAGTTTTATCATACTGGAATTTCATTTAAAAATGAATATAAATAAGTTAATAAAGAAGCCTAGCAAATTAAAATTTAACAAAATTATTCATTGAATGATAAATTATTAAAAATAATAATGAAATCTTTAAATATAAGAGAAGATATGCAAATTGAATAAAATAATAAAAATATCAATTTAAATTAGATCTTAAATAATAATGTGTTGAACATTTAAAGTAAATAATTAATAAATTAGTCAACACAAGTAGGATTTGAAAGAATGGATGTAATTGAAATTAAAGATAATTTTGGAAATAAGTCAAATTCTTTTGTGTTATAATAGATAGTATTTGTCCATTCAATTTATTAAAAAATTTAAATAGTTCCAAAATATACAAAAGAAGATACAGGATTGAAAATTTATTGGGAACCATAAATAAAAGGGATATATAATTTATATATTAATAATTAAAAAGTGGATAGTTACTTTACTGTTTTGGCTACCTAAGTAGATATAGAAAAATCAGTCTTAGATTTCCCAGAAAAGTTAAAGAAGATTCCTTATTATTAAGAAATAACATTTAATATTTATTTGAAAGATAGATTGTAAAATATATATGGGTCAATTGAAAATAGTTTGTAAATGACTAATGTAGAAGTTTTGAGTTCATATAAAAATTTTAATATTGAACAAAATTATTCAAAATTATCTTTGGAAGGTAAAATGGAAGTAACCTTAAGAATTCTTCCAAAGAATGAGGATGCTACAGAAAAATAGGAGATAGATTTAATATTTAAGATTAATGATCAAATAAAAATGAGTAAAATTAATTTTATTTATTATTAGCAAAAATATTATAATTAGAAGGAGTTTCATTTGAAAAGAATATGTAAGATTTCTAAAGATCTATTTTTTATGACAATAATGGAAAAAAGATTTACAAAGTTGAGAAGTAGGTACAAATAGTACGTGCAAATTTTTTGGATAGTTTACTTAAATTATAAAATGAAAAATTAATGGGGCCATTGATGATTAAATTTGCAAATGAGTAGGGATATGATGCAGGTGGTTTAAGAAAAGAATTTTATTCATTGATAGGTAATGAATTAAAAGGGGATAACTTAAAATCTGATCAATATGGTTATTTTAGTATGTTATCACCTGGATATTATTTTATTGATTAAAGATTTTTGTAAATTCCTAAGAAAACAGATTATGCATTTGTTTTTGGAAAGGTATTTATTATAAATTAAATTAAAAGGTTGTAGCAAATTCAATATTTAATAATCATTAAATAGGAATTCAATTTTAACCATAGTTTTGGAAGGTGCTTTTTGAAGAGAAGATCTAATTTAAAGATCTTTAAGGATTTTTAGATCCTATTACATATTAAAATTATGAGAGTCTACTTTTAAATGATGATGTGACAATGGAATTGTTATGTCTCAATTTTACATATTAAAAGAAAAAAGATTTGATAAATTTGATACCAGATGGATAGAATGTAATGGTTAGTAAAGAGAATTGTTAAATTTATTTAGATAAAGTTGCAGAATACTTAATTCAACAATAGTATTAAGAAATATATACACCATTTAGAGAAGGATTTTCAACAGTCTTGGATATAAAAGTAATTAATATAATATATGAATATAATAGATTTTGAAAAAGTATTTTAAGCCAAATGATATGGGTCTTATAACTTTAGGAGTTTAAGAGATAAAACCAGAACAATTAATTAATTTAATAAAATTTAAAGGAGGTTAAGATTATCATATATCATTTTTTAATACTTATGTTAATTAATTGGATAGTAAAAAAATAAAAGAACTATTGCAATATATAACTGGAACACCAACATTACCTTCAAATGCTAAGTTAGCAATTACTGTCGAATTTAAATCAGAAATAAAGGAAAGTTTTATACCAACAACTAGAACATGTTTCAATACAATTGAATTACCTCTATATAAGAATTTTGCAGAAATGAAATAGAAATTGGATACAGCTATAAGTTATGGTTTAGTTGGATTTGGAATTTTCTGAATTCTGATTATTTCTATAGATATAAAATATGATAATTTATAAAAAATAAATAAAGATTAACTTTTTGAGTTGATTACGCAATTTGCATAGTTTATATTAAGTTAAATAAAAAAGATATTAAAAGAAAATAATCAGATAATAAATAATGAGCAATAAACAAGATGCTGATTAGAAGAACCTAAATTCGATTTCTAGTCATTCTGTAGTGAAATCGCATACGCAATCAATAAAAGATATAGAATTATCAGTTTATAGATGGGCTATTCTGTTGTTGTACTTTTTAGTTGTTTTGGTAAATGGAGTGCCATATGAAATCTGTGTACCTATCACTACATTTATGTCTGATATATATAATGTTTCAACAGCTATAGTAGCAACAGCTTCAACAGCGTTTATGTTGATGCATCCTCTTTTATCATTTTTTGCAGCTTAAAGTATTTTTAAATAATTTAATTAGCTATATCTAATTATGGATGGGCACCTGCTACTAATTTAGGTGTAATTCTGACTATTATGGGTTGCGCTATAAAACTGTTGATAAACAAAGCAGGGTATAAAAAAGAGTCATTATATATAGATTTTCAGTTTTAATAATTGGTTAAGTTCTATGTGGAATAGGAAGACCTTTTATTTTAAATTCTTAGGCATCAATGGCTATGAGTTGGTTTCATCCAAATACAAGAATTATAATAATAACTCTACTTAATGTAGTCACTACGTTATCATTGATTATATCTGCATTTATACCTGGAATGGTTTTTAAAGGTTATAAAGAGGAAGGTGATGAATAATATGAAGATGGAAAAAGTAGAATGTAGAATTTATGTTTGCTTGAATTTTACATAAGTTTGGCTATTGTGCCTAGTTTAATTATGTTAAAGAGTAGACCAAATTAAGTACCAGTGAAAATAAATAAAGTTGAAAGAAAAAGAGGAATGATAAAAATAATGTTAAGATTATTTAAGAATACAAACTTTGTTTTACTATTTATTCCATTTAGTTTGTATTTTGGAATATTAAAATCATTATTAGTAATAATGGAATTGTTAATGGCTCCTTATAATTATGAAGCACATTAAGTGGCAGGTGTAGGTATAGAAATAATATTAATAAACAGTTTCATTTCCTTTAGTTGGTGGATTAATAGCATAAGGAGCAATTCCATATTTTATAAACAAGTATAAAATATAGAAACCATTTGTCCGTTTATTTTTATTATTAGCTATTTTATCTTTAGGATTTCTATATTTTGCATTGAAATCAAGCAATATAATTTATATGTACATAGTTGTTTCTCTATTGGCAATATTTACAATGCCAATATTACCTGTAATGATGGATATGGGATGTGATTTAATATTTCCACTAGATCCATCATTTGCAATAGGTGCCTTTTATATGGGAAGTATGTTGTTCTTTGTAATTTTTACATACTCTTTGACATTTATAACAGGAAAAGATAAGGTTGATTCAAGAGTATTATATACAAACATTTTTTCTGGAGGAATGCTCATTATTGGATTTTTGTGCAGTTTATTTTTGAAAATAGATGATTCATATTAACCTGTTGAGGTTGAATAATAAGATAAAGGTTCATTAGTTCATCCTTTAGAAAAGAGTGTGTCATAAGTTAAAGGAAAAGGGATTTCTGTATATCGAGGAACTTAATCAAAATTGAGTGTATAATATCATAAAGCATCTTTGTTCAGTGTACAGTATCAAAGTAATTTAGTGTTCACATAACAATATCAGTATTGTAGGTGATGTTCCCCTTATCCCAGGAGAAGAAGCAGAAGATCTTTATGATTCAGAAGAATAACCCTAATAATAAGAATGATAGTAATAAATTTATGTATATCTACATTATTCTTTAATTTTATAAACGAGAAATTAAATGTTCATTATTCATGTATTCATTTATTCAACTATTTCTTTTTTAATTACTTTAAAAAATTAAGGGCTTGTACACTTAGTTATTCATTTAATTCAGTCTTTTAAATTTATTTACCTATTGACGATGTTTACATTCTCTGTGTAGATCTAAATAAAGATCTTGTTTAAGATTGTACTTTTCCAGATCGGAGACGTTTGATAAGATTGTTAAGTGCTTCTGGATTATAAACTAATTTCTTTTGTTTTATTTCTGTGTCTGAATTATGAGGAGAAATGAAATACTCATGTTTTGATTTTGGAGGTTATAAAATTTCTAAAATCTAATCATATAAATTGGAAATCCCAAATAAATCTTGATTATCAACTTTTGAGTTTTCTAAAAGATTACAACATTACTTTGCCTTTTCCCACAATTCATTTGGAGGAACTTATGTTTTTTCTTAATCATCCACTGTCTTAGCATTTTCATATATTATCTCACTCTCAGCTATATGCTTACTTACGTTGGTCATATTTGTGATAGAAACAATTTCAAAAGGCATAGGTTTTATTTGAATCTTTCCCAAAAATGAATTTAATAATCTATTTTTAACTTTGTAATTCACAGGATAGATTCGCTTCTCTATTCTATTGCATAAGAATTGATATGAGTAATCGAATGTAAAATACTAACATTAATCTAGCATTATATAATTTGATATTATTTATGAAACATTACTATAATTCATTATTAATTATGTAAATAGAAGACATCACCTTTTTTTCTTTTGCTCTACTATTTAATTTGATTCTTGACTCCCTTATGTTTCTAGTATACAATGAGAGCTAAGAGACCCAAGAAAAATAAAACACAAAACAAAATGGTTAACAATATCCAATATCTACATATTAACATAATTAAATAATTTACAAATTAGTGAGAACAACAGTACTCATCTAAACATTTAGAATAATAGAAGCTTATGTAAGTTAATTAATTGCAGTTAAGGTAATAGGTTATTCTGTGGCATTCCCAAGAAAAGAAAGAGTAGCATATTCATCAACCACATATAAATTCAGCTTTTTATTTTCTTTATTTAATTATAACAGTGTCTATCCATTCTCATCACTATGAAGTGAAAAAAATTAATTTGGATAAGATTAAACTATTTCAACTCCTCCAATCATTAAATTTAAATTTGGATATTACTTCTAACCCAATTTATAAATACATATTGTATAATATTTAGCTTAATAAGCCAATGCTAAATAATCTTTCTCTAAGGAAGCATCATAATATACATCAAAATCAGAGTATCTCTAAAACATTTCATTTATAATTAGTTTCTAATATACATCATCCTCAAAATACAACACTAGCGACAAATGAGCTATTGAATTAGTTAGAAGAATCATTTTAAAAATTTAAAAATTGTTTTATGGATCTCCATTACGAATCACTTTTAGATATCGTACTTCATCATCAATATTTAATCCCATCATCTATTCTATAGGTTATCTCAATGATACTCTATAAAGAGCATAATCTGCTGTTATAAATTAAAATGAACTATCAATATAGTGAAAATCTTATATGAACAAACCTTATTATAAATCACTCAAGAATACTCTATATTTATTATTAATTTTATAAGTGATGAAACTGGATGCATAAAAATCTCTGTATTTTCTTGAATCTACACAAGAAGTTTATGTATATGATACAGTTATAGGAGGGGTAAACTCATAATGATAAGCACATATTTTAGCAGTGTAGTACATATATCCTCCGATAATTTAATGACTATCCAATATTATAAAATTGCCATCATCTAATATATCTAATTAAATAAGTTATATATTCAGCTTGATTTAAAAAGGTTCCCCAATCATTTAATATTATTAATCTTAAAATTTAACCATCTATAGAAAACCTTAGAATGTCGTAGTTTAACCAGTAATTAATATTGTATCCTTTTTACACCATATTTTCTAAGGTGTAAATTAGAGATCTAAGTTGAAATAGAAAGCTGGATGTTTTACATAATGAGCAGAATCCAAAAATATCAATTGATTTGTAGTCATAAAAACAAAATAATCCTCATCTAATTTACATTCATCTAAAAAGCTTGAATAATACTCTAAACTCTAAATCAAATCAATTTTTTATGTAAGTAGAATTTAATCTTAACATTATTAACATTCAGCCTAATACTTAATTATCTATCCTTTAAACCAATCATTAGATATTTTTATTGCTGCTTAATTAATTAACAAACTCTCATTACTTATTGTTGCCAAAATATTTGTCATTAAATTCAAAAATGTTACATTCTATTTAAATTCTATTTGTTCTGGAGAATCAATGGAATCATAATGTATTAATAATTCTTTTTTATGAATATATTCATCATTCCATTCTGATGAAATAACTGCTTAAAAATTTCTATAAACTAACAAATTCTTTATCCCAAATTTAGAACTAGCATGTATCAATAAACCATAATAATAAACCTTTGTAATTCCTAATCTTAATGTATCCTTTATATAATCACCTAATGGAATATGAGTTACTAGAGACTCCCTCAAATTTGTATCTGGTTAATACACTAATAATACTGTTTATTGTAGAACTGGAGTGTATGCCCTGATTATTATTTAATCCAATGATGACATCATCTACAATGGAGTTTATAGGATGTAATGGAACAGTGGGATTTTCTTCAAAAATGATACTTATCTTTTCTTTATACTATATTCTCTAAGTTCCTATTAGTGACCAAAATGTAAAGCTACAAATATTGAGTAACTTGTTAGACCTACTTCAATTTATCTACATTCTGGAAAAGACTGGTAATAAACTACAAAAAATTTATTATATAAGAATCCTGCAATTAAAGAATCTTAATTAGCTATGATTATCAAATACTATTATTTGTCAACTCTCACAAATTTTGGACTTAATTAATAAGGCTCGACATCTGATTATTTGATTGTATAGATATATTCTTTATCTTATAATGAATAAACATGTATTTCTTTCTTCTTTTCTAGTACTACAAATATCAATTGTTCAGTTAAACAAAATGAATTTATTAATGAATTTTCATCTTTCAAACTTGTAGAGATAACAAATAATTTAGAGACAATTGATTATTTCAATTAGAATATCTCAATTGTATGTCTAAATTTAGAAATATATCCAAAAATCACAACTTCCCTTTCGATCCATTAAAATGAGTCATGATCCAATTGTCTATTGGGATTAAAATCTTAAACTTTTTAACATTATAATTAATAATTAATAATGAACTCTTTGCATTGATATAAGGTGGCTTTTAAGTTTTCCACTTAAATTACATAATAAGTGAAACTTCCGCTATAAAATATACTAACAAAAAGCATATTCTCAGGCCATATAATACCATCAACTTTTAAATCTTCCAAATAGCCTAATTTTAATTTTATACTCTAATCATTAAGATATATATTTGCATTAATATTTGAACCAGTAACTCCTAATTCTTTAAAGATAGAAACTTATGGATATGTTGGATAATTCACTAATGGTTTTATTTAATTGATAACATTAGACTTTTAATACAAATTATTATCTAAATAATCATAAATGATATAATTTAATGTTAATACACATTAGGATTCTTCTGTGGCAATAACTTAAAGTTTTAAAAATTCATTCGAAGGTTAAGTGAATGGTTTCATTATTAACATAGGAAAAGAGATATAATAATTTTATTGCATATCTTCAGTCAAAAGATAAATATTTGCTCGCAAATAATTAAAATCTAATAAAACTGGTTTTTCAAATGATTTTTATGACACTTTTATCATGCTTACTAGATTATAAATACTCAGATAAGTTGAATTATAAAAACAGAAATATTTTTAATAACTATTTACTCTCAAAGCAGCTATATTAAATTAAGTTATGTTGACTTAATTTATCCAATAAAAATAATCTACTTGAGTGGAAGAGAGTACAAAAATGGAATTTTACATAGCAGTAACAACAATTTAATAACTTATATCTTCAAATAAAAGACTCATAGCATTATAAGTAGTATAATAAGAGTAATTATGATGATGTATCAATGAAAATTAATCTAATGTAATACTCTCTAAAATAATGACTCCATAAAATTTATCTAAAAGAACTAATTAGTTATAATTAGCCAATTAAGCATCAATAATTTCAAATGATTTATTTGCAAAAGGCATTAAAGTTTTTAACATTGTTTAATTAATAATGGCATTAAAGTAATCGAAAGAATCATTATAATAATAAATTTGAACATCATTTTTAGAGACAATTAGAATTTTTCGATCTTCTACATCAATATTTAAGATTAAACTATCAATTTAGTAATAATTAGATTATTTTGCAATCCAAAATTTTCTAGTATCTGCTAATAAGATTATATCTTATTATATCACTCTAACAAAAGAACATGGTTAATCTGTTTCAAAATAAACAGTATTGATTGATGGATATCTTATTTAATAAATGGATTCATTCTTTATTAAAATAGCCATTTAATTTGTTTCGAATTCTCCTCTCTTCATTGAATTAACATCTATTAGTGTAACATTACCTAATATTGATATATGTTATATCTACTTAAATCCATTTGAGTACCCTCTAAAGGTTAAAGTAATGGAAGAATATCGAAATTTTCCTCATTCCCATTTAATGAAAATGTGAGATCTTCACCATAAAAGAATCTATTCAAATCCCATTCCTTTCTCTCGTATGTTGATGCATATATGGTTTAGTTGTTCTAGTCTCAATTAGATTATATATTAATACAGCAATACAATGTAAATGATGGAATGAACAACAAAAATAATAATAACATATATATAATATTTATAATTCATTTTTTAATTTAACAAGATTTTACTTTTTCTGCAAATCTAAGACTTGCAAGTGTTTATTAAAAATCTTCTGATCTAGATGATATGTTCACCATCATTAAGGTTTTAGAACTACCTTCCATATATTTATATAATGAAAACGTCAATTTACTATTTCTAAATGGTACATGTTATTATTTGGTGTAAAGTGCATTAAAAACATCACCTAATGCACTTAATGATTTATTAATAGCTTTAGTTTCAGTAAATCTGTCTCCTTCTGTTTTTGCTACATTTGCTCTCTCAGAACCAGCTAAATCAATTAAATTTAAAGTTGAATTAATTTGCTTATCTCCCATATGTCCTTATAAATTTAATTAAAATATAAAATGACTTCTAGAGGATACTTCATTACTAAGAGTTTCTGCAACTTATCTATTTTTCTTTGCAGTATTAAAATGTTCTACCACTTCATAAATATCTTTTACATCCAATAACTTAACTTCATCACACTTTTAATTAGTAATTAAATCTCTACTTTATTCATTATAAATTTCTTGAAACCCAACTCTAATATTAGTTTGCCATCCAAGTTCTAACATTCCTAATCTTTCTTTATATATTTATTCAACAGCTCTTGGTATAACACCTATATTATGATCATCACCTTGCATTGTATATGTTTTCCCTGATCCAGTTTAACCATAAGCAAAAATACACACATTATGACCATCAACCACATTTTAAACTAAATCTGATAGTTCATTATATATGTCTAATTAGTCAGCATCCTAACTAAAAATATGTTCAAAATTAAAACTGCTTTCCTTTTAACAATTCGTGGATTTTAAAAATCTCTCAGGAAATTTAAGTACTAAAGAACATTCACCATTCAATACTAACATGTCCTCTTATGAATTAGGTCGAATACGACAATAAACACGAATGTTACCCTTAGCTTCTTATAGAAGATTGTTCCAATATCTCTTTTAATGCTCAGTATCTTTAAGTTCCTATTGTAATTGAATTTATTGTTATTAACTTAATTTAAAATTATTAATAAGTTATTGCTTTAAGAATTTCTTTTATTCAAGTTCTTCTTTGATTTACTGTAATTCTTAAACCATTCTTTCTTAAGCTTTTTGCATTTCATTTATTTATAATCTTTATTTAGTTTGTTATTCAAATAATTCTTAGATCTATTAAATTTGATTCTGTTACTAGTTTAATCGACCAGCATGATATTCTAATTGATCCTACTATTGGTGGAATTATTAGATAGCTTATCTATCAGCCTCATCTAATTTAATTTGAAATTCTGTTAAATATTCCCGGGTAGTTTTTTGAATTGTTTAAGTAAGTGGTTTGAATTCATCAAAATTTTATTTAAATTCTCCTACCTCTTCACTTTAGACTCCAAGTATTCTGCTTTTATGAGTAATTAATTCAATTAGTTTATCTTCAATAACTTTTAGATGATAAGCTCTAATATCCTTAAGTTCTTTTTCCATTATTATATTATTATTAAAATGGATGTCTTGAACACAATAGTAGAGCCTCCTAATTGCTCTTTAAAAAATTTCATTTGAAGAGAAGTTTTATTTGAATATTCTGTGTTAAGATGTAAACATTCAGAGTTCTTGACATTGATAATATTAATTGAAACTGCAGAATATTACATTTTGTCTTAGACATATTTACATCAAAATAATATTCTAATTAGATATTTATGAGTTTGCTTAAGAAAAATATGCTTCAAAATAGATTTGTAATAAAAATTCACATTGCATTTGTTATTGTAGATTAACATTAAATGTATGATTATTTACTTTTTATTAAGTTGATATGCGATTATATGAAATATTTTAAATGAAAGTAGATAAAGATGGATTAGTTATATATCTCAATTGCTTATGATTACTAAAAATGACATTATACAAACTAATTATTAAATGAATTAAGAAATTTATATCCAAAAACAATGGTTCATAAAGAGTCGTGAAGGAAAGATCGAGGATTATTACATTTTAGATGATAAAGTTTTATTTTCACATGATCTATGTAGGAACTCTCGGCTGGTTAATTTGGAAAGGTTTTTAAAGCAAAACCCAAATTATTGAAGAATGATCCTATGAGAGCTGTGAAAGTGATACCAAAACGATTAATTGAAAATAAGGAGAGATTTCTTTAAGAAGTAGAAATTCTTAGGAATCTTGATCATCCAAATATAATTAAGCTTTATGAGACATTTGAAGATATTCGAAATATTTATTTAGTCATGGAGTATTATAATTGAATCATCATAATTTAGATTATGTACAGGTGGAGAATTATTTGATTAAATTGTTACAGATGGTTAATTAAGTGAAAAGGATGCTTAACAAGTTTTCATTTAAATAATGAGAGCAATTTCTTATTGTCATAGTAAGGGTATTGCACATAGAGATTTAAAACCTGAAAATTTCTTATATTATGATGATAAACCAGGAAGTCTATTAAAAGTTATTGATTTTGGTTTATCTCGTGTGTTTAGACAATAAGGTTAGTAATAAAAATAATTGATGAAAAGTAGAATTGGTTCGGTAATATTCCTAAAAATCTATTATATAGCCTTATTATATAAGTCCAGAAGTTTTAGATGGTTAATATGATGAATTATGTGATATATGGTCAGCTGGTGTAATTTTATTTATTTTACTCACTGGTATTCCACCTTTCAATGGAGAAAATGATGGAGATATTGTTAAATAAATTAAAGCAGGATAATTAAATCAAGACTTATCTGAATTTTAAAATGTCTCTGATTAAGCTAAAGATCTTATCTAAAAGATGATTTGTAAACATTCTTAAAGATTTAATTCTTAACAGGTCTTATAACATGAATGGTTACAAAACATCAATTAAAATGATTCTAAATTGTGTCTCAATTTTGATTCACTAAAGTAATTCACATAGCAAAGCAAATTAAAAAAAGCATGATTTTATTTATTTATACTTTTAGATAGTACTTGCTTAGATTGCATCTTAGGTTAGTTTAATAGAAATAGAAGAACTTAGTAAATTGTTTTAAACTTTGGATAAAGATGGAAATGGATAATTGAGTTTTGAGGAATTCAAAAATGGATTTAAAGAAAAGAAAAATGATTTATTCTAATACTTTGAAGCTATTGATACAGATTCATCTGGATCAATCGATTATAATGGTTTTTATATATGATTTTTTATAACTATAGAATTCATTGCAGCCATGATGGAAAGATCATTCTATTTGAAATAAGATAAACTACTATAAGCTTTTCATACTTTTGATTTGGATAATGATGGAAAGATTACATCTTTAGAACTCAAAAAAGTACTTGGAGGTTAATTATTATTATTTCTACTTTAGATAATGATCATTATAATAAGACAGATCCTAAATTTTGGGATACATTATTAAAAGATGGAGACTTTGATGAAGATGGTTAAATTGATTATTTAGAATTTGTTGAAATGATGAGTGATTTATGAATATTAATAATAATATTTATAATATAAAATAATATTAATTATACATATAAATTATGAGCAATAATAGTAATAACAATAATAATAACACTAATGATGTTGATGAAATTGAAAAGATTTTACAAATGGAAATCAATAGTAGTGATAATGAATAATAAAATAATTAATAAAATGACTAAAGTAAAAGAGAATAAGTTGAAAAGTATTTTGATAGTATGACAGCTTAAGATAAGATGCGTTTATTAAAAAAAAGAAAAATTTGTGGTTTAGTTGAAGGCTGTGATACTATTGAAGGATATCAAAAACTTAATCGTATTCATGAAGGAGTGTAATTAATATCTTATTTTTAAAATTAGTTATGGTGAAGTATTTAGAGCACGAGATATGTTAACAGGAGAAATAGTAGCAATCAAAAAAATCAAATTTAGTCAACACATCGATAAAGAAGGATTTCCAATTACATCTATTCGAGAATTTAATCTATTGTTATCTCTTAATCATCCTAATATTGTTAAAGTCAAACGAATTGTTATGGGATCAGATAAAGTATTTATGGTCATGGAATATATGGAACATGAATTAAAAGATTTAATAGAAAGATCCAAGTATTAATTCTCTACAGCTGAAATAAAATGTTTACTTAGATAATTACTACTTGGAATACAACATTTCCATTAAAAATCAGTTATGCACCGAGATTTGAAAACTTCAAATTTGTTGTATAACAATAAAGGATAACTGAAAGTATGTGATTTCGGATTAGGTAGACGATGTCAAAGAAACAAACCATACACTCTTAAAGTGGTGACATTATGGTATCGAGCACCTGAATTGCTACTTAGTATTCCAAAATACAATCATAAAATTGATATTTGGTCAGCTGGTTGTATATTTGGAGAGCTACTCTTGAAAGATCAATTATTTAAAGGTCAGAAGGAAATGGAATAATTAGAACATATATTCAGAATCTTAGGTACTCCAACCGAAGAAACATGGCCTGGATTAAAAGTATGAATAATAATTATAAAGAATATAACTTTGGCTGGTCCTTTGAGAACTATACCTAAATACCCAGGAGTCAAGTTACAAGATATAATTTCTAAAGAATTCTAACTTTCCGAATGGGGTTATGATCTTCTTAAGAAAATGTTAACTTTAGATCCTGAAAAGAGAATCGAAGCATCAGATGCCTTAAAACATCCATGGTTTTCAGAATAACCACTACCTTTAAGTGAAGATTTGATGCCAACTTTTCCTCCTTTAAATGAAGTTAATAGAGATGATGTCCGAAAGAAGGTCAAAAAGTGATAATTAAATGCATTTTTAATTTTATGAATAATATACAAAACTTATCTGATTATAAAATTAAATCTTACTTTTATTACTCTATTAACAATTTAGACAGTTTTTACTATACTTTTTATTTCTAAGATTAATTTCATTGTTAAAAANTTTGTGGTTTAGTTGAAGGCTGTGATACTATTGAAGGATATCAAAAACTTAATCGTATTCATGAAGGAGTGTAATTAATATCTTATTTTTAAAATTAGTTATGGTGAAGTATTTAGAGCACGAGATATGTTAACAGGAGAAATAGTAGCAATCAAAAAAATCAAATTTAGTCAACACATCGATAAAGAAGGATTTCCAATTACATCTATTCGAGAATTTAATCTATTGTTATCTCTTAATCATCCTAATATTGTTAAAGTCAAACGAATTGTTATGGGATCAGATAAAGTATTTATGGTCATGGAATATATGGAACATGAATTAAAAGATTTAATAGAAAGATCCAAGTATTAATTCTCTACAGCTGAAATAAAATGTTTACTTAGATAATTACTACTTGGAATACAACATTTCCATTAAAAATCAGTTATGCACCGAGATTTGAAAACTTCAAATTTGTTGTATAACAATAAAGGATAACTGAAAGTATGTGATTTCGGATTAGGTAGACGATGTCAAAGAAACAAACCATACACTCTTAAAGTGGTGACATTATGGTATCGAGCACCTGAATTGCTACTTAGTATTCCAAAATACAATCATAAAATTGATATTTGGTCAGCTGGTTGTATATTTGGAGAGCTACTCTTGAAAGATCAATTATTTAAAGGTCAGAAGGAAATGGAATAATTAGAACATATATTCAGAATCTTAGGTACTCCAACCGAAGAAACATGGCCTGGATTAAAAGTATGAATAATAATTATAAAGAATATAACTTTGGCTGGTCCTTTGAGAACTATACCTAAATACCCAGGAGTCAAGTTACAAGATATAATTTCTAAAGAATTCTAACTTTCCGAATGGGGTTATGATCTTCTTAAGAAAATGTTAACTTTAGATCCTGAAAAGAGAATCGAAGCATCAGATGCCTTAAAACATCCATGGTTTTCAGAATAACCACTACCTTTAAGTGAAGATTTGATGCCAACTTTTCCTCCTTTAAATGAAGTTAATAGAGATGATGTCCGAAAGAAGGTCAAAAAGTGATAATTAAATGCATTTTTAATTTTATGAATAATATACAAAACTTATCTGATTATAAAATTAAATCTTACTTTTATTACTCTATTAACAATTTAGACAGTTTTTACTATACTTTTTATTTCTAAGATTAATTTCATTGTTAAAAAGAATAATAAATCCTTCATTATCAAATTATAAAATGTTAAACTACTTCTAAGGATTGCTACAAGTTATACACTATACTAAAACAAAGATACTATTTATGGCTTAAATCATACTTTTAATCAAACATTTTAAAAGATAAGAAGATAAAATTCAATGATTAAATAATTTATAACTATTTTTGGATGTCCAATTTTTGCACTTCTTTTGAGAAACTTATTATGTTCATACAGAATCTATTGCATAGAATGGATAGATTAGCGGAGAGAGCATTATTAAAAACCTTGAACTATTAGTATTACATAAATGTAATTTACATTATAACTCTAAATTTAATTACATTTCATATGTAAATTATAAAATATAATTAATTATGGATGTAGCATATAATAGTTTAATTAATTTAACCAAATTGATGAAATATTTTTTATTTGGTTTGCTCTATTATCTAATTGAATATCTATATATATCTGATTTGTTTGATTAGATAGTAAGGTACTAATTAAATGATTTTGATAATTAATCATTAATTCTCAAAAATTAAATTACTCAAGGATTCGAAAAGCTCATAAGATAAAAAGAAAGAGAATTCCTAAATTAATATATATTTATTATATTATCACTTGATGTAATAATTTAATTTATCTAATTATTTTTAATAAATTTAAATAAAATGATTAACTTCTTTCAGAAGCCTATATGAAAAAATTCTAAACTCTAACCAATGAGTTAGGTTTGAGCACAATAAAAATTTTGCTATATGAGTTTCAAAATTTCATCAATATTTTGTCTCAAGATTAATTAATGTAGCAAACCTTCTTCATTTGGAAATTTGGAAATATGAATAATGAGTAATTTGAAGCAAAAATCAAAATGAAAAATCTCACATGTCTTCCCTATCTAATCAATAAATTATATTAAAAATATTTATTTTCAAAGTGAAGAATTTAAGAGAAAACAATTTTCATAAGCATTTATAATTATTTCAAAATTTAAATCTGCGAAATTCTTTGTCTATACATATAATTGCTTTTAAACACAACATCTATCCATTTAAAAATTAATATAATAATAAATATTTTAAATTAGAAAAAATTAAGACAACTAAAACTTTTTCTTTGTCTTTATTGGTCATTGAATGCTGAGAAAGATCTTTTGGTCTATTTGAAATCATAAAAATTTTGTTACATTTGATTATTCTTAATTATTATTTTAGATTAGTCTGCAACTATATTAACTATATAGAATAATAGATTCTAATATATTGTAATAAGAGAGTTTAAATTAATTGAGATGAAGATTTTAAAATTTGAGTCACTTAAGAAGCATTTTCTTAAATAAGTAAAGATAATAATTACATAATTATATTTTATTATTATAGATTAATTTTTTTTATCTTCGTTTAACCTAGAATTTCAAGAAGGACTAATTTATTCATTTGAAGAACCAAGATTGAAAGAGTTTTTATTTAAAGAAGCTTCGTTTCAGGAGTAAAAAGCATTATAATTAAAAATATAAAATAATATAAATATTAAATGCAATTTGACTGAATAATTAATTCTTAATTGAATTTTTATTCTATTTATAATATCTTTTTTCGTATGTATGTAAAATAAGAAGATGAGATTTGTAATTAATAATATTTCAAAATCAAAAATGGAATAATCAAACAAGGAAGAAGAAAAGTAGGAGATAATTTTAGCAAATAGTCCTGGTTTATAAGTAAAATAAACTGAATAGAAAGAATTAAGTAAGAAATATTTCACAACAAAATGTAAATGGATATCTTTCAGTGTTTCTTTTTTTGTTTTAGGTGGTATTGGAATATTTTTAGGCATTTATCTAAGTTAAAAGAGTAGTTCTGCTCCAACATTAAAAAAATTCTAAAGAGATGAATTTTAATAAGTTGATGAAATTTGTATGTACCATACGAATGAGGGAATGTAAAATTGTACTGAGATTTAAATGAAAACAAAAAGAGTGGTTAATGATGTAAATGAAAAGAATGCCTCTAGTTTGTTAATGTTGACAAGCTTGAAAGTTAGAACCTTTAAATAGAATTCTGATGGATCTAGAGAATATAATGAAATGTTTGATTAGAATACAGAAATAGAATAATAAATTTAGAAATCATTAAGAATTTTATAATAAATTAAATCAACTGAAGATATAGATTAATGTGAAGGAATTCCTGCTGAAGAATGTGGAAATATAAATGAGGTACCATTAGTAACAGTAGTTACTGATTAATAAACTGGAGCTGTCTAGTAAATTGGAATACCAGCTGAGATTCCAGATCTAATGCTTTAACCTTTAGTATCTAATATTATACACATTGCTCCTAATATAGCTGAATCAACAAATCTTCCTGGAACTGACGGTAATAGATTACTGAAAGAAGATTATACTAATGTTTATTATATTGGTAAGGAAGCATTTGTTCCTAAGTCAAGTTAAACAAAATAATGGTTTGGTAATACTGTAATTAAAAAAACGATATCATAATCAGATTAAATAGATGGTAGTTCTAAAGGAATCAATTTATTTGATATGTTTGAACAATCATAAGAAACAATTTTAGATAATAACAATTATTTAACTACTTCACATATAACTACTAATTCTAAATTTAGTAATACCGTATAAACAAATGATGTTAATCAAAATGATGATGATTTAACTGATAAATTAGAGACAGAACTTACAAATGACTCAAATTTAATGACTGTAGAAACAAAATCTGATGAAGAATTGACAAATGTTCTTTCTGAAATTTAAAATAAATAAACTATTCAATATTATTCAATTTAAGATTTATAAGATAAAATACTTAGTTAATAAGATTAAACACAAGATTTAGTTTAAGATTAAGAAGGTCATCGATTATTAGAAGAAGAAAAGGGAGATTTTCAATCAGTTTCTTAAACTGAATATGAAAGTTAATAAGGGGAATGTAACTCTAATATTTTCGACTAAAAAAGAACTCTTAAAGAAGCCACCATATTTAAATATAAAGTTGGATTGTAAGCAGAATTTAAAGGAGACGTTAAAGATGGAAGTGCTTCAGGATATTTAAAATCTTGTATTTCACTTAATGGCAATTGTTTACTTAATTTATTCAAAGGGAATTTTAATTATGAAGGAAAACCTTTAGAAACTTATGAAAAAAAAGATAGCAAAACCAAGCAAATTTTTAGTACTACTATTTTAATAATGGGATATCCTTTGCATATAGGGGCAGATTTAAATTATTCTTGGGTTTATATTCATTAAAGCAGGTGTTGAAGGATATATTTTCAAAGGATTTGCTAATGGGGTTACAATTTAGAAAAAATTAAACAAATAATTCAATCATACCCAATAAATACATGATATTTTTAGATATTTAAATTGAATCATTGACATTTGATCTTTTTGCATAATATAAAGGCGTAACATTAGAATGGAGAAAAAAATGTATAAAAATTTGGAGGAAAAAGATTTGTTGGTATTTTCTTATTTTTGACTGGACAGATTGGAAAGATATTTATAGAAAAAACTTCTTATCAATAGGTAATTTAAAAGAAAGAAAAAGAATTTTTTAGTTGATATCGAAGTGCTATTGATTCCGATCATATAAAAATAATATAAATTAAAATTTATATGAGTTTTCAAAAATCTATTTTTATGTTTTGGTGTTAAAATAATTGTATCTTAAGTTTTTAAAGATAGTTAGCCATTTCTATTTTTAGTGTTTATGATATCTTTTTTTTAAATTGAGATTAGGCAAGCAATTACCTTTGTTTTCTTTTTAATTCACACGGTAATAGCATTTTTTTTTATTGATTGCTTATAGAATTAAGAAGAATAGAATTATCTCCTAAAATTCAATAATTTCTTTTTATTAATTAATATTATGTGGATTATTAGAACTTGTCTACTACTAACACATAAAGCTCAATATTAAAATTAGTTCTATGTATAAGAATTAACTCCTTATAAAAAATACTTGATATTTTAATAAATTAAATATTATTCACTATTCTTATTATTGGTTATTTCATATGGAAATATTTCAAAGTTTTTAGATTTCTTTTATTAATTTAAATATTTCTTAGAGGAGAATAATTAATCGGATTAGATTCAAGAAGAATTTTGCAACTCTTATCTTTTGATAGAATTAAAATTGAAATTTTTAAAACAGGCCAAGAACCAAATAGGTTTTAAAATAATTATTATTACAACATAATTCTGCAGAAAAGTAATTTTTCCTTCTATATAGATTTTTATTGGTATTATAAGAAGAAAAGGGGTGAACAAAAGTTCTATGATAATTGTAATAATACAAATGTTACCTTCTAAGTTTAATTAAATCCCATATAATTCATATTTTTATCGGAGTTTGCTAAAAAAATCTTAGATTTTCATAATTAATATGATATCAATTAGATCAAGGAAATTGCACTAACATGTACTAAATGCTTAAATTAGATGGACTTAAAAAGAGAGGATTATAAAGTGAAATTTAGATTTATGGGCAGTTTTCGAATGTTGCTGAAAAAAAACTCAGCACGTTGAGTCGTTGTCTTTTGAACAAACGGAGTATTGTATTAGTAGATAAGGCAAGAGCAAACATTGATAGTAAATGATTAAAGATGTAAATATTTACTTGTTCCTTGTAGATGTAGTTCTATTCTTTTGTTTCGGTTAATTATAGNTTTATAGAAAAAACTTCTTATCAATAGGTAATTTAAAAGAAAGAAAAAGAATTTTTTAGTTGATATCGAAGTGCTATTGATTCCGATCATATAAAAATAATATAAATTAAAATTTATATGAGTTTTCAAAAATCTATTTTTATGTTTTGGTGTTAAAATAATTGTATCTTAAGTTTTTAAAGATAGTTAGCCATTTCTATTTTTAGTGTTTATGATATCTTTTTTTTAAATTGAGATTAGGCAAGCAATTACCTTTGTTTTCTTTTTAATTCACACGGTAATAGCATTTTTTTTTATTGATTGCTTATAGAATTAAGAAGAATAGAATTATCTCCTAAAATTCAATAATTTCTTTTTATTAATTAATATTATGTGGATTATTAGAACTTGTCTACTACTAACACATAAAGCTCAATATTAAAATTAGTTCTATGTATAAGAATTAACTCCTTATAAAAAATACTTGATATTTTAATAAATTAAATATTATTCACTATTCTTATTATTGGTTATTTCATATGGAAATATTTCAAAGTTTTTAGATTTCTTTTATTAATTTAAATATTTCTTAGAGGAGAATAATTAATCGGATTAGATTCAAGAAGAATTTTGCAACTCTTATCTTTTGATAGAATTAAAATTGAAATTTTTAAAACAGGCCAAGAACCAAATAGGTTTTAAAATAATTATTATTACAACATAATTCTGCAGAAAAGTAATTTTTCCTTCTATATAGATTTTTATTGGTATTATAAGAAGAAAAGGGGTGAACAAAAGTTCTATGATAATTGTAATAATACAAATGTTACCTTCTAAGTTTAATTAAATCCCATATAATTCATATTTTTATCGGAGTTTGCTAAAAAAATCTTAGATTTTCATAATTAATATGATATCAATTAGATCAAGGAAATTGCACTAACATGTACTAAATGCTTAAATTAGATGGACTTAAAAAGAGAGGATTATAAAGTGAAATTTAGATTTATGGGCAGTTTTCGAATGTTGCTGAAAAAAAACTCAGCACGTTGAGTCGTTGTCTTTTGAACAAACGGAGTATTGTATTAGTAGATAAGGCAAGAGCAAACATTGATAGTAAATGATTAAAGATGTAAATATTTACTTGTTCCTTGTAGATGTAGTTCTATTCTTTTGTTTCGGTTAATTATAGTAAGGTTATTAAGTTATTATTATTAATTTACTGTTATTATTTGAGAAGCATTTTCTCAATCTATAAGAATAATGATACCTCAAAAAATAAAAATAAGGAATTGTCGCAAAATCATAGTTCTTTTAGTTGGCAATTTTCAGAATGTGATACTGATAATAACCTTTTGTTAAAGGTAGTGGATTTGATCAAATAGTAAGAGTAACAATGATATATTCATATATTTTAATTTTAATGATTGCAAATGAGGATTCTACTTTTCGAGTTTTGTGATACTACTAAACTCCTTGTCTTTAGCATTGACAATTCTGATTTTGCTACTTATTTGTAGAATAAAATAACTTCATGAAAGACAAGGTCATACAATTTAATATGTACTCATTTTAGAATGAATGTTCTCATTTTTTTTATTTCTTTCCTAATTTTATTTTGATGAATAAGATATCTATGAATAAGGATGGTCCAGGTTGTATCACAATAGGAATATTAAATGTATTTACATCTTTTGCTTATTTCACAAATATCAACCTTTATTCTTTAGAATAATTAGGGATTTTAAGCTCTAAATTCATTAACAACTATAAATTAAGACATTTGGCTATTGTGTCAGGTTCTAGCTTTCTTGCACTTTTGGCTTACTTATCAAATGCTATAGGATTTAACAAAAATGGAACGTGTTCATTATTACCGGGAATGTATTTACAGTATTCTTGCTAATTCTTATTTCAGTTACATTTATTACAATTATTTGGACTTGTATTGGTTATATTTCTAAGTAAATTAAATATATAAAAAAATAAGAATAACATTATTTTTAATAATTTTAACAATTAAAAATATAATAGAAATATTTATAGAGAATACATAAATTCATAGATTAAGAGAAGTTTTGGGAAAAGATTTGACTTCTCGCATTTAAGATAAAAGTATAAAGTGAATTTAATCTGTATAATAACTTTTCTAATTATTAGAATAGTACCAGTATAAATTAAATATATATTTTTTATTAGATGCTGATTTTGACTATTATATCATTGGCTGATACTAATAAAAAATCATACACAATTGCTTTTTATTCTTTAGCTATACCAATGTCATTGGGAGGAGTGTGTTTAAGTTTAATAAGATATATTAAGAACCAACAATTCAAGATTATTTAAACAAGAAATTGTAAAAATAAAAATCTGGAATTGCAGAACTTTCTTTACCTAAAGTAGAAGTTAGAGCATTGAGCTCTATGACAAACATAACGAGAGAATCTTCAATAGTAAAAACACATTATCTTTCTTATATTCAAGGAACTACAAGAGATAATAGTGTAGCTTAAAGAAAAACATGTTTAGATAATGAAGAATTGTATAAATTATAACTATAATTATAATTAGAGTTGCAAAGTTAACATCTGAACTAGAAAATAATTAGATTAAGTTAAAATTAAATGAATTCCTTGTCATATTCAAAATAATTCGAGAAATGAACAACGATTTTATTATAACAAGAATAACTACAAATTTAACACATTATCATATGAAACATATGAGGTAGAGCATTTTATATTTCGATAATGATACTTCATTCAATGCTTCTGAAATCATTTGTACAAGCTATGCTGAATCTGTTTTCTTTTATAAATTTTATCAATTAATAATTTTATTACATCATTTGATTAGTAATTAAATTAAAATATTGTTGAACAATTATAACATTCAAGATTGAAATTATAAACAAATAGTTTCACTACATATGATGGAGAAGTACTTATCTACATTATTAACAATTAAGCTAAAAGATATTTAATAAGACACTTATTATAAGCTATATATAATTCAAATATATTAACTTAATAATCATTTATTCCACCGATGTTAGGACTCTATTCAATTGTGAATTAGAGTAATCAATATACAATCATTATATAGAAAAATTTATTGAATTCTATCATGTTAGAATAATAAGGTTTTTCAATCTAAGGTTTTTTTACATATCAAGTTGGTCAAATTGATGAAGAAATCAAAGGAGGTTAAGATATTTCAAGTAAAATGAAGATGAATCCAAAAATTAAATAGGAATTCCTCAATACATTAAATCAAGATCTTATAATTTTAAGAGATTAATATTTATGGGCTTTTTCATTTAATTTAATTCATATGGAAGCTGAAAATCCAATTAACATATTACCAAATATGAATAAGACTCGTAATGGATATTTGATTGCTAGTTTAGGAGGAATTTTAGATTAATTTTTGATCTCTTCTAATGAAGCATCAGCCAATCCAAAACTTTATGCATCCTAATTAGCTTAACAAATTGATTTATTATTATGACAACTCTTATTTGTTTAATTAGATTATTTATAATCATTAATACATCATATCAAATAATTCATCATATTTATTAAAATATTAAAATTTCCAAACCTTCAGTTTTAATTATTTTTTATTATTTATGATGTAAATTAAAAAAGAATTGATATTGTTATAATTATAATAAATAAATAAAATAGATTGCTTCAAGTTAATCAATAAAATCTTGATGTATATCATACTTTTTCACATTGTTACAATAAATTTTCTTTAATTATTGAGGAAGCACTGTTTCACATGCTTCATTAGTAATATTCCATTGTTCTTCAAAAAATAGTCTTCCACAAATCTTTATCAATATTAAAACCCTATCATTTTTCTATAATTATTTAATATCAGTTCTTCTATATCATAAATACATTATGTATTTCTCATTGGAACTTATTATTTACGACCACTGAACTCTGTGAAAATTAGAGTAAATTCATGGTCCGATAATGAAAAAAGATTCTTTACAATATTTCCGTATTTGCTTTCTAAATAAACTTTTCATTAAATTCTTTTTACTTTTATTTTTATTATATCATTAATTACTTGATCTCAAAAATTATCTCTATAAAATTAAATAATATCAAACTAATATCATATTAGATTTTGGTTTTTATAATAAAATCTTATTATAAGTTTAAAAAAAAAAATGAAAAAGAAATTAATATTTTAGTAAATATTTTACAGTTTATCTAATGAAGTATGTATAGTAACTTGATTAATAAAAATAATATATAATATATTAAAATATAAATTATTATAAAAACTTAATGTTACACAAACTTATTAATTAATATGTCATAGATTTCTTAATTGTTAATCCTACATAGGTTAATAATTTGAAAATGATTAACGTATAGCTCTTCTTCTCATCACATAAAATAACATTACAACTGCTAGGAAACCTGCAAATACAATCCCTGTAATAATCCATCCAATACTAAAATTTAAATAAATTAGATTACTTAGCAGGTTCTTCAATTGGTTCATAAAGCGATTTCAAAGCAACTTATTTATAAGCATTACTAAAATCATTTGCCACTATAACTGTAATTTTCTGTTTAAGATCTAATGAAACTGTGTTAGAAACAGCAAGTACAGGGGAAACGTAGAGTTGATATAGATTGACACATATCTTATCTTGATATCGTTATAAATTAGTTAATAAATAGTAATGTTGATTACCTGTATTGAAAACATTAACAACTAAAGGAATGTTTGAAGGTAAAACATTGCTATGAATACCTGATATAGATGTGATTGTTGGAGGTTTAATAATTAATGATGATGAAATTGGTATATTGTAATATAATATTACTGAATTAAATCCATTTGAATATGGAATACATAATTTATTAGATTTAATGGATGCCAGAGGAATAGTAATCCAATCAGCATATTGATTTACAATAAATAGAATTTGACTCTCATGATAATCATAATTGAAATTAAATTAGAATTGCATTCCATATGAAGCAACATTATTAGTTATTAAAATAGTCTTAAAAAAGATAAATTATGCTGAAGTTTTCTCAATTTGAGAATATGTCAATAATTAAATGAATTTTGTATCTTTTTATGCATACTATGATTTATTGATAATCTCATTGTATAAATTGCGAATTCCAGAATTAATTAAACTTAATGATCCATTTTTAATTTTATAAAATAGAAACAAGATTTGATTAGTTGAATCTAATAAAACAACAGAATATTCTGGCTTATTATCAGTGTAGATTTAATATACAACAAAATAATTGATATCTTTACAAGGAGGATATGTAGCTAAATTGATTGAAGATTTCCATTCAATAGTCCATGAGTTCTAAGTATATGTAATATGATATATAACTAAATCTGATGTTGTACTAACAAATAAAAAGTCTTCCTAAATAATATACATTTGAGTAACACCAGATAATTATATAGTTTTAGTTTACATTTATGAACAAGAATATGCACTTTTACAAGATATCATGAGTAAATTTGTATTCTTATCATTTTTAGCTGATAAAATAATATAATTTTATCTAGGATGAACAGCAATTGTTTGATATTCTTATTACAAATATAAATTAAGAGTTGGTTTTAGATTTGGTCCAATAATAATAAGTTCATTTTAAGTAATTACAACTTCGTGATCATCATCAAACTTGGTTATGATTCTTGAATTTTCAAGAAAGTTATAACTAATAGGATATATTGGTTAATTAAGGACTATTTCTTATGGACATTAACTACACAATGCTTTAATGGTTACTACTTATCCTTTATACCAATCAACTCCTAATGATAAATAATTAGTTGAGTTCTATTCACCTAAAAGTACTTATTTTAAATTTGTATCTACTATACTAATATTATCCATTCTATTTATTACAGTTAAATTAGTTGTAAAATCTTCTTTAACAAAAGAATTAGAAACTGAAAAAAAATAATCAACTTACTAACAATAATCATTAAATTTATCAGTAGATTCCAGTAGGGAAGTTGCTTGAGTTCTCTTCAAAATTTAATAGAGATAATTTTATTTATCATATTGATAAAAGAATAAGGATGTTTAGAATCCATCTACTGACATAATAACATTTTTAAGATCTCCTTAAATATTTGAATTAATAATCCAAATTAAAGCATCATGTGCTAATATCTGAGGTTCATAAACTAAAAAATTTATTTTACCATCTTATTCACATGGAATAAATAGAAGTCCATTATGTTTAGATTAAACTGCATAAATTGGATTAATTATTTTATAATCATACAATGGTAATTATTTAACCAATTTTATTTATTAGGGTGTCATCAGATATTCTTTTATCATTGTTGGACTTACAACAATAAATGATTAATCATAAATAGATATAAATATTTCTGAATCAAAATTAGGAAAGTATTCTATTTCTTGACTTATAAAATAAAATCTATAAACAATAAATGTTGATTTTGTTTTTACTATCAATATTTGACTACTATGATATGGATTATTAAAAATCTATAAACCAGGTTCTGGTGGAATTATTATTTCTACTAATTATCCTAATTCATAAACTTCAATTTCTCCTTTTTCGTATAATATATAAAAATTTTTATTTGATCCCACAATTTATTTCATATTTTCATTTTTATTTTTAATCTTTTAAATACGTTGAATAATTTCTGGTGCTATTTACCATATCTCAACTTCATTTGATTTACTTTAAAATGCAAAATATATATCTTTTTCATAACTCCAAACAGAAAATGTATTTTTAGTTAATTAAATATCATTATCTATTAATATAGTTAAAGGTAAACATTCACTTTTTGGTACAAAGAAACTGCAACCCCATAATTAAATAGTTAAATTTCTTTTTTAAAATACTAAAATTGCTTAATGGTAATCTGTAGCAATAGTTTCCTAAAATACAATATCTGTTGGAAATAGTATATGTGATTACTGAATTTATCTAAAAAAATTAATAATTATATGATTTGAACCTGATTCTGAAGAAGAATATTTTTAATTTGGTCCAGATAAAAATGGATCCAAATATTCATAATATAGATTACCTTATAATGCATTCTAAAATAAGCTTGGAGTATTTATTTTATAAAGAGTCTAATCTTAATTATTCAAAAATTGATAAGTTATTTTAGAAACTTCTATTTTTTACTCTTATTAAGTGTCAATGTATGTTGCCTTTAATGTTATTTAAGATTATGTAAATGTTGTAGATTTTGATGATCCTTAAATATAACCATTACTTAATATGTATTTCTTAGTAGATGTATTATCTACTTCAATCAAAGTAGAATACAAACCAGATACTACAAATTTATTTTTATTCCAAATTTTAGATTTAACAATTTGTTTATCATTTAAGTTAATTTGTAATAAATTGTCATCTTATTAAACCAATACATACGAATTCGATATTTATATACTTTAACCTACAATATTGATTTCTATAGGAGAACTTACGAAATCTGTGTAATAATATAATTTTCCATTTTGAGTAAGTATTACCAATTCAAATTTCTCTTTTCCATTCAAATCTGATACTATATTTACATCAAATGCCACACCTTTGCTCTATAATGGAATTTAGAGACTTAATTTCCATTCCTCTTTATATGATAAAATCATTAATCTTGTCTCATCTAGAACATAAACAAGCCCAAATTTAGATATAAAATCAACCAACCTAAATTTATATTATTTATCCTTTATCTAAGCCAATTTAGTAATAATAGTTGTATTTAATTAATGACCTGTATTACTCATGGAATTCAAATCATACACATCTATTTAAGATAAATCTACACTTGATTATCCAAGCAATACAGAATCATCATTAAGAACATTAATTTTCCTAAAAGTTATTGAAGTTTGACTTATGCTATTTTTATCTAAGAGTTTTGTTTGCTTTGTACCAGTACCTAATTATAAAAAAGCAAACTAATTAAATTATTTTGAATCTAGACAATCTATTATTATTGTAGTGTCATCGATGAAGTCAAGATTATAACAAGTTTCATTTAATTTAATCTATCCCTAGAATGAAGGTGTCTCTGCTGGCAAAGTACTACATTTTAATTAAATTATACTATTTAGTCCAATATACAGTATTCTATTGATTTAGGACTGCAAATAATGTAAATTTGCTATTGCTTACTAAACTTTTTGGTTATTCGTTCATAGTATGATTTGAAAAACCTATTTGATATTATTAACAATAAATGATACCTACGAGATTTATGCTGTCCACTAAAACAAATGGAGAATCCATTGGTGTCAATTCATAACTTGGGTTATCAATACTTCCAAATATATCTTTAAGATCATTTATCCACAACTCATTAGCTATTGGGTATATTGTAAGATCTCTTGCTACACTTATTGCTATCAATAATGGAATAAACATATTTTAAAATTTTAATATTCAATACTATTTCCATAATACAATTTAATCAATTTAAGAAAATCTCAAATTCAAAATAATTTCTTAATATAATTATAATTAAATTTTATTGCTCAAAATTTGTTAACATCGATTTTCTCATTAATTAATTATATACATTTATTAAAACTATTTCTAAATTCTTTTTCACTTCGAAAAATACAACGGAATATATTTGTTTTATTATTTATATGGATTGAATCATTTTCAGAATTTATATAATCTAATATGCTATTTGATAACTAATATATTATTACGACATAATAGTTTTTAAAATTTTTCAATTTAATAGGCCAATCCAAACCTTAGTTAATAAATTCTTGATGAAATATCTAATCACACACTCATTTTCATATATATTGTAGTCAATATATAAAGATTATTCTTTTTTTAAACAATATTAGTTCTTATTTTTCAATACATTCTTATTTTTTCAAAAATTTTAATTCAAATTATTATATCGTAAGTTTTAAAACCCAAAGAAAGGAAGACTAAATTATCACTAAAGAAAATTAAAGTAACATTTTAGGTTGGAATAAATTTCGATATATTTATATTTAAAGAAAAAAAAATTGCTTATTGAAAAATAAAATAATTAAGAAAATATAAACGTACGACTAGGTTTCATATGGATCTAATTTCCTTGGTTTATCTTATTTTAATCATTAAATCTAGTATTATATAAGCTAATAGTACATAAGTTTTATTCTATTAGATATTAATATTTAAGAAAATTAGATTTCAAATCATATTTATTTTCCTAAATATTTTTTTGGATTAACAATTAAAAGAGATTCAGAAGAAACTTGATAATATCTATTTGTTAGAAATATTAAATAGTATAAGGAATCAAAAAAATTATTCAACTTGCAACTAAAATCTTAAATAAAAGTAATTTATTATAAAAAGTTATAGAAATATATCAATTAAAAATTTGCATTGATAAATCATTTCGATTATTATTATTAATTTAAATAAAAAATGGAAGAAATCATTGTATAAACACCAGGTCTTGTATAAATGCTTTATGCAGCTTATTACTTTGTAAAGGGCAAATATACATTAGAATAAGTTCAAGAAGTAATAGCTGATGTTAAAGATATTCAAACTTAAGACACTAAGACTCTTATTGCCTCCCTTAAGCATGAGTTTCAATCTGAATTATTGAGAGAACTTTTTTACTATTACTACAGAGCTCTTAGTTTCTAGAATGCTTTTCTTAATACTCAAGACTTATTAAATGATGGGGTTGAATAAGACATACATTATTTAGAAGGCTTAATAAGCCTTAAGTCCAAAGGATACTGATACTATTATAATTTATTATACATATATATTTAAAAACCTATATAATAGAATTTAATTTAGCTTATTCTAATATAAAGTAGTATCTTTTTATAATTAAAAAAAATAATTTTATATCAATTTTTTCCCAAAAATTGAGCTTTTAAATTAAATTACATCAATCATAAATAAAATATCTTTTTATGAGTCCTTTTAGATAGGTATCTATAAAATAACAGCCAAATATTTCTTTAAGTATAGAGAATATATTTAAATTTATTTTTCTATTATAAAATTTTATAATGAATAAATTATAAGGTAAATAATCAAAAGAAATTATTGATACCTATTTTTATAGAAAAGGTGATATGAAATAAATGTAATAATAACAAATAATTTCAACAATTCTCATATTCGTATTAATGTTAGTGAAAACTTATTTTCCACACAATAAAGCCAATCAAAAAATCAATTTCGAATATTTGAAGTTCTTATTAGGAATGTAATCTTTGCTAAGTTAAAGAAATTGTAATTAAAGTTTAAAACACTATTAAGAACAAATAAGAATGATGAAAATTAGCTCCGAAACAACCTAGAAATGAGAACAAGAAATTAAATTAGACTATTGGAAAAACCAAAAAAAACTAAAATTATAAAAAAAATTGATATCATAAATACAATCCCAGAACTTAAGAGGCTAAGTTAATTTTCTTGATTCCTTAAGCTTATGATCAAACATTTCTGACATTTTCTGAAAATAAATTTATATATCTTCCAATTTCTAATAAATGTTAAATCCTTCTTATTCTATTGATGAACATTCTGTCACAAAATATATTTCGATTTTTTTATTTTTATCTAACCATTGAAATATTTCTTCATCTCTTTTTTAGAACCAAAGAATTTTCAACCTAAGCCCCAAACATTTATTCCTTTAAAATACTTGTATAACAATTTATATATATCAAGCATTTTACAAAATTAAGATTTATTTCAAGCATCTTAGTAAAAAATTTACATATTTTTTTGGCACTTTCAAAATTTACTGCTTTTTATTTTACTGATTAAGACTTTAGTTCATATAGCCATATTATAAGTAATGATTAAATGAATAATTTAATCCCAACTAAAAATTCAAATATCAGATTTTATTATGATTCTCCAGCATTTACATTTTATGAACCATTTGAAGAAGATGATAGTTTTGTAGATAATTTTATCGAAATTATAAAATATTATTATATCCTTAGGTTACTCTTTTCTTGCAATCAATTATTTCTAACAATAAAAATATGATGAAAATTTTAATATAGCATTTTGTATTCATAATAATAAAATTTCTAATTTTTTGTTGTTTTTAATATGTAATATTAAATAATATTAATCATTATTCAATTCATAAATTGAAATTTATAAAATTTTTAATTTAAAATATGTTTATGGGCTGTGACTTTCAATAATTTGATGTTATTTCTTTTTTTTTATAAGTGAAAAATCTGATAGAATTTTAATATTCAATAAATTTATCTTTTTATTATTTTGTTTTCATTTTAAAAATTAATAATGTTACATTTTAATTGTAGGAATGTTGATTCTCTATCAAAATCTTTTAAGTAGACTGTTGATAAAGAATTTTTCTAATATTAATAAAGCTCTAAATTAAAAATCATTTTTTCTAAATTTTTTATCAATAATCTCACATTTCTATTCTATTTTGTTTCAAACTATATTCAATAAAATTCTCTTTTTTAGGTCAATATTTTCTTTCATGTAAATCATTATGTTAAGGGTAATTAATTCGATATTTATTTAAACGCAGATTGATAAAATATATAGATCAATATTTTTAGATTTATAGATTTAATTTTGAAATTTACAAAAAAATATAATTAGGGTTTTAGATAAAGTAGATTGATAAAATCATAAATTTAAAAAGATGAAATACTTTAATTAATTGAGTTTATTTTCAAAAATTAATATTTATGGTTAATCAAATTGCTAAAGGTGGATTGAAATTTCATCAATAATGAGGTAATGTTTTCTGAAAGAAATATTTTATCTATATGAAGAATTAAAAAAATATTTATTAAAACATGTAGTTTCATCCGTATAGGACTGTTACAATTCATTGATATAGATTGTTTTAATTTATAAATGAAAAATTAGAGTTTGAATAATAAGGTTAATTTATAAAACATTATATTACTATATGATCATCTTGGTATAATTCTATTTATTAAATCAAAATATCGCAAAACAATGAAAAAAGACAGAATACTCACAATAATAAGAAGCACAGTGTCCTTAGTATTCTTAATAGGTTCCTTTTCAAGTTTTTCAAATGAAACACCATGAGTCTTTTGTAAATTTAACTTTGGTTTAAATAACAAATAATACTAATTATTGTTCTTTTTAAGCAATTTCTTATAGAAGTGCTTCATTTCTGGCTTAAAATTATTGAGCTTTGAATCTGTTTTCTTCAAATTTAGGTTCATTGGGAGAATTTTACAAATCTAATTAACTATTCTATTTATGAAGTGACTAAAAAACTAAATTAGCACTTCCACCAACTTATGAAATAATCTTTCTGTCAACAGATTAGATGACAATATTGATTCTTTAATTTTCAAATTTTCTAGTTGAATCTTTGAAAAGGGGTGTAGGGTCTTAGATTCCAGAGAATATTGGTACAGAAATCAATAATAATTTTTCATTAAATTCATTGATAGAAGTATTTTCAAAAACTTTACAATGAAGTGTGACACTTATTAGTTAATTTTATTTAGGCTAAACTATCCCAAATGGTGGTCTGACTAAAAAGATATTTCGATTTGATGCTTTAAACTAAAAATAAAGTAAATAGTACTTTATAAGCAATGGGAGTGAGTGTATCATTGTAAATAAAGATGCCAGATTGCATATTTTCATATTTATTGTATGTGAATTCCATTTGACTAGAACTTAATCGAAGTAGCTCCATTTAAAATTAATTAATTATAAATTTTTGAATAGAATTTTTTGAAAATAATAAAAAATAAATCGAACTAATTAATTAGTGAAAGTGGAAATAAAAATTGAACAGAAAAATAAATAATAAGTGAAGAGGAAAGAAATTAAGATGTTTGGAATTGCAAAGTAAATATAAATTAAAATATGTTAATATAAATAATTTTGTTAAGTGTGGTATAAGCACAATTAGAGTATGTAAAAGATGTGATAAATTAATTGGCTGATTAGGAATGCAGTTTAAAAAATAGAATCACTTATGGATAATAGAAGCTTCACCACTTGTCAGGAATATATTTTTGTGACTCTTATGCAAAAAGAACATGTTGTAGTCAACAAAATTTGGAAGAATTAAAATACAAGTATACTTGATAATAGTATTTTGTAGATGGTACAGAGAATAATAATAAGCAGTTGAGCTTAGTTAATAGTGTTAGGAAATATTTACAAAAACTATTTGTTCAGATTGTGATGGTGATATTGGATAGTAAGTTAGAGTAGGGTTTTGTCCTCATTTTTGTAATCAAATGTATTAAGCATGTTGGATGGACTTGTTCTAGTATGATGAAAAATCTTAGAAATTGAGACTTTGTTATTAAGTAAGAACATTTATAATTCTAGAATGACGTGTTATGTTCTGAACTTAGAAATATTGTGAATAATGGTGATCAATTCTGTAGTTCATTAGGATACAAATTGAATTCCTATTCCAATAGAGATGAGTGGATAGAAAATAAGTATTTGAATTTATCTACAACTCCATTATGTTGGGATGGTACTCCATCTCATAGAATTTGGGGTAATGAAGCTAAACTTCCAGAAACAAAAGTTAATTCAAAGAACAAGAAGCCAAATTTCAAAGAGGAATAACAATCTTACTTAGGGCTTTGTATATTTGCTGGTATTGTTTTAGTAGGTGCATTATTAATTGCAAAAGTATTGTTAAAGAAATGATTAATGTATGTATGTAATTTTATAATATCATAACTCTACATATATATTTGGTATCTAATCAATATCTAAATAATAAAATAGATGTTTATTTACATCGTTATTAATTTATCAGACTCTGATAAATTTTCTGCTTGCTATTTGATTTATGGATTATAAATTTTGTTGTTTGAAATTTAGTAAATGGAAAATTCTTTAATTTCCTTAGTTGATATTGATCTCATGTGACTTTAGTTTTACGGCCTTTATAAATTAAAGATAATATAAATGGCCATCAAAAATCTTCAATTGTTCTTATTCCAATACTTTATGTTCTATGAAAATATTTGCTTAAATCATATCCCTCACATTATGAATCATATTTGTTGAATTCTATAACTTCCCTTAAATAATATAAGTTAGTAGATTCATTTTAAGTACAAAGATTTATCTCTAACTTCAAATTAAACAACTCGTTTAGTTATAATCTAAAATTCTTGGTTGACTCAAATCTTCATCAGCTAAAATATCAAAATATATATCATTACTAATCTAGAGTTTTCATAATCTATCAATTTTTTGAGTCTTGGAATAAAACAAATTATTCACAGAGTCTAATTTATCAAGTCTTCTTTTTCTAGATTTGAAATCTTATCAATTAAATACTCATTTGAGATTAATCAATGTTTATTTGCTTTGATTATCCTAAAAAACAATTTAATTTTTTTCAATTTCTTTTATAATAAATTGTCTAAAATCTCGCACCATCAAAATTAGTGATTCTCGATAAAATTTTTTATCCATATTGAATAATCCTCTAATTTTTAAATAATTTGAGAATGATCATTCTTAATTCATTTTCAAATTTATTTAGCTATTTTTAATGGCTCTTTTAAGGATAAATATTGTAAGTTTAAATCTTATTAGATTTAATTTATATTTGAATTTCTTTGAAGTAAGACATCAATCTTTTAATATAAATAATTTCATTCTAATGAGCAACAGGAAGTTTAAAAAAGATTAAAAATATTAAAATGATTGATTACATAGTTCTTTAAGAGGTATTTTAGTAATCGATTTAACTGAATGTTTGTAGTATTTAATTACTAGAATCGTGGATAATAAAGTACTTAAACAATAGCAATGAATCAAAAAATCAAAAAAGAGATTTAAAATGACAGAATGAATTTATTAATGATAATTATGATAATTAGATTAATTAACTGTATTTTTATTATATATAAAAGAATTGAATTTAAAATTAAATAGGTAACAGTATAATTTATATTCTACTTAACTATATGAAATATGAATAGATTGAAAATCATATTTTCAAGTTTAATCTAGTTTTGACTCTACGAATATAATTATCAAAATCATAATTATTTTTAAGTGGAGATTTAATCTCTTGATTGAATGAATGAAATTGATTGATATCTGATTTTGGTATATTAGTTTAGGATTACCTATTTTTAGTATTTTTAAAATAATTTTAGTTAAGAATGGATTGAGTTTGGAATTTAATATCAAGTTAACAATCAAGTTTGTGTTTAGGTTCATATTTTTTATGCCAATCTGTAAATTTATTTGGAGTATATCGTGTAGAGTATTAATAAAAGTTATCTGAATACTTAGTGAAGGTTGTGATTGGATATTATTACATTGTGAATAAATATAATTAAATTAAATTATTAGATATGGTAAAGTTGCTTTCCAAATCACCAGTTGCATTAAATAGTCCAACTTTATAATAATGGGACAACAGTTTCAGAGAGAATTACGAGATGTATTAAACAGAGATTGATAAAAATACTTATGCATTGTAGAGAAGCATTAGAGGATTCTGGATATTTGGTAAAACATTCTATCCTGCTTTAACTTAACATTACAGTTAGAAATTAGAGCTATATCAATTGAAATAGCAATTAGGAAAGGTATTTCATATTATAGACTACATTTCAGATTGAATAATCAGAGGTGAATATTTATAAATCAGTTGATCCTAATATCAGTACAGTTTTGAATAAAACTTTCAGTACTTAATGGCTTTGGTGGAATCTCTAAGATATATCCATAACAGCTGGGTTATAAGTATATGCTTAATTGTTTAATTTTGGATATTCATGGAGATTTGGATTCTTGGTTTTACCTTATTGTGCTAGAGTAATATGGTTATTTTAAATACCTAGGTTTTCTATGATTATGCAACATCATATCAAAATAAATCAAGAGCAGTAGAATTTCTCAACTGGGCTATTCAATATAGAAAAGCTAAAAGTTAAATTGAAAGAGGAAATCTTGATTCATAAGTTGTCGAGAGATATCAAGCTCTTTTTGGAACTGTGAAAAGGGGACCACTTTAAGTTTATGCAGATGTTGTTGAATTGGCTACCTAATAAAACCCCAATTTGTGATGGATAAAATATATCATATAATGAATATTGATCATTAAAATAATATCTATTTCACAGTCTCAGAAAGCAATGCTCCTGCTAATTCTACTGAAAATTTCTAAGCTTCCTTTATTTACTTCTTCTCGTTATTTTATTGTCCACTCCCTTAATATGGTTAATCATATTTTATGAAACATTTATCCTTCAAATCACATAAACATTATCTAAAATAAAGCTAATTCTATCAATATCCTAATCTACCTAATTATCTTCTAAAACTGATTGAGATAATCTAACACCCCAATATCGTTCCCATAATCCTTAAACTATTTTACTATCCACTGAATTGCTAAATATTTCTATATCCAAAGAATAATATTTATCATGATAAGCTCCAAAATCTTTTATCTTTTAAGTAGGAATCCCAATATTGTCATCCTAATTATCTTAAATACTATTTATTTATTACTTTTTAATGGTCTATATCCATCTGGATAAACTCTAAAAGCACCTATATCTACTTTTTAATTGGTCATAGTTCTAATAGGATCAATTACAACAGCTACAAATGCTCCATATCCTTGTTGTTACATTCTTTGATTTTGTACATCAGTACCACTTAACCAACATCCGTAACTTGGATGAGAATGATACCATCCTACTGTAGGATGTACTCTTCCTACAGTTTCCAGCATTTCAATCATTTGAATATATTCACCCATAGCTTCAGGGGCTAATAAAATAATGATTGAATATTTACTTAGTGTTACATTTACTTCACTTGCTTCTGCATTTAAATAGATTACATCATAAATTATAAATGTATCCTTATGACATCTTCCTTACATCAAACCCATTACTTCATTATTCTCTATTTGTAGATTATTAAAAAAATACTTCCAAGACATGCATGAATTAACATCTTGATCACTGCAGCAATTGATATTTTACATATCTTAAAATAATTAGGTGAACTATCCCAAGGTTTCTTATCAATAAAGTCATTGTGTTCTTCCTAATTAAAATAATAAATAGAATCATCTTATAAGATGTTGTTTCTCTCTACAAATTATTCATAGTTTTGTTACTCAACCTACATTTATGATTATAAATATATTATTATTATTATTTAATATAATCAGTCTATTCTTTTGAGTAAAGTGCTAAGAGTCAAATCTAATTCATGTAGTGAATGTAAATAACTAAATAAATAAATATTAATACGTTGAAGTCATCTCACGAATTTCTTTTTTAGACATTTGATTTAAACCATTGCTAATTTTAATCAAATCAGAAACACTTATATAACCTTGATTTTTATTTTTACTAAAAGAATTCTAGTTTTCTTTCCAACAATTAGCATCAAATTAAACGAATGGTTAAGATTAAGATCTTTAGATATAAGATTGTTCATAACTGGTTTTCATGTTTTAATTGATCTTAATAGGTTCTTATACATTCTATTTTAGTTGTGTACTCTTCAAAATAAACGACAATTATTTAGTTGAATTCTTTATATTTGGAGACTTTTCTTAAGTGTTGTTTATTTTAGCAGTTGTGACCTATCTAACATAATTCCTGAACTCAATTAGTTCTTATCTTTATGATTATTCATACATTATCAAAGTAGTCGTTAATAAAAAATATTAATAATTCACAATTTTATCAAGATTATTCATACACCATCTAAAAAACGACAGTAGGAGGATTTTATCTTCAAAAATCAATTACTATAATGTTTCTTTTGAAATTACTTAAGGTCTATAATAATTAGTAGCATATATAAATACCTATGAATTTAATTCACAATATCCATAAGTATTTCATAAGTATTTGATCACTCAAAACATGATTTTTATCATCTATCCTTGATACCAATAATCTAAGTAATCCTTAAATCTCTGTAAATGGAATCTCACTATGATCTGAAGATTAAAAGAAATCATAAGTAAATTTGATGTAATCTTCAAAAGTTCTCTCTTAAAAAACTATTAATTTATAAAAGTGCTTAAATCCACTAAAGGTAAAATATTCTCCTTTATAAAATGCCCAAACAACTCTCTCTACAATTTCGTCCTTTTTTCTTATTAAATCCCAAATTACTTAACAATAACTCAAAAATGTATCTTTATTAATTGATACATCATCTTATCCTTTCTCTACTTCAGATACATTTAATAAAACTCAATTTGATTTTTCAAAATAATTGATTCTGAAGAATTACTTTAAATTAAGGAGATATCTATGAATTTGGAGTTTATTAGGTTATACTTTAACCCATCTTCTTTTTATGGAAATCTTATATACTGTAATAAAGACTTATTGATGAAATAGTTCCAAATTATTACATTCGTATTCCTATTTTCTAAAGTTCAGCATGTGATATCAATTTTTCATAAATTTATCAAATAATTCCACTCCTTAATTAAATCCAATTCCTTAGTAGAATTATTTTTTATCACCCTTATCATATTATTTCTAAATATATATTTTTAGGATTCCCTTTCTATCTCTTAAATACTGTATTTTTATCATAATCAAAATATGATCTTTATCTAGAACCAAATCCTCTTAAATTTTCATTTAATACAACTATATTTTTAAAATTAGGATCAATATCTTAAGATGCGCTCAAATCAATCCCTTCAGATGATTGATACAATCTTAGCTATGATAAAAAAGGAGATTTCCTTGATTCCTATAATGGATTTCTTCCATCAATTATTAAACTTTTTTATCCAATTTTTCCAGTTCTTTATTTCTAAATTCCTATTTTTAAAGAAGATGCAATCCTTTCATTGCGTTCTCAAATTATTATGTTCGTTTAGATGGAAGTTATTAATAATAATGTTTTAATAAATCATACTTTGTAAACTCTGAATTTATTATACTTGATAAGACATCATCATGAATTAGTAAAACTAAATCAACCAATTATTTATAAAAGTTCTTCTCTCAATTATTTTTTCTAATTTTTTTTTCATCAATAAACTTTGTTTTCTAAGGAGAACTTGTTATCTATCTTTTCTAATGAACTATTTTCAATTAAGGTAATGTTGGTTTGTCAATTATAATTTTTTTTATAAAGACAATTATTCATTTATTAACAATATTATAATTGCGATCCTAAATAAAAATATACAAAGCTATTATTATTTTTACATAAATTCAATAATTGTTTTCTTATATTAACTTGTTATTAAATAAATAATTTATTTAGAAATTTATCTAAAATTTCTTATTCTTATTCTTCATTATGTCAACACAGAAATTGCTTTCAAATTACTTAAAATTGTTAGTATGAGAAATTATATTCTTTTGAAATTTAATGTAGTAAAATATATATAAAAATAATGAACAAGTTTAGTCTTACATTCATTTCAAAAAATTTAGAATAAAAGTATTAGGATCACAGATTTTTATCAACAATACCAGCTTGTAAAGTTATAAATTTAATGTGCTTCACTATCTGTATTATTAGATCAATAATATGTTTGATTCTGTAGGATTATATAAATGTTTTTATTTTTGTTCCACTTGGATTATTAGTCTTTATAGTTCACTTTGTAGTTATGTTTTATAAAAAATAATGGATAGATTTTTATTTAGTAGGCATTAATCATCTTTTAATGAGTTATTAGGTTTATACAGAAGCTGATTTTAAACCATAAGAGGCTTTTGTTTTTGGATAAAATATGATGGTTATGCACATCATTATTATTTTAGTATCAGATTTCAAATATGCTGTAATATAAGTTATTAATAATGCCATTATCAAATTAGCAATGGCAAGATATTTTTAATCTGATATATCAATTCAAGCTTTCATTTATTGTTTCATTCTTGCTCTTATGATTCTTATACCTCTCCAAAGGACAAATAAATAATATAGAGAATCATTTCTATATACTTCATAAAATAACTCATTAGGTATAAATTATTAAATTTAAATAGACTGGATTATCCCAAAATTAATTGAAAACCCTTTCGCAGTATTTGTCTATGACAATGAAACTGTTGGATTTAAGGTAAAACTCTCTAATTTTAATATCAATGATACATTTGAATCAACTAACACTAATCTTTAAAATTTAAACTCATTCTTAAGGAATTATAAATTAGATGGAAATACACTTGAAGCCTTCTTTCTTAATAGAAGAAATCATACTTAATCACTTATAATCAACTAATAAATTGAAGTTATTAACTCAAAAAATTATTCAGATAAAATTTTCATCAAATATTCTGAAGTTCAACTTACCGAATAAACTTTTATTATTATCCTTGATTAAAAACAATAGAATTATTTATAAATGGAAGATAAAATTTAAGGATTAGAAAGAGGCATCAATCTATTTTTATTAAATATAAAAGGTTTCCTTTTAAATCAATTAAAAATGTTAAATAACTCCAATAGATAGAATCCATAATCCATATATATGAATAAAGTTAACTTAATGTACATTCTTACAAAGTTAACAGGAATATCTACTTTAAATGTGAAAAAATATAAAATTGTACCTAAAATACATCTATTTATTAAATTATTTAACAAAGCCTACAATAAACAGGTGATTTTTTAATGTGAATAAAAGCACATATAAATAGTTACCATAAAGAATGTTTTTGAAGAACTATTGATAATTTTAATGACATTAATCTTTAGACAATAAACAATTACTGAAACTAAATTATTCTTACGTGGAAGCTATAACTTAAATGATTAATTCTTAGATATACTAATAAAAAATGATTAGACTTCTTTCTTATTTTATTAGCTTTAATAAAATATTCATTTTCGTAAGAATCTTAAATAGATAGGACCTTGTGATAGATTGCTAATGGAAAATAATGGTATTTATCATTTTTATTGATCATTAGTAGTAATTATTAGGTTATATAAAGATTTAAGTTAATTGAATAAGTTGTCAACTTTTCTAAATTAGCCCAAAACTTGATTTACTTAAAACCTCCTTGATTTTTATAAATTTGTTAATATTTTTTTGTTTTTATCTGCAAAGATCCTTTGACAAGAGACTAAAATAAAATTCACTTTGGAAATTCTTTTAAAAATTAAAAAGTCTTAAACTAAAACTTAAGTATTGATTTACTAATTATTTATTATTTTTTATATTAATTTTAATAATTATATGTCATAATAATATAATTAGACCTAACTCAGTTCCTTTTTTTACTATATATATATTTTGTAAATTAAGAGTTCTTCAGCAAATAATATTTTAATGAATGAATTAGCAGAAAAGCGATTACTTTTATTAAAATACATCATTATTTATCAGTTTAGAAGAAAGAATCTTTATCATCAATAAAATGATCTTCATCTTAAAAAGCAAATTATATTTTTATTCTCTATCAAAACAGATTGAGGTGAATCATTTTGTTTGAAATTATTTAGTAGTGAATTGATTAATCTATGATATATTTTTTATTAAATGGCTAAGTCTAATTTAGTTTCTATTTAAATGCTATTCTAACATATTCCTCAGTGATTTTAATTTATCTCAATCTTGTAATAAATTTAAATCACTATCAGATTCGAAATCTTTATAATAATATTTTAATTTAAGAAGTCTTATAGTAATTCTATCCCTAAAAAATGTAAAATTCATTTTTATATTCGTAAACATCGCAAATAACAGAATAAACAATTGAATTTATTTTTGTTTATTCTCATTTATAAAGTATTTTTTCAGTATTTTAAATATTATCAATCTTAGTGTGGTTAAATTTTATGTTTGTTTCACCTACTGATATAAGAACTCAAATTGAATGTGGAAATACATTATTATATTATTAAAATAGCCTAGATTTAATTGCTTAATATAATTAGCACTAATAAATCAAAGTCATTGCATACATAAAGGTTGCAAAGAACGAATGATTCATGGCAATCAATTTTGAAACTTTAATCTATCAAATTATTTTAGAATTTCTAATTTTAAGAAAAATTATTAAATAAACCTGATATTTCTAAATTGACTAATTCAATATCTTTTGAAAATCAAAAATAGTTAGGAAGTTCAAAAAGTATTTGATTGAATTAACATTTGATATTGACAAATTAAAAGTCATTAAAATTTAATTTAAATAATCAATCTTAAAATCATAAACTTAGATTAGATAGATAAGTTTGAATGGAAAATAATATTACTATTAGAGCTTAGGTAATTCTGTCTTTACGAGTTGTTATTTGGTAAAAATAAATTGATATATATTTTAGGCACTATTCTATTTCTAATCATAAGGCATATGTATTAAGATTTTGTTCAAATAATTTTAAAATTTATTTAATAAATTAATTTTCAACAGTTAAAGTTAAATGTTAATTGATTGTCTAAGTGTTAATAATATTTTTTAATAAATAATGTTATCCTACTTAAAATCTTATAGATTCCCTTCTCCTAAATAATTATTCAGATATAAATTTAGATGTAAATAAAAATGCTTGAATAAAATAGATTAAAGATACATATAAATTATATATTTTAAAGCACAAAAAGTATAATAAATTTAAATATTTTGAGATGATCCTGACTTGAATAAAAAGAGTGATATAAAAGAGAGATTTACTTAAATAAATTAAGCTTATAATTAACTTAAGCAACGCAAATTTCATAAAAAAGTAGAAGAGGAGCGTTAATTTGATAAAATTAGTTCTGCATAATCTGTAGAAGAGTTTAATGATAAATATTTTGATTCTACTTTATGAAAATCCATAAGAATATGATAAGCCAGAGAATGTATAATAGAAAATTGATTATTAAGTGATTTATGTAAATATAAACAGTAGAAATAAAGTTAAAGTTATTTAGAATAAAAAATGATTAGTGAAATTAAGATCAATAGAAAATTTAATTGTGACAGTAATAACTATATATATAATTAGGATATAGCTATCATACTTTTCTTAAAGTATTATTGATTTTTATATTAGTTTGTATCAGTTACAAGTGCATACATTTTCTAAATATATAGATGCTAAAAATAGTAAAACAGACTTACAAATATTTAGAATGTAAAGTTTTGCTTTATTAAGATAATAGAGAGTGGCTGAAGAATAATAACTAAAATTATGAAATTGATTTTAGTTAACAATTTTAATCAAAATAATATTAGGTAGCAATTAGTAATCAATTAATGATATAAAACTTATTATGAGATGTAAAAGAAAGATTAAATAAATGAGGGTAGTTAGTAAGATAAAAGAAGATAGTTTTAGTAAGATAAATTTTATAGATATAATATTTGTAAAGTATTAAATAATAATAAAGAAATGACACATGGTATGAATAATAAATTAAAAGGTAGTACTTTATTTTGGAAAGACATTAGCGAATCTTTAGACTGAGAGTTTAGGGAGCTAGTAATAGATGTATGAATATGTATAAAGATTAGATTAACNTTAAAGTAATAAACTTTATTTGAAATATAAGTTCATAATTAAATTAAAAAAATGATTGTAATTGATTGTCTAAGTGTTAATAATATTTTTTAATAAATAATGTTATCCTACTTAAAATCTTATAGATTCCCTTCTCCTAAATAATTATTCAGATATAAATTTAGATGTAAATAAAAATGCTTGAATAAAATAGATTAAAGATACATATAAATTATATATTTTAAAGCACAAAAAGTATAATAAATTTAAATATTTTGAGATGATCCTGACTTGAATAAAAAGAGTGATATAAAAGAGAGATTTACTTAAATAAATTAAGCTTATAATTAACTTAAGCAACGCAAATTTCATAAAAAAGTAGAAGAGGAGCGTTAATTTGATAAAATTAGTTCTGCATAATCTGTAGAAGAGTTTAATGATAAATATTTTGATTCTACTTTATGAAAATCCATAAGAATATGATAAGCCAGAGAATGTATAATAGAAAATTGATTATTAAGTGATTTATGTAAATATAAACAGTAGAAATAAAGTTAAAGTTATTTAGAATAAAAAATGATTAGTGAAATTAAGATCAATAGAAAATTTAATTGTGACAGTAATAACTATATATATAATTAGGATATAGCTATCATACTTTTCTTAAAGTATTATTGATTTTTATATTAGTTTGTATCAGTTACAAGTGCATACATTTTCTAAATATATAGATGCTAAAAATAGTAAAACAGACTTACAAATATTTAGAATGTAAAGTTTTGCTTTATTAAGATAATAGAGAGTGGCTGAAGAATAATAACTAAAATTATGAAATTGATTTTAGTTAACAATTTTAATCAAAATAATATTAGGTAGCAATTAGTAATCAATTAATGATATAAAACTTATTATGAGATGTAAAAGAAAGATTAAATAAATGAGGGTAGTTAGTAAGATAAAAGAAGATAGTTTTAGTAAGATAAATTTTATAGATATAATATTTGTAAAGTATTAAATAATAATAAAGAAATGACACATGGTATGAATAATAAATTAAAAGGTAGTACTTTATTTTGGAAAGACATTAGCGAATCTTTAGACTGAGAGTTTAGGGAGCTAGTAATAGATGTATGAATATGTATAAAGATTAGATTAACGAGAGTATGTTTACCAGAGAATGTTTTTTCGAATGATTAAACAAAATAGAACAAAGGAGGGGAATAATAAGTAGGATTTGTGAAAGTGATTTGTAAAGAGAATATGGTGTTTTTAATAGATCGTATGTTTTATATATATATATAATATTAGACAAATGTGAATTGTGGGCTTTTGGAGGATCAAATGAAGGTTAATTGGGATTACGTATAGCAGGTTTAGTATATCCAGTAAATTTATCACAGGTGATGGATACAAAAATAAAATATGTGACAGCAAGTTAGAATTTTGTATCAGTATATACAATGAAAAATCGATTATATATTTGGGGAAAGATGGAAGAATTGAATTTAGGAGAATGTTAAAAACAGAAAAGAGTGGAATTTAGTAAAACTATAGATAGGAGATACGAATTCTAGTGTTATGAAATATCAACAATAATTCAAGGTAATTAAGGAAAGAATGAATTATAATAATTAGAATCAAGTGGAAACAAACTTTATTTATTGACACAAGACTGTTTATTTTTAATATCAAATAAAATAGTGTAGATAAGATAAAATTTTGTAGGATTGGCTTGTAATTAAAATCATGTATTAGCTTGGGATATTGAAGGGAGAGTTTGGAGCTGGGGTTCATAATCAGATGGAAAATTAGGTTATATGAATTTTGAATAATAAGAATAGATCTAACCAAAATTAGTAGAAAACTTAAAAAATAGAATAATATAATGTGCTTGCGGATTAAATTATAGTTTAGCTTTAGATGTAAAAGGTGATATTTATGGATGGGGAAAAGGTCCATTTAAAATTGAATTATTAAAAGCTACTTAACCTACAAAACTAATTGATAAAAATAAATCATTTGTTAAAGTGATTGCTGGAGAAGAACATTTTGGTGCTTTAGATATGGTTGGTTAATTATTTGTTTGGGGATTAAATCATAATAATTGTTTAGGTTAAATGGATGAAGAAGTATAAAGACCTACTCTTTTTGAATTAAGTGGCCTTAAGATAATTGATGCAAGTATGGGACCTACTTGTACAGTACTTATTGTTCCATCTGGTAGATTATAAAAATTACCTAATCTTAATTTAGATACTTTTACTAATCAATAAAAGAAATGTTTTATTGAAGAAGCAAGTTTGATTAGAGATTTTACTGAAAGAAGGAATAGATAAACTTTGATGTAAATGCTTACTCCAACTTAGAGTAAATAACATATATCTGATGATAAGGAATATGATAAAGCTAATTAACTTATTCATCTTATGTAATTAAAATTAGATTCACCAAGAATTAAATAAACTTTTAATTCTACTCACTTTTCAAATTCAATCTTTAGTAATAATGAACTATCCAATAGAACAATGCGTTCACCTATTTCATTTGATAATGTTTAAAACAAATTAAATAAATTAGAAAATAATAACCCTCTTTACTTGCCCATTTTACCCAGATTTTAAATGACATCTAATACAAATGAAGATGAAATTAATCTCGATTTTCTTATTTAAACTGATGATGATGAACTTAAATATCGATATATATAATTAGTTAAGGATAATTCAGAAGATTAAGTACTTATGTAATTACTTGATGAATAAACAAATAAAAAAACTCATTCATTTTAAACTCCAAGACATTAACTTACTAAAATTAAATTATAAAGTGAACCTAAGATTATTAAATTTAATGATAAATATGATAAATTAGATCCAAATCTACTTGAAAATGTTAAAAAAGAACTTGCTGAAATAAGTAAAGAAAGATGGAAGTAATATTTAAAAAAAAGAAAAATTAGATAAAATAAAATTAACATGCTCAAAACTAAATTTTAAATGACAAAATTAGAATAAATGTCTAAAGAAGAATAAATTGAATCAAATCGTTTATAAGCTGTTGAAAAAAATGTTAAAATCCAATATACTATTTTAAGAAAAGAAGAAAGACTCAAAACTAAATTAGAAGGACTATAACAATAATTACATGAAAATTCAACAGAATTCTAAATCAAAAAAAAAACCGAAATGAAAAAAGAAGTAGCTAAATTCTTTGCTTTTTTATTATTATTATAGTATTTAGATTTTGAAGCATCTTGTTAAATGTTTGAAGAAGCTGCTTTTCGAGGTTTGTAAAAAAAGAGGCTTCTATTTCAAGCTAATAATAAAGCAAAAATAATTCAAAAAGCTGTCAGAAGAAGAAATATTATTAAAATGATTAACAACAATTTAGGAGAAAAACCTAAAAAAATTTTACTCTCCTTTATCTTTAGAATTAGAATGTCCATCAGAATCAAAAAAAGAAGATTACTCTTCAGGAAACTTAATCTATTCTATCAACGAAATTAATTATTCCTAAAAGTTCGTATGAGTTTAAATATTATGATGAAATCAACTAAAAATATTTAAACATTTTGTAAATTTTATAATCAAACTATTAAAACTTAATTAAGTTACCTTAATTACAAATGGGATGAATATTTGAAATAAGAATTTAAAGGGCTTGTTATTGATAAAGACAAAGAAGAATAAAAAATTAACTAATTGTAATTTTTAAATGAAAAATAAATTCAAATCATGAAATAACTATCATATCCTTATAAAACTAATAAATAATTATTAAGGGAAATGTAATTGTAAAAAAAACCTAAATTTAAAACAGATATACTTAGAATCAATATTATAAAGAAAATTTAGAATTTTCAACCTTAAGAAGATGAACCTAAAGATAGAGAAATTCGAACCAGTTTCAACAATGTTTTATTACCATATACTAAATATGTAGATAACATAATAATTCCATAAAATTTTAGAATTAGATTTGATTATCAAGAAATTCAATTATTAAATGTGCTTGATAAAGTTAACTAAGAAGAAGCTAAACTTAAATTGGAATTATTATAAACTTATTAAAGAATTTAAAGAAAAGACTATATATAATAGTGTAGAAACGTATATATCAATATTCATTTTAGTATTTTTAAGCACTTTGTGAATTTAAATAAAAGAATAAAGTATTAATTGGAACTGAAAGAATGAAAATGATGTCTAAGTTGAGTTCAGATGAAATCAAATAATTAAAACTAAAGGATGAGATTGAATATCGTAGTTTAGTATAAAAAAGAGATATTAACATGAAGAGATGTAAACAAATATAATTTATTTTTTAATAGTTAGAATGTTTGATAGTGGTTTTAAAGAAAACATCTTTGAAAAAATTAAAGTTTTTTAATAAGATAATTATCCCTTCCAATTATTAACTTATAAATTAGTTATTGCTTAAAGTAAAATTGAACCTCCTAAATTAACAATGGAACTTAGTTACAAAGAATGGGTGCGTTTATTTAAGAACTATCATACAGATTTTAAAATTAGATTGCAATCAATAATGAGTGAAGCTAGAAGAGCTGCTGCATATAAAGCAAAATAAATAAAAAGATCTACAACCATCAAATCAAAATCTATCCAATCTAAAAAGGCAATTGACATAGTTTGATTAAAATATGTGTATATATTAATAGATTTCTATATTTTCTGAATAAACTACTTTTAAATTAATAATTATAAAAATAAATAATCAGAGACTAAAATTATTCTAATAATAACAACCTCTAATGGATTCTAATAAGAATTATAAAAATTTATAAATTCTAAAATAGCCTCGTAAGTTATATGCTATTTAGATGAGGTAAGTTTAGCATTTATTGTAACTAAATTTTCATGATAAAATATCAATTTACAAAATTTGATATTCAAGTTATTAGCTAAGATTTCTTTTTTTTAAACTATCTTACTAAAATTAATCAAAATTATTTCAAATTAGTTAAATACTATTTATTTCATAATAAAATCAAAACATAAATCCAAATTCATTATCAATTAGCATTCTTTATGTAAGTTTAATGAAATTATAAAGTAAAATAAAAGATACATTTATTAATATTGTGAATTTTGGCTCCGTTTGGTTATGAAATGTAAACTTTTTTAAATACAGTCTAAAGGTGTGTATTAAAAACTGATAAATTTACTTATCGGAAGAAATATCATTAAAGAATAAAAATAATATTTGTCATAATTATAGATTATCAAATAGTTGTAATTGTCAGAAAAAGTAAATTAGAATTATAAATATAGGATGATCATCTTTATAAGTAAAAAATATAATGTTTTTAAGGAAAAAAACAAAATCTTTGTTGCAATAACTTCACTATAATAATATAATTAGTTTATTAATATATAAAAAATTGAGTAATGAAAGGACCTAAATATGTGGAAAACAATTTATAATTATTATTATCAAGAAGATTGGAGTATAATAAACATGTAAATTAAATAAAGAATGCAAAATGTAATCCAATGTTAGAGAAAAGAGTAACTTATTTTTTTAATTTAGTCTTTATCATAATAATAATCATTTTTTAGATAGCTTGAGTAAAATTGGAAGTAAGCTAATTTGAAAAGAGAACAAATGAGATATGAAGAGATAGTGAAGTTAAATACAAAAATGTTATTGAAAGTGGCAAATGCAAAGGAGGATTAAATATTATCATAAAGTAAGAATAGAAACCGATAGTAGATTGTTAAAAAAGTAGAATAGATTCTGCTAGATCTTGTAAATCTTTACATAGTGTGATGAAGAAAACAAAGGAGAGAGAGTTGTTTTAAGAGAATAAGAGATTGAAAGATAAAATAGAGAATGTATAATCATCAATAGCATATAATAAAGTGATAGAGAATTTCAACAAGTAAAGAATTTGAAAAATAAGTAGATTATAAGGTGAGAGAGATCGATTGACAAGAAACTCTTATAAAAAATAGAAATAAATGAAGGATATGTTAGATAACTTAACATCTTAATCAAAAGCATCTCTACACTAAAAAGTGAATAAAATAAATTAAGTACCAAAATTAAGGTTGCCACAAATTAACCAATAGGGGGAGAGTATGAAATCAATATAATAATTAAATAAATTGAGAGTGGATGGATTCTACACAGCAAGATGAAATATGTTATTTTGATATATATATAAACTTTATGAAATTTATATTGCTGGATAAGTTATAGAGGAATCCTTATTTTTATTATGAATATGCATTTGATATATGTAAATCATGCTAATGGGACAGCATTATTTTCTACCTTATATTATTCAACCTACTTAATATAATTGACATAATGTCTGACTTTATTCAAGACTGGTAAGGTTTCAGCTGAAATAACATAACCTAAGTCTTCTTCAATCTGAAATAGTAAATATAGTATACTTGCATTGATAATTCAATAGAATCTAAACTATCTAAACCATGTTGTTCTAATTCAGAGTCTAAAGTAAGTGCTGACTGCCATGATATATAAAAAGTCTTACTTTATTGGTTGTTCTATAATAATTTTTAACCAAGGTAAGAACATATCCTTCGATATCTTAAGACTTCTTTAATTGTAAGTAATTCTTAGTGATTAATTGTCCATCTTTATAAACTTGTATTGGTTTGGCTTATTATTATTTGCCTTATGTAGTAGCTGGTGTCTTATCTGCAGCAAATGTAAAGAGGGGTCTCATTGTCAGCATTCTGAATCCTCTGATCATATTCATTTATTTAAATATTATATTTGAAATAAAATATATTATTGATTTCTATTCCATTCATCTATTTTTATATACTCATGATCCTCTTTTGCATTTTTATCTCTTCATTAAAGGTAATAATTTTCTCATTCTAGGCATATCAACATCACTAATATATCTAATACGTCTCTTTCTTCTTAAATTTGCTTTCGAACAATTTCTATTCAAATGTCTTGAACCAGGTGATTTAAATTTTAATCTTCTTGCTCTTCTAGGTCCAACAATTTTTACTCTCTTCATCAAACCTTTATGATTTCCAATTTTATATAATTTATTAGGTGTTCTAATTCTTTTTTTCCAACTAGAAGAACTACATTTTGTTTTTGATCTTGCTTAACCTGCAATTCTGACTTATTTAAATAATCTTGCTAATCCAAACTCTTGTACAGGTTTCCATGTCATACTTATTGGTTTTAATATAGGCATCAATATTGATTTTACTGCCTAGGTTGCTATTCTTAGCATAACTAGTTAATAAATAATATTGATATAAATTATTCATTTTCTTATTATTATTTTACAACTAAACCTAACTAACTAACTAACTAACTAAATGTTTATACCAATAATCATATAAAATAAAATTTATTATATTCTTTTTATCAAATGAAAAGTGAATCTTAATCATATGCATCATATTCACGCAATATGAATAGAGATCCTTAATAATAAAGTTATCATTCAGCAAATTTTCAAACTCTATAAACATCACAAAGAAATTACATTTTAGAACAGACATAAAATGTAAATGATGAAGAAAAACGATTATTGCAAAAACGAATTGATGATTTAGAGTTTCAATTAAAAAATCTCTCACAAAAACCAATACTTTATGAATAAGAAATAGCCAGATCAACAATCTAAAGAGAAGCACTCTAAACTGATTTTGGAAGTGCTAATCAAACAATTAGATAATTATAATCTAAAATCTCAGATTTAGAAGTATCTAGTTAAATTCGATTATCTCAACAAAATGAGGCTAGCAAAAGATAGATTCTTGATTTAGAAGATAGATTACAGAAATTATAAATCTAATGTGATTCTTAGGTCATCTAAATAAATTAATTATAAAGAGACAAATTAAGTTTGGCATCATAATGTCAAGCCTTATAAGATTAAATTGGAAGTTCTAAATTGAATTATAAATAGGAAATATCTGAAGGAGAACTTAGATACACAAAAGAAAGCTAGAGATTATCTTTGGTTGTAAATGAAAAATAAGTCAATATACAATAATTGGAATTAAGATTCTAATAATTAAGTGATCAATATCAAATTTTATAAAGGAAATATGATTAAGATACTTCCTCATTAAAAGTTTAATGCAATGATACTGAAGATAGATATAGAAGATTGCAACAATAATTTGATTAATAAACTATTCTAGTAAATACAATTAATTAGGAAAAGTAAAACTTATCAGTTTAATTGGATAAATTGTAATCTGAATCTAATACACATATATATAATTATCAATCTACAATTAAAACTAATGAATCTAAAATTATTAGAGATTAATAATAGTTTTAAGCTTAATTAAATGAAAAAATACAATTGATTAATGATTTGGAAAAAAAGAATAGATAATAATTAGATTAATTCTTTTCTTTGTAATAAATGTATGATAAGGACACATAGGCTATGAATTATAGAATACAAGATCTTGAGGATAAGTTATCTAAATTATCTAGATCATTTGATTAATAGACAAATGAACTTAATTAGGTTTATTCTGATAAGGAAAGATTTGAAAGATAATATTTGAAATTGTAAGATGAAATAAATACTCAAAAGTTGAGATACAATCAAGAACTTACTAAAACAGATGAGTTATCCTAAAAGGAAAGATCTTGGTTTTAAGTTTAATTAAATGATAGATAATAAACAATCACAGAACTTGAATTAAAAGTAAAATAATTGGGAGAATAATTATCAACAATATAAAGAAGAACTGATAATGATGTTGTGATATTTTAGAAATAGATTACAGAAATGTCAGATAGATTAAGATATTAATAAGAATAGTTAGACCTTAAAAATAATCAATTTAATTAATTGAATAAAGAAAAGTGTTTAATTACTAATCAATTTGAATAATTACATTAAGAATTTAATGATTACAAGAGAATTTATGAAAATGATGTATCTAAATTGAATAGAGATAATTAAAGAATTACCAGTAGTGTACATGAGAAAACATAATCTTATATTTAATTAGAAGGAAAGTATTAGTTGTTGAATGAAGAATTTTAAGCATTGTAAGTTAGATTTGAAAAAGAAACTAATAATTATACTATGAGAATGAAAGAATTAGAAGAAGATCTTTCAATCATGATTGAAAACTATAAACGAGAATAAAGTGTAATTAAAATCTTTATATAATTAGATCAATAGAGATTGGGAATAATAGGTGATTAGATTGAAGTAGCAAATTAAATATTCAGTAGATGAAACTAGAATTTCAACAGAGAGAACCTTAATTGAGAAATATGAAAATTTAACTAGTGAATAAAAATAAGAATTTGATATTATATTTAGTAAATTGAATTAGGATAAAAATGAGTTAAGATTATAATTAAATTAAAAAGTGGATTAAATTAGATAATTGGAAAATCAAGTTACATAATTAAATTTATAAAATACAAAAAATTAGACATTAATTGCAGAATTGGAATCAGCTAATTAATCATTAAAGTATTAAATAAATGAATAAGAATCAAAAATTAAAACTTTAATCTTATAGGAGTTTGATTCTTTGGTAATTAATTTAAATTAATATTTTAGAGAGATAAATCTGCAGATTAAATGATTAGAAATTTGATGGCAGAAATCAAAGCTTTATAAAATAAATTAAAAAAATATGAAGTATATGTTAAAAATATTGATGAATAAAAACTTTAAGAATAATCTTAAACTGAAACAAATCTTGGTAGAAGCAGTTATGCAGTTGAATAAAGAATAACTACAGGAAATGTAATTGGTTAAAGAAGTTTAATTGCTTAAGAGAGTAATCTTTAAAATAATAATTCTGGTAAGATATATTAATTAGAGAGTTCTTTAAAAATATCTTAATAGAGAGAAAAAGAATTAATGAATTAAGTTAATCAATTGAGTTCATAATTAAATTAATAAGGAACTAATTTTAAAAGTAACTCATATATTAATACTTAAAATAATGATAATGGAGTGACTTAATTAAATGAAAAGATAAAGAGTTAAGAAAGGGAGATTTTTGAATTAAAATCAAGAATCTAAACATCTTCATAAACAAGAGTAGATACAAGATTTGAATAATCTTAATTGGAAGAAAAGAATAGAAGAATTATTGAATTAGAAAATAAGTGTGCTCTTCTAGCTAATGAGAATTCAAGATTAAATTTAATGAGGGTAAATTAATATGTATAATAATAGAGTAAAGTACTATCTGGTTAATAAAATCAACCTTATGAATCTTAAAGTAATAATGGATCATAAAGATATTATTAATGACCTTTATGATAATTATAGGTTTAAATAATTATATAAACATGTTTTAAATTTATCATATTCTAAAATTGATTAGGTTTTTATTTTACCTAATGCTTAAATATAATCATATATTAATAATAATAATTTATGTCTTAACCATTAAGGTATGGTTAAATTATTTCACTTAAACCATCTGAAATGGATCATATGTTTGTTATAAGTGATGGCCACATAAAAACTAAAGCATAAATCTTTGAAATTAAAGCAAAGAAGGTAGCTTCTGGAACACTTTTTTTTTAAAGTTTATTTCAAATATACCCTTAATTTCAAACTTCGAAAATTGATTAAGCATTGAAATTGGAGAGAGAATTATAAAAAGAGAAATATTAAAAAGAGAGTATGAAACTTAATAAGATAAAGGAAATGGAAGAAAAGGTATTTTAAGAATACAAGTAAAATATTGAAACAGCAGAAAAAAATAAAGATTAAACATTTACAATGGCTTAACCTGTATAGTTTTTACATTTATCAAGTAACAAATTCTTAGCATGTAATTATTTGGAGGCAGATGAAGAAAAAGAAAATTTTAAATTAGAATTGAATGAATATCCTTCTGATAACACTTGTTTTAGATTAATGTCTGCATATTTACATTAAACAAGAGCTGATGGATTGATTTATGCAGATGAACCTTTATTTATAATAATGGATAAGATATACCTTGGTATGAAACCATATCTCCATATGAGTGAATCTACAAAGCGTTATAATAATCATTTAATATTGGCTTCAAGAACTATGTTCAATTTCCCAAATGCAAAAGGTCTTCAAAGAAAAATAATATCTGGTCAAATTAAAAGTAAGTAATCGAGAATAGATCTTAATAATTTATAAGAACCAAATACTCAAACAATGTTAATGGCACTTGATTATAAAAAAAAATAAGATTTAGAATTAGCCCATTAATCAGCATCAGCAGAATCTATTTAGAAAAAAGAGATTAATGTTTCTTTAGAAAAGAGATCTCCTTTTCTTATTTCAGTTTTTTCAAATACAGAAGAAGATGAAAATAAAATCTATTTTGGAGATGTAATTTGGCTACATCATATTGAACTTAATGCTATATTAGTAACTGCTAAAAATATGTCAGATGAAATCATAGTATCACTTTAATAAACAAAAAATGATTAATTGGGTGAATTTATAGGAAATACAAATGGGATGTGGTATATAGAGAGTTTAAATATGAAAGGAGGTCCTGTAGAATGGGGTTAAATATTTAGATTAAGACATTTCTCTTTAGGAAAATATTTAGCTGTTTAAAAAGAATAAGATAGAGATTCTGATACATTCTCTTGCTTTTATTTAGAAGATAAATAAAGTGAAAATTCTTTATTGTAATTCTTAGCACTTCCTAGTTCTATTAATGAAAATTAAAAATATGTGACAAAAGATGGTTTTTTCAAATTAAAAAATAATAAAAAATGGATTTAATTTATTGATAAACATCCTGACTCTGATTCATCTATAGTTATGTTGAGATTAAGTGATAATTGTAAAGATGATGATGTTCTTAAATGTTATAAAGCTAATTTAAATGAAATTTAGGAAACATCTTTTTTAGTCTCTTGTTTTCCTGTTATGAGAAAGACTTTATCTATTTTAACAGACTTAGCAACTAAAGATTATAAAAGAATTTATTAGGATAAAAATATTAAATTTCCTAAGAAAATTACATAGTTAAAAAAGGTATTATAAGATTTAACACGATTTTGTTCAAATTAATTTCTAATTAGTAGTTAAAATAGATAGAAAGTTTTAAAAGAATAATATTTTATAGATATTTTATTAGAAATCTTGTGTAATATCAGTAATGAAGGGGAAATAAAAGAATATTTAGATTTGACAAGAAAAAAGAAAGGTCATGGATTTTAAGATACTTTTCATAAATCAGCAGCTTAAAAATTACATTCTGCAGCTTTTTAAGTTAAAGATTAATTACTATCAGATTTTGGACAAGTTGCTTCAAGAATTCAATCAGATAATGATAAAAAATAATTGAAATAATATATTGGAGAAAAATTTGAAGTTATAAAAATGATATATCAATTATTGATATGTATTTGTAAAGATAATAATTAAAATGAAGAATATGTATATGAGAGAGTAGCTAAATTTTAATATTAAGCAAAATTTTTTAAAGAAACAACAGATTTCATAATTTCTTTACTTAAAAATAATGAATAATTATTATAAAATCTAACTGAAAAAATTCGTTTATCAGAATAAAAACAAAGAAGAAAAAGACATGAATCAATTAAGTAATAACGACTTGATAATAGTTTAATATAAAAGGATCCTAATAATATTGTTTTATTTTATAAAAAATTAGTAGAGGAATCAATGAATTCTAAAGATTATATTGAATTTTTTAGAACAATATGTAAATATAATAACAAAGGTTTGTCAGTAAATTAAGAAACGATTTATAAAAAATGTTAAGAAAATCCAAAATTTAATGATGCATTGTTTTGGAAAATAAATTGTATGTTTAATGAGATGTTGATTGAAAAGGATATTGAAAAAAAAACAATATCTTAATTAAATAAAGAAGAATTGGAATCATTTGTAGCATAATTGAGATTATATTCAGACTTAGCACTTTCTAGAAATTTTTAATGGAAAGGGATACTTGAAAAGAAGTTTCCTAAGTAATTTACATTTGAATAAATTTTTAATTAAGAATTAGATGCTGATGTAAGATCTGCACTTTGTAATTTAGCATTAACAGTTTATATTGATCATGAACCATTGCATTTATAGATAGTTCCAAATTTGTGTAGATTGGTAAATTAATAAGCAATATAATAAGCAATTAAATAATAATAAGAATTTCATGATCATAAAATATTTGAATAGTTAATTTCTTAGGTAATGGCATAAATTTATGATTATTAAAATAATTTAAAATAAGATGTATTTTAAATGATGACAGTAAAGAAAGAATCTTAGGCATGTAAGAAAAAGAAATCAGAAGCTTAATTATAATTGGATATAATAAAACTAGCAAAAACACTTATATAATTTGATGTTGTTAATTTAATAAATAGAAAGGATATTTACAGTGAAATATTATAACCTTTAATAACATTTTTAGAATATGATAAAAATAATTATGTATTATCTTATTTGATAAATTGTTAAAGGGAAGAAGCATTAAAAAGAGCAAAGTATTCAAATAAATTGATTTCAACAATGAAAGGAATGGTAACAGGAGCAATAGATGTAGGAAGAGCAATAGTTAATGTAGTTGTAAGAAAGAAATAAGATCTTGAAGAAGAATTTGCTGAATAGACTTTGTTTTCAAAACATCCTATTACTGCTAGTTTATTAACAATAACTTCAAAAATATAAAGTTTGAATACTGAGAAAGGAGAAGAGACATATTAAATAGATATAGAATAAAAAATGCAAGTTTGTGAGTTATTGATATTTTTTTAAGAAATGAGATTAGACTTTTTAATAACAAATTTTTTAGCATTTTATGCATTAAAATAGAAAAAGAAATCTAATAAATTAAAAAATGAATTAGAATTTGATTTATTATAGGTTTTACCTCCTACTTTGAGAACTGGAATTGAAGAACCAACTAAATAAGGTGCTAAAAATATAATTTAATGGTTTTGTGATATTGTTTCAAGAATGGGTAGATTTTTAAATAAGAAATTTACTAATTTTACAAAAGAATAAGAAATGCCAGATTTAGATACTTTAATGAGTGGTGCAAATAAAGATTTAGTTAAAGAAGCTGTTTTACCATCTTTATTAATAGTATTTCATATTTCAAGTGATTGTTTATTATTAGATAAAGTAGTCGAAGTTACAAGAAGATGTTTCTCTTAAAAATTAGAGTTATTTGAAAAAATGAGAGATCTTGAAATATTGTTTGATTAGACTGAAATTAATTGTTATTAAAAAATGGTTTAATTATTAAGTAGATTAAGAACATTAACTGAATCATCTGAAGTTTGGATTAATAATTTCCATACTTAATCAACAGAAAAAGGATCACAAAATGAACTAAAAGAATTATATGAAGTTTAAAATATTACAAAAGATCTTGATTCTCTTTTATACAAACACACAACTGTAACACCAAATTTAGAAATCATTACTTAAGATCATTTCTTATAAATTTCAACAAGTAGATAAAAAGTATTCAATTTTCTTAATGGACACACTCCATTAATCAATTTTTTAAGAGATTCATAAAATTAATTATGTGATTTTCTCAAAGGAAATTATAATAGAGAATGGTAATAAACAGTTTCAGAATTACTTAAAACAATATATGAATGTTTAACTAATTTTTGTAAAGGAAATAGACCTAATCAAAATTTATTATCTTAACATTTTGATCTTTTTGTTGATGAAATAGAAATTGATTTTGGATAGACTACATTAATATGTACAATATATGAAGATAATAAATTTTTATGTGAGAATATTCCAGATTCCAGAATTTAATTATTTTTAAATTATAATAGAGAATTGGGAAGACAGAGTAGATTTTTAGAATTATTAAAAACAATATAAATTTGTTAAGAATAAAGTCTTGTTGAGAATCAATTAAAAATTTTATCATTTTTATTGCCTCATTAAAAGGAGGAAAACAGAAAAGATTATGAATATTTATTATGGGGATAATTTACAAAAGATTCTAAAGGAATTGAATTCAATTTCTTTAATGATGGATAAGATAAGGATAAAAAACATTAACCATATAAATATCATTGTAAATTGATTGATTTACTCTTGCAAACAACATAAGGAGAGGAGAGTTATAAATTAAATACTCCAAAATTAAAATAAATATTTTCTCTAGGATATTTAGTAAATTTTTTAGCTGAAGATAATGATGAATTCATTGAAGGTTATCATAAAAATGGAACAAAAGAAGCAAATTAACTTAAAATTAAAGTTATTTTATTTATAAATTGGATTTATATTTAAAATAGTTTAACATAATAAGAGGTAATGATTAAAGAATAAGCAAATTTTAATAAATTATTTAATAAAGAGAGAGAGAGATTGGAAATATTAGAATCACGACCAAATAGAAATGACTATCTTAAATATTTCTTTGATCATCTAATTCCATTGTTCGGAAACTTTGCCAATAAAATTTATGCTCAAGAGAAAGCATAACGAGATGATAATTATGAGTAATATTTATATATATTTTTATAGTGTATTAAAACAAATTTTAGAAAAAATAGCTGAGTTGTCAGATAAAATATTGTATTAATATCTAACCAAAAATTAATACAATTCTTTATTTAAGTTTTATAAACCATTTGAAGAGACTACAAATAGATTATAAATGAATTTTTCTGCTGCTATCAATGATCAAAATGAAGTACTTTCAAGCAATAAAAAGTCTGTGTATGAACCTCCACCTCCAGAATTCATGAGATCTTCTTTGAAAAAGAATTAAGTTATGACAATTTTTAATAAAAAAGAGAAATCTTTTTTAACTGAATAATTTAAAATACCAAATTCTAATGATAAATCTAAGATGTCAAGAAATAAATTTTCATAAACTTCTTAATAATTATGGGTGAATAAACCAAATTGGTTCTAGTTTTTAGACATGTGCGAATAAAGTTAAGTATTATAGGATTAAATAAAATAAGAATTACATACTTTGGCTAGTGCTATTTTCAACATAGACAAACTTGTTTCAGATAAAATGAATACAAATTAGAGCAATTCTGTAAATCTTGACTTTAAGGGATTCTTAAAGAAATATATAAGATTTGTTGAATAAGGAATTATTAATAAAGCTGGCAAAAAGAATTTAATCTATTCTTTATAATTATTAGAAGAATTATTGAATATTAATGATTTAGAAGAGATGCAAAATCTATTTGATTAATAAAATGCAACAAGAATGGTTTTGAATATAATAGCAGATTATAAAATTTATCCATTTGATGATGATTTTTTTAATTAATTATTAAGTTTTGGTTGTAAACTTCTATAGGGTGGTAATCCAAAAGTATAAAAGACTATATTCAACTATTTTTCAACATATAGTCGATCAGAAAATATATTTAGTAAATTAAACATGGTTATCAATGATCATATTGAAGAATTGAATATGAAATATAAGATATAGAATGAAATAGAGAAAGAAGAAAAATAATAATAAATATTGTAATTAGATACAGAACCTTAAGCTTAATAAGATTAAATTAATGATCATTTACAAGAAATGCAATTCAAATAAAAACTAAAAGAGTCTTTATTGATAAATGTACTTAGGTTTGTCTAATTATTTTGTGAAGGTCATAATTTAGATTTACAAAATTACATAAGATAATAATTTAATTCAAGAAATAATTATAATCTTGTTTCAAGTATTATAGAATTACTTTATATGTATCATTTAGAGTTAACAAATGAAAATTATGAAAATATTTTGAGATGTTTAGATACATTAACAGAATTTGTTTAAGGACCTTGTTGTTAAAATTAATAAACTATAATAGATAGCAAATTTTTAGAAGTTGCCAATACTTTGTTGGCTACTCAAGCTACTAAAACAAAATCAAAAGAGCATGGTTCTAAATCATATTTTAGTTAAGATGAATAAAGTAATTAAAAAAATAGTTCTTCTAATTTGTCTGTTGGTAAAATCAGATCTGGTAAATAATTTAAGAATAACAGAATCAATATAAAAAAATATATGTTAGAGAGAATTAAGTATAAAGTAATGGTTTTAGTTACAAGTTTATTAGAATTGAATTCTGATAGCTTAGCAATCAAAAGAATAATGAGATCATTGCCCATTGAAATTTTAAAGAAGAATTTAACTTAAATTTATAAGCGACATAAAAAACTTTATGGGCCTACATACACTTAAGATGCATTAAAACATGTATATAAAATAATAAAATTAGATCGACGAGGATCCTGAGGGAAACGATTAGAAACCAGAATATCATGAAGCCATTTTAGAAACTGGATTTTATATATACTTTTTAATTTTATATTATTATGAATTAGATACTCAAGAAATTGATTAAGAAACATCAACAGAATTATAGAAAGCCAAAAATAGTTTATTTGATAAAAACCTATTTATGGATTCATTAATAGGATAATTATTCACATTTGCTTTTGCCATAATAGGAGGTGTGTTAACTACTATAAGTTAAGCCAAAAATTATTTGTAAAAGGCTGTGGAGAAAATTGGTTAAAAAATTGACTCAACTGAAATAGATAAGAAAAATTAAAAATAAAAAGAAATCAATTAAGAGATTTTTAGAGAAACAATCTAATTCTTTGCTTATAATTCAGCTCATATTGAAGTTGTTAGGAATAATTAAATAGAAAGAATTTAATTTTATAAACCACCTTATTGTAAATACCTTCCAAAAGAAAGAAAAAAAGAATTTCATGAGACAGTAAATAGAGATTCAACAAATTCAAAAATATCTGATTTAATTGAATAAACAGATAGCATAATTGAAGTATGTAAACATGAAGAAAAACTAGCTGTCTTCTTTAGTAAAAATAAATTCATTGCAATATTCGCTAATTATGTAATACTTTGGAAAGATTTGGCATTTATACTTACTTTATTATTAAATTTGTTTATCATATTGTCTTATGCTGATAATGAGAATTCAAACTCTTAAACAGATGAAGTAGAAAGTATTTAAACAATTAGAAAGAATAGAATTAGTAATCCTATATTATTGAATTCTAATCTGACTGTTTAAGAAACAGAATCCTTATTTTTTATTTGTGGGATAATCATGATTGTATGCTCAACTTTTGTGGTGTTATTCTTCTTATTAAAGAAAGCTCCATTGTATATAAAAGAATCCTATAAGAAGTAAGATTTAAGTGAATATGGAGTACTTATCAATTCCTTGTTTTAGATTTTCAACTTTTCTTATAGCATTGCAAGTGTGCTTCTAAATATTGAAATTCTTTATTATTTATCATATGGAACTTTAGCATTTTTAGCTACTTTTTATCATCCTTTTTTCTTTTCTTTTCATCTAACAGAAATTGTTATACGATTCCCTCAATTACGTAATATTATTAAAAGCTTTTGGGAACCTAAATTATCATTATTACTTACATTTATTCTAATTATATTATTTAATTACTTTTTTACTTTATTTGCATACATATTCTTTTATGATGATTATTCAGGGAAATGTGAAAGTTTATTATATTGCTTTTTAGAAACATTTGATAAAGCTTTTAAAAACAATGGAGGAATAGGAGGTTGGTTAGATTCTAATTAACCTTAAGATCCTGGAGATTATAACTATGGTAGATTCTTTTTTGATAATCTTTACAATATTATAATTGTGATTATCATGATTCAAATATTTTCAGGAATCATTATTGATACTTTCTCTTCTTTGAGAGAGAAGTAAATGTAAAGAGATTAAGATATACAAGAAACTTGTTTTATTTGTGGATTTAGTAGGTAATTTTTATGTGTTATAATAATATAGAGAGTTATTTGATAGAAAATCTGAAGCTGGTTTCAAATTGCATACATAATATGAACATTATATGTGGAATTATGTGTTTTATATATCATATTTGAAGGATAAAGAATCTACTGAATATACTGGTATTGAATCATATATTGCTAAAAAATTGAAGAATTATGATAACTCTTGGATACCAATAAATAAGGCAATGGTATTAAAAAATATGGTTTTGGAATCTTAGCATTATGAAACAGAAAAATTGTAGGATGTATAAAGAGAAATGGATCATATTAAGAAAACTACTTTTGAGATTTCAAAAGCAATGGAAGAATTAAACATTCATTTATTAAATAAATAATTACTTAATTAAGAGAAGTGATAAATTTGATGTTGTAATTATTAGAATATTATTTTCATATATTTATAATTCATATCATATTTTATTTTATAAAAATAATGAGACCATAAACATCAGAAACATTTGTTCGTGAATATCTGGATGTTTAAATGAGACCTAAAACAGCTAAATTGATGACATCCACACAATTAAGGAATTTGAGTGCAAAAACATCTAAACCTAATTTTGAATTTACTAATAAACCATAGGTGGAAGTTCATTATTAAAAGTTTATACCAAGAAATTTTGGAGTGCTTTGTGATTAGTAAAAATTGGATATTTATATTAGAGGATATTATGAAAGTAACAAATAAATATAACTGCAAAAATTTGGAAGATCATAAAATAATGGCACAACTTAAAAAACTAAGATAGCTTAAACAAATTAATAATAACAATAAAATAAGAAACCTTAAGTATATAAATTGATTGAAATTGACTCAAGATAAAGATAAGATCCAGAAGCTATAACTGAGAGGGAAAAAGAATTAAAATATAAGAGATAACTATTACAAATGATAAATGATGATGTCTAACCTTTAGGAGAGATACACAAAACATTTAATAAAGGTAATCATGTAATAATTGTCAAATTAACGTAAATAATAAATAATAAATATAGTCCTATGATTTTGAGGAAAAGGAAGGTTAAAAAGGAACATAATCCTCTGACTTTAAGTTGGAATCATACAAAGAAATTGTTACTAGTTAAAGACTTAACTAATTATTTGATTGAAAGTAATTAATTTAAACTAATTAGATATGACATATCAAAACAAAAAGATTTAATTGAATGTATATGCAATTAGTGGATCAGAATTTATCGATGAAATTCAAAAACCAAAGGATATTGAATTTGTGTTAGAATAAAGAAGATTTATTTGTGTAATGCCCAAATTAATTATATATTGTGATGACATTAATAAACATGCAACCATCCCTTTGACAAATTTAAAAATGTCTTAATTACTTCAATCTAATTTTTAAGAGATTGATGATTATGTAACATTTAATTTTATTTAGATGTCTGAAATTGATGAATTGTCTAATTTTGTAATTCCTCAAAAAAAGTTTCCAGTTTCAATTCAATCAGGAAAATTGACAAAAAAAGAGAAAATAATAAAAAAAATCGTTTATTATGATGAATCATATTACTAAATAGCTTTTATACCACCATCAATTGTTGTTTCTAATAATATAAAGTAAATTGGTTAATATCACTTTTCAATAAAAGATTTGGAATGTTTAGCAAGTTTTTGTTTTAAAAATCCAATTTAAAACTTTATTAAAAACTATGTTGATATTATAACATTATCTGCTACTAGAGCTTCAGTAAAAGTAAATATACCTGAATAGTATGATGTTGTAGCAGGGTAATAAGGATAAGCATGTTCAGAGAATGGTTTTCTATTGAATCAAACTATTGAATCTGAGTTTAAGATTGTTTATACACCTGCTTAATTAGAATTCTATAATCCAACAACTCTTGATAAATAATTGAGAATAATTGAAGAAAAAGAATTGTAATAAATTATTGATTTAGATTTTAATTTTACATTATGAATTATTTCAATTTTGTTTAATTTCCTTAATAGTAAAAGGTTTAGCCATTTCTACAGTTGCTCCTTCCTTACTTACAGTACATAATGGCATTATATTACCTCCATTCTCAATATATGTAGCCCATTATAATAATTCTAATCCTCTCCAACTTTCTTTAGTTTTTCCCAATTCAGGTAACTTTTCAAAATTTACCCATGTTGCCATCTCTGATTCTATATAAATTCAATTACTTTCATAATAATACCTTTATCTGAAATCTTTTTAGGAATTTAATTTTAATCAATTGGTTCTGCATAATAAACTATTTTGATCCTCATAAAACTACTATATGAATTTATGTCTTATTCAACTCTTAACACTCCTTTCAAAATTATATTAATTCCTGCTTCTTCTAATGTTTCTCTTAAGGCTGCTTTTTCAAATGATTCTCCTGGATCAACTCTTCCACCAGGTAACCACCATCCTCTATTTTTTGTTTCCAAAACTGCTAAATATTCATCATTTTTATTTCTCACTACTATAAGCACTATTCCTATTCTACTAAAACATTAATTATTCATTTATTGAATTTAATATTATTAACATTAGTTTTGTAATCATATTATAACATTTTACTGTTCAGCTCTGAGTGGTAATTAAATAGTAAATTTAATTATTTTCATTATTTTAATGTTTTAACTTCAAGTAGATTTAAATAAATACTAAAATAATTATAACAACAATCACAGCTTAATAATATTTGTATAACAATGGATTGGATAATAAATTATTATTAATTATAATTATCTCTCTAAAAAGAGAGTGACTTTTAATTATAATTTATTATATTAATCTTTATGATGCGTATTATAAATTTTCATAAATTATAAATATTCTTTAAAATATCCTAATTACATTGTTTTGAAGTATAAGGGCTGCAAAATTTAAAGATTTTTAGCAAAATTAAAAAACATTCATTTATAAAATAATTCTAATAGATTGTATGTAGCTGATAAATCGTGCCTTCTATCAATTTAGCAAAATTAACCTTCCCAAAACGATAGGAGTATTAGGATATGGAGCAATTGGAAAAGCTTTTACAGAAGTATTACTAAAAGAATATCCAGGTAAAGTTCTTATTTAATTTTGTTTAGAAGCTAATATTGTTGCTCTTGACAAATATAATTCTTTTTCTCCAAATGAGAGAAGGTTTAAGACTATAATTCATTAATTAAATAGAGATAACCTAACAAAAACTCTTGATGTAATGGGGTATAAATAAATAATAAATACACTTAATAGACTTAAGGAAGGAGATACACTTGTTGATTTGTCAACAAATATTAAATTTTCAGACATTTGGGCACTTTGTGCTTAAAAAGGAGTTCGATATTTGAATACAGCTTTAGAGGTATGGGAAGATAGTGAAGAAGCTAATTCATGTCCTGAGAATGAAGAAGAGGCATATAAATTGACATTAGGATATATAAAGGATAATGCAAAAAAATCTCCATTTTGGTAAAAAGTAAAATAATAATATAAAACAAAGGGTCCTACTGCATTATTAGAAACAGGATTTAATCCAGGAATAGTATCTCATTGTGTTAAAAGAGGTTTGGAAGATTGTGCTAAGCATTATTTATAGAATCCTAATAAAGATTTTGATTTAGTTGAATTAAGAAAATATTTGAATGAGAAAAATCATTCAAAAATAGCATAAATACTTGGAGTACATACAATTCATTGTTCTGAAACTGATAATTAATTGATGGCTGAGATTCCTAAGGATGTAAAGACTAAATTTTACAATACATGGTCATGTAGAGGATTTCTTACTGAAGGACTAGTTCCTATTTAAGTAGCAAGAGGATCACATGAGGATACACATATTGAGAATTGTTACATTATAAGAGATGGAAAAACAATAGTTTCAAAAATACCATCAGTTAACATATGGGCAAAAAGTTGGGTGCCAAATGAAGATATTAGAGGTATTTTAAAAATAGTAAAATGAAAGGTGTTTTGATTCCACATGGAGAAGCATATTCAATTTAAGATTATTTAAGTGATCCTTAAACAGGATATTCACCATCATAATATTATGTTTATGATTATAATCCATTAGCTAAAGAGTTTATTAGGAATTTACCAAGTGATGCCACTATAGATAATACTCATCCAGAAATGGAAGTTATTCATCCAATGAATCATAAATCATTAAAAGGGTGGGATAAGGTTGGAGCACTCATAATTATGAAAAATAATAGAGCTTGGTGGACTGGTAGTATTATGGATGAAATTGATTGTTCTAATATTTATGATGGAATGTTTGGTCCTACTGTATTATAAGTAGTAGCAGGAGTTTATGGAGGATTTTTATGGACTTGTTAACATCCAAATATTGGAGCCCATTTCTCTGAAGATGTTGAAACTGATGATCTTATTCGAAATGTAACCATCTTTATTTTTCTAGGTTGAACATCTAATGGGTAGATTTATTTCAATCCCAGTTGATTTAACTAAAACTAAGATTAAGGATTGTTATAAACTATAAAGTTTCCTATGCTAATAAATTTGATATTATAAATATATATAATTATTTAATTAAATATCCAAAAATGAGTTTGAGTTGGCTAGTATCACCATAACTTCATAAAACCACAAATGGCTATTACATCAATCATGACAATATTATGCTTGGTAAATTTATCCTATTATTTTAGCTGGACCATAAGACAGAAGAAGACTCATCTTCTATTTTATTGCTAGTCAAACACCAGAAAAAATTACTTAAGAAGATCATAAGAAATTTGTCAAAGAATAAACTATTGATGTAGATATGAGATCTGGTATATTCTCTTTTGGTGGTATATTCTTGGCTTTAGCAACATTAAGAGAACAACAAATGATTACTTCAAGAATTACAAACAGACCTATCTTAAATGGAATGATAGTCTTAGGAGTTGGTAATCAATTTATATCTAATTTGTAGGTTTGGTCTCAGCTGCATTTTCTTACAACTTATCCAAAATCTTATTCGAACCACTTTTTGTTTAAAGAAATCAAGTCTTGTAAGATTTAGCTGAAAAGTATAATTTTTCAATCTTTGATTTTGCCCTTGCTAAGAAGGAAGCAAGATTGAAATAATTAAGAGCAGAACTCACAAGTGATAGTAGTAATGCTGCTCATTTCTGAAAAATTATATTGCAATATCAATAAAAATATAATTATTATAATGATTAGAAAATTATTATCAAGGTCCCTATTTATTAGACCATAATTTTACATTAATCACATGTATTATTATTCCATCTATAAACAAGCTTTGATACTTAAGATTAATTTAAGAAGTTTGATAGAACAAGTATTGATAGTATTAAGACATCTAATAAACCATTACCATCTCCAACTGAAGAGGCAGGACTTTTTATGGAAGAAAATGAAGTATATAGATATCTCCAAATATTATTTAGGTAGATGTAAGATTTCTTAAAGTTTTGAAATCCTTTGAGAAAATTGATGTAAAATCACTCAATTGGGAAGGAGATTTAATGAAAGATCTAGGTTTGGATAGTCTAGAAAGAATTGCTTTGATCACATCAATTGAGCATGAATTCACAGCCATCTTTGAAGATAGAGTTTTTGATAATTTGAAATCATTATAAGACATTAAAAAGCAGATCTTAAAAGATGATTCAGCATTTTGAATAATATAAATTATTACAAAATAAATATAAAATTATGCAATAACAATTTGAGGGTTATCTATTTCTTCACAATATAGCTAAACCTAAAAACATAGGAACTATCATCAGGTATAATTTTTTAATAATCTCAATAGAAATGCTGCTGCATTCAATTTAACTAAAGTTTTTATGATTGGAAAACAAGGATAAAACAAAAAGAAATTTTAAATTGCTGAAGGATTTTCATTTTTTGGTAATCATGGTACTTTCGATTAAATGAATTTTCATCTTTTTAATAATTTAAAAGAAGCTAAAGAGTATTTTGTGCAAAATAATATTTATGTTTGTGGTGTCGAAATTGGGGAAGGTTCTTAAAATATTATCACAAATCCATTTAAAGGAAATACAGTCTTCTTTCTTGGAAATGAAGTTAAATATATATAAACAATAATATAGGGTACAGGATTAATTCCAGAACATAAAGTTATTTGTGATCAATTTGTTTACATTCCTTAATACACTTAAAAGACTGCTAGTCTTAATGTTGGAGTAGCTTCTGGAATTATATTTCACCATTTTGCATGTTAATATTTTATAAATTAAATTATAGTATGGGCAGGATTTTAGGAATAAAAAGTGGAAGGTGAGAAATTTTTGGATCCAGAAAAACAAAAACAAGAAAAAGAGAGAAAGAAGCAAGAGATGATAGAATATGGAAAAGAATTAAAGAAATAAAAATTAGAATAATAAAAAATTTAATAGTAGTAATAAAATAATATTGAATAAAATAAGGTTGAGAATGAAAATAATAATACAAAATGATTCTAAATCATATATAAATCAATTTAATAATTCAAAATATACAGATTGTAATTTTTACATCTTTCTCGACTATTCTAAATGATTAATCAGAAATATGATTATAATCTTTAAGCTAGTCTTAAAACTTAATCATTTAAAGATCTTAATCTCCATAAAAATAACCGAGCTGGTAGGAAATATTTAAAAATATCATGAACTCATGTACCAATCAAGTCCCAATTAAGAATTATATTCAAAAAATACAATATTAGATAAAATTAAGAATAAGAAAATATAATTGAAAAATTAAGATTAAAAATAAATAAAATTTAGATCAATTATAAGATATATT